CAATGAATTGGCTGATTCAGCTGCAAAAAAGGGTGCAGAATTAAGCAGATCTATTCAAAAAATTGTGTCCTGGTCTTTTATAAAGAGAAAAATAAAAGAATCTTGTTTAGACAAGTGGAATGAAAGCTGGCAGAAACAAAAGAAGAGTATACATTATTCAAGATTTGAAACAAAACCCAAGTGGAAATCTTGTTCAATTAAATGTAAAAAGAAAATATTCTCATCTATAATACAGCTGAAACTAGGACATGGCTATTTCAAATCTTATATACAAAGATTTGATGATAGATTTGACTCAATAGAATGCTCATTCTACAATACAAATGAGAATCCTGAGCATATTATAATGCACTGTGCATTATACAATAGTCTCAGAGCCAGATTGAAAGAGAAGTATGATCTAAATCAATTAAATATGAGATTCTTATTCTCAACTGAGACAGGAATTAAATACTTAATAGACTTTCTATCAGAAACTCAAGCAGCTACAAGAAAATGGCTAAATTCAGAATTATCTGAATATGAAGAGGAGGAAATCAATCAGATATAGTCTGTTAAAACAGCTATACACTCTCTTTTAAGAATTTGTTTTGTTATAGTCTCTCTTTACTTTTTCTTTTTCTGTATCTTTTCCTTTCAATTTCTTTCTATCTATCTATTTAATGTGTCTATCTTTGAGACTGTGTTCTTTCTCTCTTTTCTTTTGTCATGATATTGTCAAATGGTTTCAAAGTATTAAAAGATGTTAAAACACTGCAATTTGTAAACAGTTTTTGTATTCTGGGCTGGAATTTTCTGATTTTGCATATCTGAAATTGATGAATGTACAATAGTTAACTTTACAGACATAGAAAAAACCCTGAGAACTAAGGTTCTCAGGTAGATGTCATAGTCTCTGACTGCATACATCTATAATTGAAGAATAATAATAATAATAATAAAGAAATATTCAAGCTATCACTCTTACAGATAGACTCATTTCATATTCTTCAGAAGATATCAGATGCTGTATTTCAATTGAAACTGTTAGTCAGTTAATAAATGCACTCAGTAATCTTCATTATTCATCTAAAAAAGACTGTGTTAACAGAAGCAGATATGAAGCACTCATCATCAGAATCAGTACTTATTAATGATCAGTTGTAATTTGAAGTTGAAAATATCATAAGAAAGTACACAGAGAACAGCAAGACTTATCTTCAGATTAAGTGAAAGAGATATGAAGACCTGATCTGAGAGTCTCTTGAAGTTATTATATAAGACACTCTGCATCTGATCAAGATCTTCATAACTAAGAAGTCTCATAGTCAGCTGAGTAAATGATAGAAAGAAAAGTAAAATAGAGACAGAGTAAAAGAAAGAAAGAAAATGTATTACAATCTAATTTTAGCTATCAAATGAGAAGATAAAAAAAACAAGAAAATTACTATCTTTCACTCTTTTCATCATTTCATTCTGTCTCTTCTTATCAATTATCTTCAAGCTCTTTCTGCAGCTTAATCTCCTGCTTAGTAAGATATATATCTCAAAATGCAACATTCACTGAGAACTTCTTATTCACAAGATCACTGAAATACACCTCACTGAGCAACTTAAAGAAATAATTATTAGTCACAGTATTCTCTGCAGCTGAAATCACATTGATGAACTCAGCTATCTTGTTCAGTTTCTTTCACACAGTCTGAACAGTGTTTAGATTATACTTATCAAGATTAGACAGCTGTCTCAGCATCTTTAAATCTTGAGCTCTACAATCAACTATACAGTCTTCAGAAGACAGAATCAACAACTGTTGTATATCACTTATCTTAGTCTCATTGATAATCTTAGCAGGGATCAAATAACTTGTCTTCATCTCACTGCTTATCTTCACAGGTGTCAAGATGTCTCACTCACTGATTTAAACATGTTTTAAGAGTTTTAGTGCAATCAGACTCAATGTCTTATACTTGAAAGATATAGATGTTCTCTTCATTGAAACTATAGTTAAATTGTTCTTCTTCTTTATATCACTGATCTCAACAATATCATCAATATTCATCTTCTCAGCTGCAGTCTTTTCAAATTCAGATACACTCTCTTCAAACAGTAAGTTATCTGTGTTTTATCTGAGTTTATACTGACTACAGTGATTTAAAGAGCAGTAAGATCTCTTATTTTCTCACTGATAGTTAATACAAGTATTATACTCTTACTGCATCTGTTTGTCATCTGCAGAGATAATCATATATTTCTTGAATCACTTCTGACTCTTCACATAATACTGATATAATATAGAAGCTATTTCTCTGCAGATCTGCAGAATAATAATATTCTGATTAGTGAAATTCTTAGAATTGATGATCTGTGAAGTGATTAGTTCATTATTATTCATTTATCAGTACAACTTTCACTTGACAGATAACTATCTCAAATCTTTAATTAATCACTGACTGAATAAAACAAAAAATTCATAATTAATAAATGACATCTTCTCACTACATCTTACAAGTCTTTCAATGATTGATACAGCATCTGCAAGCCTCTTCACAGTCAGATTCTGCATGATTGACACACTCAGGCAAGTGAGCTTGTCATTCTATCAGAAGTACAAGTTGATCTTGTCATTATAATACAGATATCTCATATATACTGTGTCATATAATCAAGATATCTGATCATTCTTGATATTCTTCTTTCACTCTGACTTTCTCAAAACATTGTCATTCAGAGTTTCATGCTGCTTTTAACTAGCTCTTTAATACTTCTTATTCTCTTTCATTGATGACAGTTCTTCAGCATCTGTATCTGTCTGTTCAGCTCTCACTTTCAGTTCTACTTATAACTCTTCATTATCAGTTACTTTTACAGCAGTCTTCTAACTCTCTCTTCTCTTATTCATCTTAATATCTTCTTTCAAAAACTGATGTGTGAACAGTCATGACTTTTTCAAATAAGTAAATGATGTTATAAGCTTTTATATCACAGTCTTAGACTCTTCTTGACTCTTTAAGCTTCTATTATACAATTCATCTGTTGACTCTTCTGCAGTGATACTATACAGTCTAACTGAGTAATGATGAGATATTACTGTCTTTTTCTTATCTTAGTCTTTGATCACTTTATATGTGAAAAGATAAGTTAATAGTATTGAAAGCTCATCTATTCAGAATTCTAACTCTTTATCTTTATTATTTTCTTTCATCTCATTCTCATCTGTCTTCTCTTCACTAATCTTCTCATCTGTCTTCTCTTCTCTATCACTTATATGAAGAAGAGCATCATGCTTCTTCTGACTTAATAACTGAAATAATTTCTCTAAGATCAAGATCTTTTTCATCATACTCACTGCACTCATCTTTGTAACTGTTGACTTCTTCTTAAGACTCATCATTTTCATGATCTAATCTTCTATATATTGTGATTTTTGCTAATTCTGCTATGTTAAATTCTAGTAAGATGTATGAGAAATAAAAGAAGAATAAGAAGAAAGTGATTATAATATATATATTAATGCAATTATTCATCTACACTAATCTCTATCACTCACAGAATCTTTTCTCTGTCACAATGAAACTTTCACTCTTATCTATCTTATCAAAGAACTCTTTCTTATTCAAGCTTCTTATAATTTCTTTACAATTTCTTTCTTTTCTTACAGCTGTTTTTAGATTAAAGAACTTCTATCTCTTTCTTATCATTTCTTTTCAAGTTATTCTTACATCTTTCACTCTTTGTAGAGATAAATAATTCTTACATCTGATCACTCTTTGTATGAATAAGTAATTCTATCACTCAGTCTTCTCTTTTTTATAATATCTGCAGTATATATAAACAGACTAGTACTTCTGAACAATACTCATCTCTTTGAGCCTAGCACCTGTGATACTCATTATCTTTTTTCAATGTCATTTTCTCTTCTCTGTGAATGCATTCTTTCAGATAGAGAGACTGTGACATGCTTTCATTCTCTATTTAAGTCAATTCTCTATTCAGCTCTAGCTTCTGCTTCATTTCTTACTGTTTTCTGAAGCTTCTGCTACTATCTTCTCTCTCTGTTCTTTTCTTCATATGTGATCACTTCTTCTATGAGAGCTTTCACTTCTTCTCTACAGAGCCTTCATTCTTTTCTTCATATATGATCACTTCTTCTATGAGAGTGTCTGCTTCTTCTCTACAGAGTCTCTGTTCTTCTCTTCATAGATGATTGCTTCTTCTACAAGAGTTAATCTCTATAAAACAATCACTGTATATATAAGAGCGTACGCCCATCTCCCATCTTTAGAAGAATAAGACAAGTTTTACTCTTATATCTGACTCTACGTAGCGGCGTACGCTACAAATACTGATAGAATAAGATGATTTTAACTCCTGATGAGCATATTGAATGAAGCAGTAGTTCAAATAGATTATATTGACAAGGAATCCCGAATTGGCAGTGATTTTGTGCAAAACAGGTCTCATAACCTGTGGAAGGTGTAAAGCTTGTGTGATTGAAAGGTTGCTAGCTTTGTGAGAAGTTATTATTGACCCTTACAGCCGTTGCGGTTAGCGATCCCACTAGATCACGTGACTCATCACTATATTATGTTCTTGTAGATAGATATCAATACAACCTTCAACTATTCTACAGGTTATAGTCCGGATAATACATTTTCTTTTTAGAACATTGCATTAACATTTTTAACATGAATAGTTCATCTTTTTTGAAAAGACTCTTACTCTTTATTAGAGATATTTCATTTTCTCTGAATCTGTCAGTCAGCGAATTCATATACTTTATATTTTTGAGAAAGTATGTTCTTCATTGTGAAGAATATCACTTTTTATTTTTTTTTTACTTTTTACACATCTAGAAGAAGCAGAGTCATCTTGATATAAGTGATATGTCTATTACTTCAGAGTTCAGCTCAAGGCTCAGAATCACACACTTCACTAGATGACTCATTGATAGAATGATCACTCATTATAAGAAAGCTTCTGACTTGTAAGATGAGACTGAGGTCAGTTTTCATCAGAGTATGAAATTTGATGATGAGACAACAGAGAAACTTCAGAACAAAGAAAAGCAGAGTCAACATCAACATTCATCTGCAGAATCTGTTCATTTCAACCCTTCAAATCCTTCACTGTCTTCCACCTCTGAAATGCTGACTTTTAATGATGATCTGAATCAACCTATCTACTGCACCGCAGGCAATCTTATGAATCTCATGCAGATGATGCTACAGAATCAGATGACTGTGACTGAAATCACTCAACACCTCACTACATCTGTCCCTGCACAAAGAGACACTATGAGAAATGAGTTATGAAAATACTAGAAGGAAGTCAAATATGCACTAGACATCAAATCAGTGACCACATTTGATGACTCTAATTATGATGCCTGGCATGTTAGTATGTTGACTGATGCAGAAGTTATTGATGAAACTGACATTCTATTGAGAACTCAACAAGAATTCTCTTTTATACATCATATCAACTCTGAGAAGTGAAGAATCTGTTCCAAGTCTCTATATAGACATATGCTATTGAGTCTTGTTGAAAATGTTTGAATCACTATTAAAACCTTGAAAGCTGACAATGCTGCAGCTCTGTGAGACAAGATTAACATTGAATATGCAATATCACTGACAGAAGAACAAGTTAATGTCTTCAAGAAATTGACAAAATTACAAGTCAAGAAGAATGATTATCTTACTTTTCAGAGACATTTCTGCTATCTTATTACCTGCTATAAGAAGCTCTGTCAGAGCACTGAGAATGTATATTATAATCTTTTCCTTAACAATCTACAAGATTATCAAAGACTGTTTGTCAAGACATGTTTGAATGAGTTTTTCTCCACTGGTCAGGGACTCATTATCAACATTGATTGATGATTTGATGAAGCAACTGATCAATCATACATTCAAGAAGATTATCACTGAGTGAAAAAAGCAGTCTCAGGCTGATTCTGTGACTGTGAAAAAGAATAAGAACAAAGATAAGAACAAAGATGAGAATAAAAGTGCATCTGTATAGAAGTGCACTCACTGCAGAAGATATGAACATACTGTTAACAGGTGTTTCATCTTACACTCTGATAAAAAGAAAAAGAAGGATGACAAGAAGAATGATAAGAAGAAAGAGAAGAAGAATGACTTGATAAGTTCTCAATCAGCAGTAAATGCAGTAATTATGAAGATTGAGTTCTACTTCTCTTTCACAGTCACTGGAAAATCATTCTCTAGATCTTGGTATTTGAACACATGTGCAAGCCTGAATATGATGAGTGAGCTTCATTCTTTCTCAAACATCAAACCTTTTAATGATAACATCTCTGTCAATTCTGCCACTGAGAGAACTGAGTTTGTCAAGAAGATTGAAACTGTCATCTTGAAGATTGAGAATGATGATATTAACTTGCAGAATGTTCACTATATTTCTAATATTACAGTTAACCTGCTCTCATTTATGAAGCTTGAAGATCAGAGATTCTGATTTACATTGTCTTTCACTATTCTCTCATTTTTCATTTACAGAGTTCTGAATGGTGTTATTTTTCATGCAGTTCAGATCGCTCAGAACAACATATATAAGGTCAATGAATAAGAGTTCAATGAGAATCTCAATCATCTGAACAGAGCAGTCAAGTATATTGTGATGATGCTTCATGAGTATGATTTTGATTGAAAAGTTGATCTTTCTGTGACTGCTGTCACTACTGTTAATAATGTCGATTCTGTGGATGCGAGAACACAGGCATCAAAGATATCAAAGACTCTTTTGAATTGACATTACAATCTCAGTCACATTCATGCTGATGCTATAATTGCTATGATCAAGAATTTTCATACTGAAGTCATAATTAAGAGTTCTAAGACTAAGTTCTTTTGCAAGAAATGTGTCAAGACTGATATGACACAAGATTATTTGAAAACACTGATGCCTAGATCTATTCAATTCATTGAGAAGATTCATATTGACCTTGCAGATGATGAATGTATATTGAAAGACCTCTCTGATCATCTCTTAGAGTTCTGTCAGAGAATCAAATACTGAATGCTCATCATCTGTGATGCAACTCACTACTGTTGAGTATATTTTTTAAAGTTCAAGAATGAAGCTGTTCAATACTTTGAGTTGTGGCTCAGATTCATGAATAATCTCAGATATACAGTCCCTGCTTTTCTACAGACTGATATTGATGATGTTTTTCAATTCACATGTATGCACACAGTTATGAATTCATATGATATTAAATAAGAATTAACAGCATCACATTCATCATACCAGGATGATGTTTCTGAATGTGAGATTCATACTATCATGAGATGAGTTAGAGCTGCTCTTTTGAAAGGAAATCTCTCTAAGAAGTTCTGAGCAGATATTCTAGAGACAGTGATTACAATAATTAATAATACTCTCATATCTACAGTTCTATACAACTTGAAATTTTGATCCTCTACTGCAGAGACCTCTGTAATTCCAAGTCTATATAAGATTTCTTGATATGCACTTATGAATACTCTGCTGAATGTAAGGCATTTTTACTGATTAAGTGCAGAGGTTTTTATTCACTTGTATGAATCTCAGCAGTCTGTGAATAAGCTCTCTTCACATGCTGATTTCTATTGTATCATTGAATTCAGTGGTACATTGATATATTGTCTATGACATTCTGAATCTGACAAGATTATTATCAGTAGTGATGTGAGATTTCTGATCACTGAAAAACTGGTTGTTATATCTGTGAAACTTATTAATTATATTGTTGAACTGAAACCTGATATTTATCTGATTAATGATGAAGATGCTTCTGATATTGATAATCTGAATTTCACATAATTGCAGCCTGCAAAATCACTGACTACTTACACTTCAAGCTCTGTTACAGATAATCTCTCAAAGTTCTACAAGAATGCTGCATCACAGTCAGAGAGAGTAGAAGATTATTGAAAAAAGTTCATGCAACATGAGATTACTGACCTGAAGAGACATAATACATGAAGTTTGATCTCTAGATCTGACATTTCAAGGAATGAACTGATTACTTCAGACTATTGAGTGTTTCTTGAGAAAGATAGACCTGCAGACCTGAATGTCAATTCTGATGATATTCTTAGAAAATTGCATTGAGTGATTTATGATAACTGACTTAAGAAGAGTTCTAGAGAAGAGATCTATACTTCTATCATCACTGATACTGTCAATTGTATTCTCTTTGCAATAGCAGCACTACATGATTGAATACTCTGTTAAGTGAATATAGTGATGATATATCTTTATAAGTGTCTCACTAAGAAGATCTATATAAGATAACTCACTTAATTTGAGACAGATTCACTGAAAACACTTGTCTGCATGATTGAGAATAGTTTATACAGTCTAAACTCTGCAGTGAAGATCTGATATAATTACTTAACAGCTCTGTTAAGTGATCTTGAATTTACAGTCAGTGCTTATGATTCAGCACTCTGATATCATACATTCAGATATCATCTCTATATAATAATCTATATTAACAATCTCAACATCATATCTGAAGCTTCTGAGAATGCTGATTAGCTAGTAAGTATACTCAGTGAGAAATTGAAAGTCAAGAATCTACATCAGTTAATTAAGTATTTGAGTATAAAGATCAATTGTTTGAACAAGAGAATTGATTTGATATATTGTTAATATATTAAATGCCTTATTAAAGATTTCTATCTTGATGATATAGCTGTTATCAGAATATCAATGAAGAATGAATTTTATATTAATAATTTCTCTATATCTGAGAAAGAGACTGATTTCACAATTCAGTGATATTAACATGATGTGAATTGCTTATAATATCTCACAGTCAAAACACATTCTGATATTACTCACACTGTCTCACTACTCACTTAATGAAATGTTAATTCAATATCTCAATGTTGAAAGGCTCTATTACATGTTATACATTATTTAAAAGAGATCATGAATCTGGGCATTTTCTACAGACATGATCTGTATGAGAAATTCATTTCTATCAATCTTTTTATTATTCCTGATTTCTCTGATGATTTCTATCTACTCTTTGACTACTCAGATTCTGATTGAGCCGGCCTCTTAAATAATGATAGAAAATCAACATTCAGCTATGTTTTTAAGCTCATAGATAGCCTGATTTCATAGTATTCAGTAAAGCAATCTTGTATATCTCTAAGTTTCAATAAGACTGAATATGTGACTCTTAGTGAGGCAGTCTGCAAGGCAACATGAATTCAGAATCTCATGATTGAGCTCAGCTTCATTATCATATCTCTGATACAGATTCTCACTGATAATAAGAGTGTCATTGTAACATGGCGGAACTGAAGTGATGACTAGTCAGTAGCAACATGTAGAGAAAGTTGTTTGAGAAGCTGTATGAGTGAGCTTGACTATCTTGCTTGAATAGTGAGCTCATAGACTACAGGGTTGTTGTGAGAATATCACAGATATGATACTTAGTATACTAAGAAGATTGTATGAGACATGCAGTAACTCTTATATATATTTCAGTAGAAGTAAAATGAATCACTGACTTCTTTCATGAGAAGCCAGCATCTAGCTATTCTATATAGATAATGAGAGAATATCTTCTTTCATTTCTTGAGTGAGAATAGCTGAAGTAATATCTCAGCAGTGTCTTACTATCAAGAAAAAGTAATCTGCTAATCTTGTATAGAAGTGAGGTTCTTATATTTATCAATCAGATCTTTCTATGATATATCTGAATGATATTATAGAGTGATTGAAAATCAGTTCAGATGAGATGAAATCATCTGCATGAAAGTAATGAGCTGTGTAAAATCATAACAGAGTCTTAGCATGGTCAGAAGTGTGACAATACTCTCTCTCTTAAGAGTATAGTCTCTATATTCTCAAGATTACTGAATTAGAAATTATCTTTGTTGTATAGCAACAGTTATCAACTGATTGACAGCATATGTACTATGTGTGATATAAAGATGAGTTTTTCTACTGACTGTATAGATCTTTCTTTTCTCATCTTCATTCAAATCAAACACATGATAAGTGAGTTTCTTATATATCAATTTAAAATGTGAAAAAACATAGTTAACAAGTGACTTACAGATCTCTCAATATATTCTGTTCTACATATGAAATTCCCTGCAAAAGTGATGTGTTTTAGAGACAAAGTTAACAGTAGTGACAGGATTTTTTTGAAAGATCTCTTTCTCTCATAATACATTTTTCTTCCCCCCTCCTCATCTATAATAGTGAGTGTATGAGAGTATCATTCTTAAAGAACAGTAGAGAGCTTATTCTGATATTTTCTAGTGAATAACAAACATCTTCATGGTGCAGCAGCAGCCTTCATGACTGTCAAGAAAGCCAGGTTAAAGGCAGTGATGTCAATGAGCTGCAGGAGCATTACTTTCATCATCACATCTTCTCCTGCTTCTCTTACAGCTGTGATGAAAGTTGCTGTGCCCTGCAGTGAAGTGTCATCTCTTCTGCTGACTGGTGTGTCTGTGTCTGGTTCATCTCTCACCCTCTCTGCCACCGTTGCAACACTGCCCTCTCTCTCAGTCAATACAGTGACATATGACCCCATGTGGTCATTCAGAGAGAAACTCAGGGAGAGCTTGATTCTGAGAACAGTGACTCTGAGAAGCTCAATTCATAGTTCCCCTCTCACAGCATATCTGAGCTCTGCTCAGAATACTGCTGAGTTGAGTCTGCAGAGTTCTATGATTTCTTTATCTTCTCTCTGTGAGAAGGCTCTGATGCAGTCTCTGACTGACACTGCTACTTATCTGTGCTGTGCTAAGCAGCTGAAGAAGAGAGAGATTTTATATATCTGCTTCTTCTCTCACTTCTGTTATTTCTATTATATCTGTAATAATGACTTCTGTCTCTCTGTAAGTATTATCTCATAGAAAGATGTTATATCAGTTCTGATAAGAAGTCTAGATATTCAAGCAGTACAGAGTAAGAGTCTCAGAGCTTTAAATGTTAACAGATTCTATTAAGACTGAAAAGATCTCTCTTACTCATCTATAAAAGAAGATGAAAGTGTGAATCTCTGAGATGAAAAAACATCTCAGAATGACTGATCTTAAGAAGAAGTCAGCTAATGCTGCTGTTGAAAGTATCACAGAGATTAATCACTGATTGAAAAGAATCTCACTTCAGTTGAAGCAGATAACTGAGATGCTTTGTAAGTTGATAAGTTAATACTTTCAGTATCTCTTATACTCTTCTATAGCATGCTTCTCTGCAGTGCTGCAGCACTAACTTCTTAACAGATAAAGATACTAATGCTGAAGACTTCAATGATGAAGAATGAGTTTAATAAGAGTGTAATTGTTAATGAGTAGACTCTGAGATTTCTTCTTTTTACTTTTTCAGCAGGCTGCAGTCTCACTAGAATAGCAGCAGCTCACAGATCAATTAATATTAATCTTTTTTATTAGTTTTAAATATTTCTTCTCTCTAACTGCTTCAGGAATTTTACACTTGTGTAGTCTCATTAAACTTCTAAAAACTCTTTGAGAGAAAATAGAAGAAGAGTGTTACAGAGTCTATAAGACACTGACTCATTACTGTAAGATTATCTTTAAAAAACTCTTTGAAAAAAATGAGAAGTTTTAAACAGTATTTCTTACTCAATGTCTCTGATGTGTAATAGAGCAGTCTCTACTAGCTATCTCATAGATTGTAATCTCTTTCTCAGTATTTTTCAAATGCTTAAGCAGTTCTCATAAATTCTCTGACAATGAATAATCTTCTTATTTAATGAGATATTGAAGCTTGCTGTAATATGTTCACTTGTTCAATATTTTCTCTATAAGATATTCAGTATCACTCTTAATCTTGATATTATTCAGTCAAGACAGCTCTGTTCTGAAATATTGCTTATAGAGCTTTAAATAGAAAATGTGAAAAATAGAATGAATTGATTTCAATTCTGTGAGTAATTTCAACTTATATACCTGCTTACTCATCACTCTTATTATTAGAAAAGATTCTAGTCACTACTCACTGAGCTTCTTATACAGTCTCATTGTCTTGATATTCTTTGTTAAAAGTAGCACTTAATTCTCTATCAAGAACTTCATTAAAAGATGTTTTCAATTATAGTATTTCATTTACTACTTCTGAATATGATGAATACTTTTCACTGTCTTCTTATGAATTTTGTTTAAAAGTTTCAATCTCACTTTTACTTCTGATACTGAGAGATACTTCATTCTCTGTATCTGTCTGATATTCTGACTGTCTATTTCCTTCTTTAAAATGTTGTCTGTGATGTTACTGAGTAATGAAGAATTATATTCATAATAAGTATAGAAAGAAGATATCTTTAAGATTGCATTCTTTGTATTGTTATATGTGAATTCAGCAGTTAGAAGATGTTTGAGTCAATTATTCTGATAATATAAATAGAATACTTGAAGATGCTGTTCTAGTGTCTAATTCTGATATTCAGTCTGATCATCAGTCTGCGGATGAAATGCAGTACTGAGAAGACATTTTATTATAAGATAATAGTAAAAAGCTGATCAGTATTTACTGATGAAGAGAAATTCTTGATCTATTATTAACAATTTCAGAGCACTATGATCATGAATAATGATATCTAAAAATAGGTCAGTCAATTCAGAGGCTTTAATCTTTTTATGAATAGAGATATATCTGATCATCTTCATGAAGTGATTAACAATGACTAAAATCAAGTCATATTCTTTGACTCTTGTTGACTTCAGTAGATTAACTATGAAATTCATTGATAGATTCTGCTATAAGTTCTTTGAAACAGGCAGTGATATTAACTCACTGTATTACTTATACTGCAGAATCTTTATTCTTTGACAGATATTATAAGTTTTAATATACTCTTTGATATCTGTTCAGAGCTTGTTTCAAATGTATTTATATTTTAGAAGCTTCTCAGTCTTCTCTAATCTGAAGTGTCTCATATGAAAATTATTATGATGAATTCTTAATAACTTCTGATGCACTGCTCTGCTATAAGAGATGAAGACTGAATTATTCAGCAGTAGAAGTTCATATTCTTCTAGTTATCAGTGACTTGATTTCTTAGCAGTATCACCTCACTCAGAGTCTGTCTCTTTCAAGTTCAAATCAGATTCTTTCTTCTTCAACTTTTGAATTCAAGCTGCAGTAGAGATGTTCTTCTTCTGTAACTTATTAATGAATTTCAAAAGTAATCAGATTGAAAGATTGTAGATCATTTCATTCTTTATCAATTCAATAATTGTAAGATATAATATAAGAAGCTTATGATCTTCAGTGTCAGTTCTCTGCAGAGACTCAGATTCTCTTTCATCTTCTATACTGAGTTATACAGCTGCCTCTTCAGTGCTGTTTCTAAACTTTAGAGAACTCTAACTCTCTGTAGCCAGCTTCTTCTGCAGTGATGACAGAGATTCTTTTGTAGAATTCTTCTTCATATCAACAATATTATAATCAGACTGTCTAGACAGTGCATCAGCAGAGTTAAGCTGATCTGAATAATATCAGATATAGAAATCATACTCTGAAAGCAGCTCTGCTCACCTGGCTTGACATTCTGTTAAGCTCTTTATTGTCAAGAAGTAACACAGATTTGTATAATCAGTGAGAACTTACACTGAGTACTTACTACTTTGAAGATAATGTCATCAGATCTTAAAGAATTTGATAATTACTAACATTTTCTGATCATGAGTATTATATCTTCTCTGTGTGAGTAATAACTTCTTGAAGAAGAAGGTCACTGATCTTTATTCACAGTGTCTTATAGACTCTGTGAAAAAGTCTTCTTTTACAGACAATTCATTGTCTGTTTTCTTAGAGATGATTATTCTCTGATTCTTTCAATGTTGAAAGATCTTCAGTGTTAACTGTGAAAAGATTTCACAGATCTCATTTCTGAATACATCAGTCTCACACTGACTGAGTAAATCAAGATTAAAATGATTCAGTATTGTAATATCTGTGAAAGCTTGTTTCAATTCTGCAAACACCTGCACAGTATCTTGAGTGAGAATAAACAGTTCTGTTTTTCTGTCTTTTACACTTCTCTTCAACAGATCTGTAAGGGAAGCAGTAATCTGTGAATATACATAGATGAATTATCTGTAGAAATTCACAAATTCTAGAAATATCTATATCTCACAGTACATTCACAGCACTGATCAGTTCTTAATAACAGAGATCTGGCTTCTGTTCATTGAAATGTCATTCATCTCAATAATATAATCTAAGAAATCAATCTTCTGCATGTAGAATAAGCATTTTTCAGTGTTTGTATAGAGTTAATACTGTCTCAAGCAACTCAACACTTCTTGAACATGAGTATCATATTCTTTCTCTGATTTTGAGAAGATTAAAATGTTGTTCAGGTATACTATACAGAAGACATTAATAAGACCTCACAGTGTCTTATTTATATAAATCTGAAAGATGACTGAAGTATTACAAAGATCAAAAGATAAAACAAGATATTTAAAATTACTGTACTTAGTATGAAAAGTCATTTTTCAAATGTTGTCTTCATTAACTCTGATTCTATGATAGATATTCTGTATATCAATCTTTGAGAATATCTTTGCTTCAGATAATCAATCAATTATCTTGTTAATTAACAGTAATAAATAGTGATTCTTAACTATCATTTTATTGAGACCTCTGTAGTCTATGTATAGATATAGTCTATTATTCTTCTTAAGTACAAAGAGTATAGACATCTCTGCTGAACTCTTTGATAAATGTATTCAGTTCTTTGATTGTGCTTCTTCAAGATATTTATGTAGAATATTCAACTTCTTTATAGATAAGTTGTAAAGAGATCTGTACAGTACTGTTACATCATTTTCAAGACAAATCTTATATTATATCTTGATGTCAGGAAACTTCACTGCTTTTCTTTCTGAAAAGACATTCTTAAAATCTGTAAAGAGACATCATATATATTCATCTTCAATGACAGATACTACTGCTAATCTTACAGTGAGAATAATGACTTTTTCATCTATTCTCAAGTCTCAATCATCTGCTATACAGTATATTAACTCAATCTTTTTCTCAAGATTCTTCTGATGAAACTCTTCAGATTTCTCTATCACTGTCTCTTCATCAGTAAGATAATACTGTCACATCTGAGTGACTCAGTTAATAAGAGAATTGTTTTCTCTCAATTATAGAAGATCTAGAATGATGTTCTTATCTATAATATTAACTGTGTGAAGAAGCAGACTGCTCTTCTTAAAGATTTCTTCTAAGTCTGTGATTACACACTTTGCTTAAATTATGCTAAAACAGTGACATTTCATTTTATCTGTAAATTTCATATAATCTGACAGATCTATCTTCTTTCAACTCTTCATCAAAGAAAAGAAATAGAATATGAAGTTAATATTTATCTCAGAGTTAAGTAGATATCTCACTGATATCTTCTTATTCAGAGTATGTATTGTAATCATAACATGAACTCAGAGATGTGAGAATTATTAATTCTTTTCTTTCTCTTCTTTATCTTTTATAAATATGTTTGTCAGAAGAGAAGTTGACTTTGAGAAGATATCTTCTCAGTTTCTTCTCTTCTTCAGCTTCTTATAATCACTAATATAGTAATTATCAACTCTGCAGTTGAAATAGAGATCTTTATTAAATCTTTTTTAACATTTCTTCACAGTGAGTGAAGAATCAGAATACTTGAAATTCTTCTTTACTTTCTTCACACTGAAGCTGTCATAGCACTGTTTAGATCTTATTATTAATTACTTAGAAGAGATCTTATTAATCTTTTTCTTAAAGAATTGATTATTCAAATAGATTCAGAAAGCCAGGTTGACAAGCTCAGTATAATTAGTTAATGAACTCTGATACTATGATATTATTATTCACACTTTGTAAGTCAGCTTTGTGAGATAAAGCTGTATTTTTAATTGATTCAAATTATCAGTCAATTTCTCTCAATATTCTTTAAATCTTATATTGAAATTGAAAGGATTTTCATCATTTTATTAATATAATAAGTTGAATCACTGTGCTGTTATAAAGCTACAGTTACAGTAATCTTCAATTTGATTCAGTAGAAAGTTCTTGAATTCTTCTTAAGTTATAACAGTATTAATACACTCAAGCTCTCTCTTCTTAATAACTCAAGTAGTTATAGAGATGTCTTCAAGAAGGTTGATAATGTATATTACTTATATCTCATGAGTATTATACTGACTCAGATTAAGGTGAAATTTCTGTTCAAGAGTACAGATAAAGCTGTGAAATTCAGATAAAATATTTCTCTTATATCTTAATAAATCTCTGATCTTAATCTCTCTATCTTTATAATAGATGTAGGTGTGTAGAGGCTGCAGTGATAGCAGAGCAGTTGAAGAGCTTATATTAAAATACACAGCAGATTCAGAAATCTCAGATTTCTGTCAGAATAGAGATGTATACACTCTAGAGAATAGTGTAGTATTTCTCTCAGAAAGTGAGATCAGATCAGTCTTAGTACAGATGTATAAGATTATATCAGTCTGTTAGAGCTCAACTGATTCAAACTTATAATTAGATTGAGTGATTTGAATTGTAATATGATGAAACTGAAGTAGTAACTAGTCAGTGATAATATATAGAGAAAGTTATTTAAGAAGCTGTATAAATAAGCTTGACTATCTTGCTTAAATAGCAAGCTCATAGACTACAGAATTATTACAAGAATATCACAGATATAATACTTAGTATACTAAGAAGATTGTATAAGACACACAGTAACTCTTATGTATATTTCAGTAGAAGTAAAATGAATCACTGACTTCTTTCATGAGAAGTCAGTATCTAGCTATTCTATATAGATAATGAGAGAATATCTTCTCTTATTTCTTAAGTAAGAATAGCTGAAGCAATACCTCAGCAGTGTCTCACTATCAAGGAAAAGTAATCTGCTGACCTTGTATAGAAGTGAGGTTCTCATATTCATCAATCAGATCTTTCTATGATATATCTGAATGATGTCATAGAGTGGTTGGAAACCGGTTCAGACAGGATGAAATCATTCACATGGAAGTGATGGGCCGTGTGAAACCGCAACAGGGCCTTGGCGCGGCCGGGAGCGTGACAGTCATAGATCTTACAAAGATGACAGTTATTACAGTCTGAAGTAAGCATATTGATATGTGTTTTCATTTTTCACATTGACAGTTGAATCAGAGAGTCATTGATTTAGAATATATTCTCATCACTCAGATAGTGACAGATGAACTCACTAAATCTCTAGACAATGTAATATTTATGTGATTCATGGTTTTACTAGGTCTTACAGGTGTAAAAGTTGGAAATGTTTAATTTTACATTTGTATTTGATTTTAACAGACTATCTTGGTGATTTGAGTGTTTTTGTATGTGATTCTTGTTATCTCGAGAGGGGGTGTTGACTCTTACAGCCGTTGCGGTTAGCGATCCCACTAGATCACGTGACCCACCACTATATTATGTTCTTGTAGATAGATATCAATACAACCTTCAACTATCCTACAGTTATATAGTGGAAGGATTAGTAAGCCAGATCACGTGACCTGACAGTAACTTGTGTTGGAGCTACTACACAAGCCCTAACTCACGTGACCCACACACATATATTTAGCTTTCACTAGCTACTAGTTAGATAACAATAATCAACCATGTTCAACCTCTCTCACAGGTTATGAAGCTCTTGCACTTCTATGAAGCATTATAACCATACAATAATCATACAATAAGCTTTTCAAATAGCTGCTTTTTTCATTCAAATACCTCATACCAAATGCCTGTCAATACAAGATCGATCAACCGCGAAGAGATCCCAGAGAATCAGATAGCTGAATCCTTTCCAACATCAATAACCGCGCGAAGACAACAAGAATAATCAAGCTCAAGATAATCCTCCAGAACGCGAAGATATGACAGACTGCAATGAAGCCACCATTCTGAGACAGCATATTGCTCAGATGAATGACAAGAACACCAAAAATCCTGATAATGATGCCCAATAACAATGCCAATAACAATATCAATATCAAAAATGCCGTGGATCCGGAGGTCAGATTTCACAAGACCATAACCATAATCAAAACCATAACCCCGTGGTATCAACAATATCATGGATATAACCATAACCTGTGGTGTCAACAATGTCACGGACATAACCATAACCATAACCGCCAATATCAATGCCAAAACAATGGAGATACCAATAACCATGATACCCGGGCTGTTGAATGCTCATATGATAACCCAGGATAAAGATGATACCCCATGATAACCATGATAACCCACGATAACCAGGCCACCGAGTGCCTATATGATAACCATGATAACCCACGATAACCAGGCCACCGAGTGCCTATATGATAACCATGATAACCCACGATAACCAGGCCACCGAGTGCCTATATGATAACCATGATAACTCACGATAACCAGGCCACCGAGTGCCTATATGATAATCATGATAACTCACGATAACCAGGTCACTGAGTGCCTATATGATAACCACAATAACCCATGATAACCAGACCACTGAGTGTGCCTATATGATAACCACGATAACAATAACAATAAAATGACAAAAATATGAGAAGTGAGACCCCGCAGTGTTCGGATGACTGGGGGGATAATACAGATACAGAAAGGACAGATTTGAGTGTTTTTTCTTGCATGTTTTTTATGTTTTTTCATGTATGGAGCTAGTCCTTATGAGGAAACTAGACTCTACATTTTGTAATTAATTTTTATTGCAGATTTGAATGATTTGGGCGCTTTTGACTGCGTGGGTTAACTGGCCTGCGTAGCATGGGGGGGTGTTGGAGCTACTACACAAGCCCTAACCCACGTGACCCACACACATATATTTAGCTTCCACTAGCTACTAGTTAGATAACAACAACCAACCATGTTCAACCTCTCTCACAACTTGTTGAGAGTCCAGTTTGTCTTTCCAATAGTTATATTCCTTATTCAATGTAATTATTTGGCAATTAAATACATAATTACTACATGAACGTCAGTCACATTCGCTATTAAGATGTCCAATCACGTATTAGGACCATCACTGGCCCTTTGATCCCTACCGCTATCCGGCCCTGGACGCGGCCGCTGCCCACAAAGTCTTGCTGGCAATATGGAAATAGATTTATACAAAACAAAACCAAAAATGACATTTTCGTCAAACCAGAAAACGCCAATAGAAATCTAAACGACTTTAGTAAAATACTGCTGCCGGGGGAATAAAAACCAATGGGGCAAAAAATAGTTCGACGGTCGCGGGGGGTGTAAGGATTGTTGTGATGTGTGGAAATATGCGTTTAATGAAAATATTGTTGCGAATGAATATGTATTCGCATTCGTTTTCGGCGTGATAATATAGTCTTATCTATATGCAAAATGGAAACAGAGCGTGCTTTGTGCGCGTGTGAAGTTTCTAGTATTGATCGACATTCTATTCAGCTGAATTGTAGAGTTGATGTGGAGGAGCGCGATGTATATCGTAGAGTCTCGGGCAGAGGTTGATGGGTTGCGGCTTCGTGGCACCTGTGCACATCAGGGCCTTTGGTCACGCTTATATATGCTCGGTAATCTACCAAGCTTGGAACTGGGTAGTATGCCCGGATGTATGTTGTGTTTTGTATGCGTGTCGTTCTCTATATTGGCACCGTGTAAAATGAGTGTACCATTTCAGGTTGTAGTCATGACCGGAGGTAGTGGATTCCTGGTTCGAATATACATGGTCTAAAGTCAAGACGGAAAATTACTGTGATGTTCCTTCCAGAGTATTAACATATCTGATTGATATGGGCATACGCTTGGAATTTATTCCCTCGGGTGAGTAGGAGCTAGGGGGGGTAATCGACCGTTTCCTTGGGATCCCTCCAAAGAGCGTCTATTTGCCCCGCCATTGGTTTCTGGTGGTTCATGACCAGGATGCGATCTGTACACCGCAGCAGGAGGTACTAGAGGAAGTTGAGCAACGGGTGATTCACGCTCGATGCTTTCGAGACTTGCGTAGGTGAAGCCCGTCCTATGAGTTGATATAGATATCGACATCGAACGACGTGACGGTGCTATTGACGAGTTGGATGAATATGGAGGCGGAGGAGTTTCTGTCGTCGCAGTGGATGTGTTGCCAAAGCTACTCGGTACGGATACCTCGGATGAAGCATCAGAGGAGCGATCATCTAGCTGAGGTGAAGCAAGGTCCCGTTCAAACTCATATCTATTCTTCTGCTCGCATGGGAAATCAGACTGTTCGTTTAAATTCGACTGGCGACGCTCAAAGGCAATTGTCTTTTCATGAATGCTGACTGGGCGTGGTGTATATCTTGGTAGAGGAGCAGTGGAGAGATATGGTTCATCTATACCCGGTGCATCGGTATCCCCATTGACCCCACCACATCGTCTGAAGCCTGCTTGAGGGTCATGAGGCTGCTGATGGAGAACAGGTGCGGATGGAAGTCGTCTGGGGCTGGGAAAGCAGCAGCACAAGCTTCCGAGCATCTTCACCCCGCTGTTTATATAGTCAATTAATATAAATAGGGTGCGTTTTGAAGGCGTTTCTTGTTGAAAAACCGAAAGATAAAATGAAAATATATGAACGGTAATAATAGGAGAGGACAGATGGAAAACGAGAGGGGCGCTCCGTTGACTGGGCGAATTGGCTCCAGTCTGATCTAAAATGTGGGTAACCCCAGATCTATTTTACGCTGCTACGATGGACATTGTGATAAGGATAAGGGACAAGAAGAAAGGGCAGCCCTCCATCAACACAAGAAGAAGACAGCAACAAATGTAAATATCGAAATCGCAAAATTTCCACGACACGGCGCTGATGGAAGCAAAAACGGCAAGATTGAGGAGAATTGATTGTTGATGCCTTCAGGACTTGTTTCGATGAAGTTGGCTTTTTTCCCTTTCTGGATGGTTTGGTTCGCTTCGGCTCAGCCTCACACGAGGCTTATTTTACAACACCGTACGCACCTCGGAGCCAATTAACTGCCAGATACAATCATTTCATTGGATAAAATGTAAAGTATCAAACCTTAGCGTAATTACATTTCAAGGCACAAAATGCGGGGATGAACCTTTATCCGACCCACTACAGTCACATGACAACATAGCTTATTTTAGCCTCATGCCTGGAGAAACCATAATCCGTGTAATTTTTTGGATGCGGAAATTCAGAATGTTGAGAAAACTCACTCGAACGGTCATTTCCCCGCACCATTACTTCAACCTACTCTCCTTTCGCGTTCATTGCAATATCTGGAGAAATTCTTAAACTATGGCTCCGTTAGAACTCCAGGGAAATGACGATTATGAAGCCATCGCGCGAGCGGTTCAACCAGTTCCCCGCCATCGATCTCACGACCCCACAAACAACCAGAAGCGGACAGATCCTTTCCAGTTCGGCTCGCGCTATCTCGAAGAAGGCGACGATATTTTCGAATTCAACGCTTGGGATCACGTTGAAACTGACGCTGACTATCGAGAATACGCAGAGCTTCAATACTTAAGGCAGAAAGAGTCACCGGTCCCAGAGGACGCTCGTGACAAATACAATGCGAACCCTTCCAAATTCTGGAATCTATTTTACAAGCACAATACGAGCAATTTCTTCAAGAATCGCAAGTGGCTCCAGCAAGAATTCCCGATCTTAGTGGAGGTTACTCAACCCGACGCGGGTCCTCAGGTTATTCTGGAAGTTGGCGCAGGAGCAGGCAATTCCGCGTTTCCAATTCTTGCGAATAATAAGAATGAGCAACTAAGGCTGCATGCGTGCGATTATTCTAAGAAAGCAGTGGAGGTTATGCGCAAGAGTGAGCAGTATGATGAAAAGTATATGCAAGCGGATGTATGGGACGTTTCGGCTGAGGGCGAGGATTCTTTACCCCCTGGCCTAGGTCCGGATTCTGTTGATGTGGTCGTGATGATTTTTATCTTCTCCGCCCTCTCACCCAGCGAGTGGGGCCGCGCGTTGAAGAACATTCACCGGGTTCTAAAGCCCGGTGGCCATGTGCTTTTCAGGGACTATGGGAAGGGGGATCTCGCACAAGTGCGCTTTAAAAGCGGTCGGTGGATGGGTGAAAACTTTTATGTGAGAGGGGATGGAACGCGAGTATACTTCTTTGAGAAAGAAGAACTGGAGCACATCTGGGGTCGATGGAGCCCCCAAAATGGAATTCCGGAAACTAGCGAGAGCAAGGTTGCAGGTTCTGCAGACACAGCTCCGGAGTCACCAGATGATGCCGGATTTGAAATATTGGCGCTTGGAGTTGACCAACGACTGATTGTTAATCGACAACGGAAATTGAAAATGTATAGGTGTTGGATGCAGGGCCGTTTTCAGAAAAAGAAGGTCGAATCGCAGCAGTCCAGCACGCGCAACCCTGATAGCCAGAAAGTTGAGCTTCCAAACTGAATGGTCACTATGCTGTTTTGCATTATACACCATCGTTTCGATAGACGGTTTAACTAGAATCACGGCCTTACGGCACTTGGAGTTACGGCGCTGTGCTCAGTTACGAAAATGCAATTTATGCGCTACTCGAAGTTAACAATCCTGGCCATGATCACCTAGACATCTTCGACGCCGTTTAATTAACCATTTGTTCTTCTATCGATTTATTCTCACCACTCAGGCGTCTCATATAACAAGCGATCGCAGCACCCTACAATCTCATCCAGCTAAGAACCAAATCAGGACCAGGCAAACCGGGCAAACGCGAGTACCTACTGTCTACCTCAATACATCATATTCCATTCGGCTCTTTTTCAGCCAGCTTGCAAGAAGATAATGAAACACTATGAACTACGACTTTCTATGAGGTTTTGAAAAGTAGGATTATCTACTCCAATATAGAAGCATACATAGAGTATAGATATACTTTGAATACAATCTAATATCTAACAGAATTATCTTTCTTTCCGCAGATAGGGGCAAGAACATCTTCGGGGTCATGTTTTCTCATCTTGATGTCCAAGCGACCTCTCCCATCATTGACTTTTGGCAATGCTTTGTTCTTTCCCCAACGAGCCACCAATCAATATCCTCAAATTGCGAAACCCCTATTCACGGAGGTAAATTTTGCTCACTTAATTCAGTCAAATTTTTCGTCCGGCTTGCCACAAGAATAAGAGCGACAAGCAGAGTTACTTTTTGGTCACTCGCGCCCTCTCATGAACACGGATGTCCCCAGAGCCTGTTAATTATAGTTTTTTACAAGAGGATGAAATTATGGGGCTCACCACCATGCGGGATGCCGATAAAGGTACTAAATACCCGCCATAACCTTGGTGCTGCTCACATTTTTAGCAAGTGCTTAATGCAACCATTTGGGGAATATTAGCGCTGAAATTTCAGAAAAAACCCCCCACTGGTTGGCAATCCCCTTCAATTAGTTCAGACAAGGAGCGAGAACCCGGATTTTTATGAGCTTAGCTTTTCCTTTCTTCGAGAAAAACGACATCTTCCCAAAGGCCCGGAGGATAAGAGTCCGAGAGGATGCCGGAGTTCAGGAAGCCGATCGACGACGGACATTGGCTAATGACTTGCAGCTATGTGACAGAAAGCCAGATACTGCGCGGAGTGGGAATTCTGGGGAGAGGTTTGTGGTATTTGGATGGGGGGAGGTCCATGTGTGGAGCTTCCTAGCTGCTACTTTCATTTGGGTTTAATATTCTATAGATATCTTATACTTTATTTCATCACTGTCTACTTTTCTGCCCTTGAACTGACTTGAGGTTGACCGTTTTGCTCTGGAGGACCCCTCTGGTGTTCGTCAATACAACTCTTAATGGCACAGCAAGCTATCAACCATAAGGATACCTCCCCTCGGGGGGAAGCTCCCGTGTCTGAATCCGGGGGCTTCCATGTGATTTTCAAGAACCCATACGTGTTTGGAGTCGCGCTGGTTTATGAAAAATAGTCCTCAATTCACCGCTGATGCCCATGTCTAATTAAATGTATAGTTCTCCTCCCTCGGTGGTCTACTATCTGGCTACGACCAGGGCGTTGTCTCGGGAGTACTCACGATGGAGTTCTTTGGAGCTTTATTCCCAAGAATTTATATGGATAGTAGTTTCAAAGGATGGTTTGTGTCGACACTGCTGTTGGGTAGGTGAAAGGCTGAATCACTCAATATCTTCTTTGGCAAGCCAGGCGCGATATGAACGGAGAAGAACTCGTTATTCTAATATCAATGTACAGCTGCCTGGCTCGGTTCCTTAGCGAATGGCCCTTTTGCGGACTATATTGGCAGGAGATTGTCCATAATCGTCGCTGTTATTGTATTTTTGGTGGGTTCCATCATCCAAACCGGAGCAGTCAATCTGGAAATGCTCTATATTGGTATGTACAGAGCTGAACTTTCGCCATCGGATTTTGAATGTGAGTGTTTTACTGATATTGCTTTCTTATGCTCAGGGCGGGCAGTCGCCGGGTTCTCAGTTGGGCAATTGACCATGGTTGTTCCACTGTATATTAGTGAGGTTTCGTTGCCTGCAATCAGGGGTGGACTTGTAGTCCTCCAGCAATGTAAGATACTTTTCCGATCAATTTATCCCAACCCTTTCTAACATCACTTACCACAGTGTCTATTACCATTGGTATTCTTCTTAGCTATTGGATTGATTACGGCTCAAATTACATTTACATTGGCGGGACGCGATGCTGGTTCACCCCTGACATGCTCGAAACCATCACCTGGGGCACATATATATTCTTTGCCGCCTTCTGCTTGCTCGCGCTGGCATTCACCTCATCCCTGAGACGAGAGGAAAAATTATGTTGACTTCCGCCTTCCCCGCAACAAAGCGTATGTGGTTTGGTGTGATCTTCAAAACTAACGAACTCACGCTCGAAAAAAATAAATAGACCCTAGAAGACATGGACCTTGTTTTCGGGGACACGGCGGCGCATGAGGAGCAGCAGCGTATTGTGCAGATTGAGGCGGCACTGCGCGGGACACCGCTCCCGGGCGCGGCGGCGTTGAAAGAGAGTCTGTTTAATGAGGAGTGAGCTTGAGGAAATGTTTAAAGAAGGGAGACCCAAAGAAGGGAGACACTGAAGGTTCAATTCTTTAGTACATGTGCCATTGGGCGATTGTGAATATAAATCACATGGAAGAATGTATGTATGTATGTATGTACCGACTGTACTGTACTGTTACATGTACAGATTTTGAAATATAGAAAAATACCCTCCTCTGCAAGGGTGATGATATTATCGATGGAATTTTACAAGAGGGTAGATGATATTCGATGATTTCCTACTCAACTCCGGTCGTAACCCTCACAAGGAAAAATGACAGGGAAAAAAAAAAAAAAAAAAATGGAGGCGAAGAGAGAAATTTGTTATTCAAAAATACCTCTTCCCTTCCACAGCCCCTTCTGTACCAAAGCCTGTCCAATCGAAGAACTCCATCCCAGCAGGAGCTACAGGAGGGCCAACCCCTTCCTCTGCTGCCGCAGTGCTCTCTATGGATATATTATTCCCGCTGGTAGTACCACCTATATGGTCAAGCTCAGCGGGAGGGCCACCAGCAGCAGCAGCAGCACCACCACCACCACCACCACCACCAACCCGAACCCCTCCTGGAACCACAGAAAGGTTGCCAAAATTCTCATGACTCCCAGCCGCGCCCGTGAAAAACGAATACGCATCGCCGAACATCATTTCTTGATTCTGCACGCTCATCTCCTGCGAGATTATACCGGCCATATCAGCCTCCCATGCATGATGCATTCCACCATCATCATTATTCTCATCATCTCGCCGAACAACATTATTATTATTGCCTGAGGGTCCCGCTGCTGTCTTCGCAAAACTCGTAGCTACTGGAGGCAGGGGGGTAGTATTGCCGGTATCAATATACTGATGGGGATTGTCATCGCTGGTACTGTCGAAGGTTGTCCCTGATGCTGATCCGGCGGGAAGGCGTGGTGATGAAGGAGAGGGAAATGCGACCGGCCCACAAAGTCTATTTATGACTTCCAGACAGCGTGCGGCGAGGCGGTTATTTTTGCCCAGGGAGCTATGCGGGCTGAGAAGGCAGCGGATGGTGTGGATATCAGAGAGCCAGGAAGGGGCGGAGGGGGAGGTTGGGGTTGTTATTAGGAAGAGAACGGGGATTAAGGCGGCTTGGAAGAGGAAATATCTATGGAATGTTTAGGAATACCCAAATATGGGCGGGGTAGGTAAAGGGTATGCTGGTTAGTACTTACAGCATATACCATCCAGCTATTCTCGTATATGGATTCAACACCATGTAGCATGATATCGACTCGATCGTTGCCCGTGCAGCCCGTAGGCAACGCATTCTGCACTCCTCGTCTGCCGGTGGTGCTTGGTTGGGGTCAGTGGAAGAGGAAAATTGCGGCTGGCGCATCTGCTTCCATCTTTGCGTGGCCCACGTAAGTAGAATAGGACGGTATAAGATTATCTGGAAGTTCCAGCGGCGCCAGGAGAGGCGCTTTTTGGCAAACTCGAACCAACACGGGAGCTGCAAATTTGAGCTTCCATTAGAGCGGCTGTAATCGTCGTAGTGGCTATCATCACGTTCGAAGAATGGTGGTAAGGAGCAGAGAAAGTCATCAATGGGTATCTGTAGTTTTAAAGTTTCTTCTGCTGAGAGGTTGCGGTTGGATAGGAGGTAATGGTAGAGTTCGTTGGTTGTTAGATGGAATTTTGCCTGGGCGATTAGGCTTGAGTAGAGAGTCGGCTGGTCGCACTCCACTGGGTCTGATGTAGTTGTTGCGGTCAAGGCCTGGGAGATGCGTCAATTATAGGACTGTTTCTAGAAGTAGTTGGGAATATATCAGACTTACCGTTTCGGGAATATTCTTCACCTGCTTCGCATCCATGATGCACGCATCAGGTAGGAGAATCGGCCGTCCAAATGTGATGGAGGCACCACTATCAAAGATAAAAGTACCCCACCAGACCCTTCGCCTCATTTCCCGCTGCAGCAAACTAATATTCCACTGTGGAAACTCCTTATGGAGACCCAAACTCAGCGCCATCCGTATTGCAAGTCCCAGGTAATTCCAGCCGGTATTGAGTTTGTTGCGCTTTTGCGTATAATTGCTAAGAAGCAGGAACGCTTGTACGCATGCTAAATTCCCCACCTCAAAGACCGAAACATCTTGCAAATATCGGTTGGCTTCGTTATAAAACGTTTCGTGGATATCGACGTTATCATCTCCAAGGGTCCAGGCGCCGAGAGCAAGAACGGTGTTAAGAAGGATCGGCCATGCATGGCCCCGTGGCCTAGGGATTTGTTCGTTGAACTGAGCTCGGAACGTTTCCTCGTGGAGGAATGGGTAGCTCGTGTGGTAGTTGGCAAAATATGCATCTATAACTGTCTGAGCCACGACTTGTGAAGGTGCTATCCCCGGATGCGTCGACTGCCACATCATGGACTGAGACTCAGGTGCAGCCTTGCCAGCTGCTGCTGATTGACTTGGGGAATTCACATCCCAGCCACCCATAAAGAGTGCTCGAAGCGGCGCAACGCTTGAAGGACCGCCTACAGCATAGGATTAGTTTGAAAGGCCCATAGATGGTACCGGGAGCGTGGGATGGGTAGTAACGACCAAGATATCCCGCGCCTTCAGGCCGGATTGAAAGAGCTGCCATGCCATCAGATAGCTCGCTAAGAGTAAGTTCTTTTTCAGCCCAGTCAAATCCATCTGCAAGCTGGGGGAGTGCCTCTGACGCAGCTTCCGGAGCTGCTGCAGCGTCTTTCGGGATAACCACAGAGACAGGTTTTTGGGGGGGTTCAGATTCCAGTGGGCATTGATCATCAGATGGCTGAGGAGAAGAGGACCCTAGGAACTCTTCGATGTCAACATTGGGTAACAATGTTGAGATTACTGCCTCCAGCTTTCGTATGCGCTCTTCAGCATTTGTAAGGTTCCTTGAAGCAATTTTTGTTATTAACCCCAGGTCATAAACTTCTAATGGTGACACAAAGAACCTACTGTCGCGTCAAAGGTGTTCGAACCACCTTAGGACTGTATACACACTCCTTCTTCAACTGCTTACACAGCGAACATGTTGGTCGTTCTTTCGAGCACTATCCAGAAATCGCAAGCCGATAATTCATTAACATGTCCATTATAACATGGTCTCAGAGAGCAGACTAGTCTGTTCCCAGGACATGTACAGAGAAATGTGACACGGAATGCACCGTGCATGTACAGGTACATACATACCTTCGATTTCCGAAGCCTACACTCATCGCACTATTTCTCCCAAAGAGCAAAGAAGCGCACCAATCAGTATAGAACTTCATCAAATGCGATACAACAGATAAAAAAAAGGAAAAAGTTTCTACATGTTCTGGGGGAATGCGTAGATGGCTAGAACATCTCGAAGTCGAGTCCAAGCATTCGTGCAGCATAAAGTGCCACCTCCATACATGCATAAACTGCGCTTTTCTTGTTCAAGTACCCTTACGTATCTCAAGTGCATGATTGTATAGGTCTCCTTATCGGAGGGGAGGGGTCGGAAGGTAGGTACAGAACCTGACCTGAGCTGACTGGTGGGAGAATAGAAGATAAGAATAATAATAGAGTCAAACATACCGCAATGCTCTGCAAGCCTTGACCTGAACCCGAGCTCTGGCCTTGGCCCTGGCCCTGGTTCTGTGCGAGGTTCTGTGAGTCCGTCTGCCCGTCGGTGGTCATTGTTGGCAATCCTTCATCCATCTGCAAAGGGCACAAAAAGAGAAGAAGAGAAGAAAAGTTAGACATCCGTTGATCCATTGTTCAGCGGTTTTCCTTTCTTTCTTTGCATCACCGCTGCAGTAGGGTGTGTCCATAACAGCAGAAGAAAAGAAAAGGAAAAAAAAAAAAAAAAAAAAAAAAAAAAAAAAAAAAAAAAAAAAAAAAAAAAAAAAAAAAAACAAAGGACAAGAGTTCAAGTGCATCCACAATCCAACAATCTCCCTTCAACCCACAACACACGCCCTTCGTTCATTGCTCTTTTTCTCCCCCTCCCCCCTCAATAGCCCTCCAACCCCGAAGCAGTTGGCAGAAAACAGATGCCATGAAGCAGTAGCACAAAGGACATATATCCAGCCTTAAAACATCTCTTTTTCCTCAGACTCCGAATTTCCTCACCCCATCCCCTCCCCACATGCGCTGGCCTTTGACCTATCTGCAGATCAGATGGGTACACCAGGTCTATAGCAGAAGCCGTTATGCCATACACATAAAGGGATATGTATATGTATGGTATGTATGGCGGCGCATGCGGGTATAGTAGATCTCTCCACTTGTGTACGCACATGTGCACATGTACAACCCGAGCCCATAAACAAAAAAACCATTGCAACGGAATGAAGTTGCGGGGTTGGAACAGGTACAAAACGAACAGCGTTGAGGCAATGCCATGAAGAAAGAATATAAGGAGAGAGGGGAAAAGAAAGGAAGTGGGGGGCGGGGGGTGGATTATTCAAAAAGGCAAGATAAAAAACAGCATTAAAAACAAAAGGAGTGGTAAAAAAAATTTTAGAAAAAAAAAATTAAAAAGTAACATACCTCACCCACCACCTACAAAAATATATATCGAACAAAAAAATAATAAAATAAAATAAAAAAGAATCCCTAACCAGCCCAACAACACCATGCGAGATCACAGGACGCTGTGCCCCCTAGCATAATTCTCTGGAGCTACCTAGGTTAACGACTCCGTACTCAGGAAGGAACGACGACGAGCAGTTAGAGGTCGGTGTGTGGGATTGATTGATTGATCGATGGAGGGGGTAGCGTAGCCTAGTGTGCAGATCTAGAGAATATACGCAGTTACAGCGACCCCCCCCTCTCAGCTGCTGTGGATTGATCGAAGAGAGTAGTTAAAGGGACGGAAGTTTGGTTTTTGGTGTGTACAGCACAGCACAGTACAGCATATGGTGGTGGATTGATAAGGATAAAAAGGACCCGCAGGTGTTGGTTGATTTTGATTGTCGTCTGCGCAGTAAATGGCGAAAAAAGAAAAAAAATTGAAAGGGTTTGGTTTGGTTTGGTTTTGGGCCAATCACTGGCGCCCAATTCCTGGAGCCGCAGTGGTGTCACGTGGACTCCGCTGGCTCGGAAACTTGGAAGTATTCAGATCAGGCACTTGTTCAGTTTCTGTGATCCAATATTATGTTATTTTAATAGATTTTTATTTTTATTTTTTTCTATATACACGAACATTTCGTAAATATATATACCAAAACCCCCCTCTGCTATTCTGCTATTTACAACAGACAACAGTGGAAGCAAAAGAAGAGCTAAACACACACACACACACACACACAAACACACATATATATATATATACATACCTACCTCCCTAGGTAGGTACTCTAGGTACAGTCCGTAGCTGTCTTTCTTTAAACCCCCAGGCGGTTAAACCTAAACACGGGGGGAAGTACATGCACATCCAACCACATCATCTTTTTCTTTTCTATACCCTTTCTTCTATCCCTCGCAACGAAAGAACACAAGAAACGAACAAAAAAAATATGAAATAGCCCAACACCCCTCAGCCATGCCACGCACAGGATTAAATCATTATTATTAAAATGGCTATTCCCCCTCCCCTTCCCTTTTTTACCCCGCAAGGGGGTGTCTCATGTAACCGAGCAACGACAGGAGTCGACAAGTTCATCTGGTTCGAACGGAGCGTTTGTTGTATGATTATTCCTTTGTTTTCCTTTACTTTTTGTTCCCCTTTGTTCCCCATGCTATTTTATCTCCCCATTGGTGCAAACGCGTGTAGAAAAAAAAAAGGAAACGATAGAGAAGTGGAAAGGCAGGGAGGTAAATGGGGGCAGCGTTGGGGTTGGTTTTGCGTTGTGGTCTATTTGTGAGCAACCCACCCCGGTTGACGTGCGCTACCACCCGGCTAGCTCGAAAGGATGCTCGGAACGTTGTTGCGTGAAGAGGTGCACATGTGTATCGTCCGGGTGCAGGTGTCTCCCTGGGAGAGGCTGGGGAATTGAGGATGTCAGCTGGCCCCCTTCGCGGGGTCTTCTAAGTTGGCTCAATGCAATTATTTCCGATCACCTGAACCGGCAAAGATAGATAGGCTGGATAGAGGAGCGCACGAGGAGCCAAGAAAAAAACCTAAACGTCTTATCTACATCGTTAGAGACGGACATTCACCCTCCGCGCGGACGAAAGCCCCCGTGAAAAGATCCTGCATGGCGGTATAGTGGAACAGGATTCCCCCAAGCACAGCGACGTGCCAGATATTATGGCTGCCGCCGATGTAGTCGAAGAAGCCAGGGAGCCAGCGCTCAGGGATCTGTAACGCATATATCATCGCTCCCAGCAGGTAGACGGCCAGGCTTTTTAGTAGAGGTGCGTAGAAGTATAGAGACCAGCCCAAGCTCCTTGTCAGGCTTAGTTGGGCCATGGGTGCGAAGCCTGTAGCTGCCAGGGTTACGTAGAAGGAAACGCGCGCCCATGCCATGTCCGCGCGGTTGAAAGTAGGGTGCCAGGGGAGAATGACGCCGGCGACGCCTAGGCTAGACGTCGTGACGATGTAGATCCATCGGGAGACTGGTTCGCAGTAGAAGGCAGTGTATTCCGTCGTGACGATTGAGGCGGCGACGAGCAGGGATATCCCGGTATAATCGACGCAGGCGAAGCGTTCCATGAGCGGCTGTGACGCGATGCTGTTCATTGTGTGCCATAGGGTACTGCAGACAAGGCACTTGCAGGCGGCAACGAAGAAGATGGCAGCGACTGTGATGTCGGTTTTGGTGCTGAGTGTGAAGTTCGGATTTGCGGGGTAGAAGTAGAATGCCACGGCCAGGACGACGAGTAGGCCAATGAAGTGCGACCAGATGTTGAAGAGTTCGTTGGAGAATGTAAAGACGGACGTTACACATTCGATCTTGGAAGTTGTGAAACGGTAACCCTGCAGAATGTATGGGTTGACCCTCCAAGGGTGCGGCAGGTCGGAGTACTGGATTAGCCGCCTTTCATTGGCTAGATGGATCGCACGTTCGATGTTCTTTTGCAGGGCTTCCCGTGCACGCTCGACGCTCTCATCCATGACTTCGCGGGCGTGCGTTAGGCCCGGTTCCACGGCGCGCCATCCATCGTCCAACGTTCCATATAGACCCCGATCGCGCACGGCCTGCGCACTGACCTCGAGCTCGCCGAGGAAATTCTCCATCAAACGCATGCTGGCCTGGGCTTTTTGTTCGAGAGTTTCCTTTGTTGCGAGAGCCTCTTTATAACGATCCTCCAGCGTTTCCACCAGGATTTTGGCTCGTCGCTTGCCGCTTCCCATCAGCTCCCCGGAGGCATGGGAGCAGGAATCCCGCACGGAAACCAGGGCGGCATATCCTCGTTTTAGCCTTGCGTCGATATGTGTTATGTGTGATTGCCGATATTCCTCCAGCCATTGTAACCGTCGCTCCATTTCTGTGAGGAATAATTCGACCTTAAAATAAAAGCAAACAAATTATACAACGTTAAATCTTGCCCGGTTTCCATTGAAACTTCCATTATCTGCAGGTAAAGGGAGCAACTCACTCGCAAGAATATAGCATCCGCATCATAGTCGCAGGATAGTCGTCTGTTGGTATGAAAAGAGTGCCTTCTCCGTCTGTTACGCAGTAAACTGGCACGTTCGTCCTGGGTAGCGAAACCGGAAGCATTGGAAGCTAGGTCAGGGTCTGCGTGGGACTCCATGGTCACGGAAGGGGCTGTACAAGCCATGGTCACCCTTGATTGACGGGGATGAAGCCCAAGAGGCGGGCAGGTTGGCGAAACTCGAGGTGTATATTGCGTTGAGAACTCCCTCTAGGTAGTGGGTTCTCTGGTATATCGAGGTTAACCTCGGCGAGTAAGAAGAAGACGAGGCCGAGACGAGTGGGAATTACGGTCTCATATTAAGTAAGGATAAGAATAAAAGTTTCCAACAATGAAGGATAGACGGATAGGAGAAATTAATAGAGGGAGAGAGTGCGCGTGGGATGCTGCGAGCTGAGGAAGCGGGAATAATAATAACGGGGCAATTGAAGGAGCGGAGAGGGGTTATATAGGGGCGAGCTGGGAGGAAAAAGAGAGAGAGAAAACGAAGCAAGGACCAAAGGAAACGAAGAAGAATGATAGAGGGATGAGGAATGAGGATCAGAGGTTGGGGGGGAGGAGTGGAGCGAGAAGACAGCAAGCAGTCTAGTCTGGGGCGCTAATCGCCTCCGCCGGCCGAGCAACTAGCGAAGCGCCCTGGGGCAGTTGTAACCGAATCCTTGTTTTATTTAGCTCTGTACTCCGTACTTGCGTACACGTTTCCAGCGTAAGCTGTGGCGGTCTACTCATCATGCTGCAGGTTGTTGCCAGAAGAAAGCTCGCGTGCGGTAATCGGCTCTCATTTTGCTATCTCCCCAATGTCTGACAACGCATCGACCTTTTGATACAAGCAATAATTAAGAACTGATAGGCTCTATGATAGAAAAGAAGCCATTTGATAGCTCAGGATGTGTCCACTGTGCATTCCCTGTAGCTCACAATTGCAATAGGTATGACACGTATGGGTGACAACAAGCGTAGAGATGGACAGCAACCGATAGACCACATGGGCATGGCATGGCGTCCACAAGGGAAGTCTGCATCTGGCTACGACGGCGCAAATAAAACGCAGGATGTTCGCCCGCTTCCTTTGGGGAAATACACCGGCAACAATTGAAACTGCTATTGATGAAAAATACAAAAGAAGCTCCAGATGACTGATTGCACATCCACCATAAGAATGGATTACTTAGTCTCTATCTCCCTGTCATTAATAAAACTTATGATCTTTGATAGTCCTTGCAAATCCCCTTCCACTGTTTCCATCAACTCTTCATTAACCCAGCCTGGTGTGTAAGATCCCCCAAAATCTATAATCCATAGGTTGTTATCCATATCAATGAGAACATTTCCTGGTTTAACATCTCCCCAGATAATTCCAGCTTTGTGAAACTCATTGACCATCTCTTTCAACTGATGAATCCATGTTTCTTGTAGATTTGGTGCTGCCTTTTGGATATTATCTTGAGAAGCCAATGTGCAGCGAAACTTGATATAGGTGATGAGGATATCACAAATTTCCATATTGCTCTTATTTCCAGATGAAACAAAAGCGTGAATTTTAGGTACTCGGATTTTGTCATTTAGCCCTGACTGATGTAGGTGGAGCAGTGTCTTGATTTCGCGTTCAGTATGTTGTAATAGCTCTCGATAAGCTGGTTTGAAAAATTGCTTCTTATTACCCACAAGCACTTTTGAAGGTCGTAGTGGTCTTTCATTTTTTGAATCCCAGGGTAATTTCACCTTCGAAGGATCAAGTAGAGGAATGCTAGCAGCCATAGCAGTATATGATGATGAAAGGCAGGTTCGGGGCATAAGGTCATCTGGTTTGGGTTTGTGTGAGGATTGGATTGCAGTTAATTTGCCATCATCAACTGTTATGGTCAAATGAATTGCTGGTGTCATGTAATATTCCTCTAAGGTTATTATCCGCGGCTCAGTTGGACAAGGTGCCAGGATATGGAAGTGTGCAAAACAAGCCTTTGCCATCCAGTAGCACATCTCCTCCATTGGGTCTGGTTGGCCAGGTATAAACTGGAAGTCATCATTATCCATACACAAAAGGTCCTTTATCAAATCCAAAAATTCATGTTTGATTGCTGGACACTGCTCCATGTTTTTGGCTAGGGCTCGAATATCAAAGCGCCTATTGTAGCACATCACAGTCATTTCAGTTCTATCTTTATCACCACACCAAAAGCTGACAATGTCGTATGGCGGGTCAAGATGCGGAGTGGTCTCGGAACTTTCATTAGGAGTCATCTTAGCAGGACAGGACGGGATGATTTTTGCGGATTTGAACAGGTTGGGTGAAAAAAAATTCTTATGGTGAAAGGGTGAGTGGTTAGACGGCTTTAAATTTAAGATGCATTTTGGCCCGAACACGTGATAATCGGCGCATCAATAGTCCGACCAATCAGTGGGCTAACATGGGAATTTATTTACACTGCTCCGCTCCCGTAGTTTAGGCGCCATTAAAAAAGCTTCAACATCCAACACTGAAAAAAACAACTAAGGTTCCCAGATATCAACCTGATTACTATTCACAATGACGGTCGACGATCTCGTCACTGATCCTTCTCTTTTACCCGTCCTCCGGACCAGCGCGGAAACTCTCTCACAATGCCAAACCCTGCTCTCCATGCTTGATCCCTCGACCCTAACCCCCTCTCCGTCACAGGACTTCATACTATCAATATCAAAACAACAAAAGCTAGTATTTTCACTCCTAGCGCAGCTTCGAGGGTTGAATCGCGATGCCATTCTTAGCGTTAGAGCCACGAAGCAAGCCACCGCTGAGGCGCGGCAGGAGATTGATAGGTTGCACCTCCACCTACAGAATCTATATTATGAGCAGAGGCATCTAAATGGGGAGATTGCGGCATGCGAATCTTATGAGTATGTGCTTCTCCATGTACATAGGATTTATCCTTCTTGTTTGGCCGCATATAATTCTATACATATCTCCCTTCGAAGACTTTTTGGTGAGGTTCCTCGTGCTAACAAAACCTCGATGTACAGCCACAAATATCTCTCTCTTCCATTAATACCCATCGAGGAATTCCTAACTATCCATCCCGAGCTGGCAGAAGCCGATCCGAACCAACTCATGGTTGCGCGCATCAACCACGAGCATGCGGAGCGTGAGAAATTAGAGCAGGCCAGGCAAGAGCTTCTGAAGCGAAAACAAGCCTTGATTGCAGAAAACAAGAAGCGGAAGGACGATCTGGCCAATCTGGATCAAGATCTTGAGAGATTTATTGACGTGAGTTATTTCATTTGCTCCCCACCTGGATTCATTTTTCAATATCTTCTCGGATATAAAAATGGCCCGTCGCCAACTTTCATATCTATGATGAGATTAAGCTAATCACTTCTTCCATTGACAGGCTGCCAAACCGATTCAGAAAATTTTCGAAAAGGAATACTGAGTCTTTCGCTTACCTTATTTCGTCATCTACATGTAGCATTTTCGGCGTAGTTGGTTCGAATGGTCATAGTACTGTACTCTTCTTGACACAGGGTTACAGGCGTTGTTGGCATTCTCAAAATGATATGATACACACCTCTATAACTAGAAATCTACTAGTGAAAATCTCATTTATTAATGGTAAATCGTCTATTTGCCCGGCTCTGATGTATCGTTGTATATGATGATAGCGTCTTGATCTCCTCCTACCTATACTTAGAACGGAAAGATATTTCGCAGTCCGTTTCCATATTTGCTCCCATAAATAGGCTCACGGGTACCAGGATTATAATATCATACTTACCGTACTTATTATCGTAACTATTGAGAGTCATATTTAGTTCATAATTATCTTTTCTTGCGTTTTGTAGCAAGCTTGTCCACCTCTCCCTCGTCGACTTTGGCCCACCCACCCAATCACAGAGGACCAAGCATCAAGCCACCACTTCTTCTCCGCGACTCCGCAACTTCAACTTGTTCAACCCGCCAAATTTCTAGTCGCCCAGCTCCCGCTATATTCAAGCGGACCATGAGCTGACAATGCGGAATAAGAATGGAGGCAATATGGGAGCCTCCTCTGCTAACCCACAGACAAACGCTACAATCGATGACAAACCAGCCATGACGACCAGCGCGAAGCGTAGCCTCCCGCCAGAGAAGCCAGAGGCTATTCGGACCAGAACACTAGTGATATCTGCCTTTTGGGCTGTTATAATATTCCTGGGCCTTCCGATGTGGTGGAAGACAACGTCCATTTACAGAGCGAGACTTCCGTTGGACGAGATGAAGGATTGGGCAGATGGCAAGGTAGGCTTCAAAAAGCATACGTCTCCTCAATCACGGGTATATGGGGAGCTGGATATTTCAAAAGACAAATCTAATATTTCCTACGTAATAGGCATGTCGACCAGTCTTCCCCTTACAGATTCTCGTCCATGCTCCGTCAATGAATGCGCCTGATGCCGAACACCTTATTCGCACCACCCAACATGCCCTAGACGATTTGAACGATTTCTCCGCACACCACCTCAGGCTTCGGCTAGTAGAAACGTCTAAGAGCCTAGGAGAACAATCGGAGGCTATACAAATAGCAGAACCAGATGCTGAGGAGAAAGAGAATGCAGCCCTGAGTATTAGGTTGCTTCCGCGAGAGGAAGTGGCCACACCGAGTTCAGAACTACATGCGTACTCTGAAAGACTGGACATATTTTATCCAGCTAACCAAGCACCGCTTACTTCGACACTGAATTCACTCCTTGCTACATTTATCGCGGCAGAAGTGCAGAAACTGTTCAATGAGGAGAAAGCAACAATTGCATATATCCTATCAAAAAGCAACACCCTTAGTCCATCACCTCAACCCTCGATTCCAGGAGGTCACGCCCCTTCTGTGAATAACAGAGAGCAAGGAGTGGCAGCCATGAAAGCGGTAGCCCCCCAATTGGCGGAGTCAATTGTTCGTCGCACCACCCGTTCTTTTAAATATGCCGAAACCTATCATTTAAGCTTCTCGCTTTTCACACCGGGGCCGCTGCCATCTTCATGGGATATCGAACCAGCGCTGCAAGATTACCTGTTACCGCTTCTAAGAACGTATTTGCCCATTAGCAACTTCTCCATCGACACGCAGGTGCAGGTATACGCAAGCTTTGCCCCTAGCGCGACACAGCCAGAATTCGACGAATCACTGGACGCCTGGACGCTTAAGAAGGAAGAGCTAGGTTCATTCATCAACGCTGCGGAATGGCCTTTAAGCCCTAGCATCGGCAAAAGCCCTACAATAAATTTCATCCTCTACGTCCCTTCACCAAGCGAATCTCCCCTCATCATTAAAGAAAATCGCGCCACTAGCTGGCTCATCCCTCAATGGGGCGGAGTCTTCATCCTCAACCCACCCCTTGATCCGTCGATGATTCCTAGGGCAAACCCACCCCATCTCCCCAAAGACTCACTCCAAAACCCCCTATCTACCTTCTCCCATCAACTCCTTACACTCCTTGGTACCCCGTCCTCCCCCGCATCCCTCCCCCTCCGCCTCCAAGCCTTAGTACGCATCCATACAGCCTCCCTCCTCCTCTCCGCATCTTCAACCATGGGCTCGCTGGCCCGTCTTACACGCTCTCTTGCTTCAATCCCCATCCCACTCAGCGTAGCCAACTCCGTTTCGACCACTCTTTCGCATCTCTCGGCTACATGCGATCTCTTGCGTGAGGGCCGCTTCAAACAGGCGTTGGCGAGCGCACGCGTTGCGGAGAATGAGGCTGAGCGCAGCTTTTTTGAGAAGAGTATGGTTGGGCAAGCGTATTTCCCGGATGAACATAAAGTTGCGGTATACCTGCCACTGCTGGGACCGATTGGGGTACCCCTCGTCTTGGGCCTGATAAGAGAAGGGAAAAGAGTAATTCTGACGATGAGGGGGGTTAGGTAGATCTCTTCACTTTTTTTTTTTTTTTCTTTTTTAATACCTCTTCTCCTTTCTCCTTGTCTCTTTTTTTCAGTCCGAAGTCCATGTATATTCTATTCATTTACTATTTTTTGATGTTTTACATCGGGGTCGTCACCCATCCTTGGTAGACAATCACCACAACTGGAATACTTCTTTTAAGATACCTACAAGGATCAAAATCGCAGGCCGAGATCCGATTTAACCCCTCTGTCCTTTTTTCCCCTTCTTTATCGCGCGAAACAAAAATCCAAAGATAGAATTTCCTTTCCTCGCCACCCCTACCACCAACCAACCAACCAGCCAACCAGCCAGCCAGCCAACCAGCTAGCCACAGCCACAGCAACCAACCCAACATCCCATCCACACCAACGTCTATTCTCAAACCTAACATCTCATATCCATAATTCATTTCAAACCAGAACTCCATCACGATAGCGGCAATTAGGCCTCGGCTATCCAATCCTTCCCGCCACCTATAACACATATGATCACATCTTGAATTCGCAGCAGCCACCACCACCACCCGCCTCAAATGGCTACGTTGGTAAAAGGTATACTTACTCTACTACACTCCTACGCCCTCTTGTTCGCTCACGTTCTCTCGGTCAGGTAACATCCGCGGGCCCGGCCCCTGGAAATTCCAGCGAGCCTCGGGAGGATTGTTGACTTGCCAAAGTTCATGTAGCACGGGCGATGGGTGGTGGTACGGTACCTGTGGGCCGAAACCGGGTGATTGACGCTTTTCACGCGGGAGCTTGATTCTCCCTTTAATGTGCTTGCTTGCCGGGGGGGGGGGGGGGGGGGGTATGGAAAAAATGGGGTTTCTTTACAAGATATCACATAGACTCGGTTAAGTCAGATCCCCTTCTGGTCATGGAGGGTAAGGTCGGGAGGAATATGGTGATGTATGGGGAAATGTGAGGGGGAGCGAGGGGGATATAGATAGAAGTCACAAAGGGTATTTTATTGGGGGCCAGAGGTATCTTGGGCTTGGGACCAGGCCCGGAAAAGTGACTCTGTCTAACTACTAACAGACTGCTTCGGTTCAATTTTAGAGTGGGAGTTGAGTTCCGGACCACAGCCAACCATTTCGTTTGAACAAAGATATCCATCAAGAGTAAATTTGAGTAAATTTGAGTTTTCCGGTTCCTGGTGGGCTTATTCTAAATATTTGACAATGTTATGGAACCAGATATCCTACAATGTACCTATGGTGCTAACTGTGGATATGAGTGTGGATGTGGTTTCACGTTATTTAAAAGAATGCTAATAGGAATGTAAATCTTTTAGTTCGAACAAAGCGAGATAAACTCATGTGAGCTTCATACTACATAAGCTTGAGGGGAGAATATCCATGTTTCTGATTGTTTATGCCTGCTGTAGCAGCAAATCCGAGGGGAGTGCACAAGAGTCAAAAGCTACCCGTCGGCTCATATAGTAAGTAGCAGGCAGATAATCTCGCATGGCAGTTGCAGATAAATACATGTACAGTACATAGCACGGTTCGCATGTAGGTTGCATATCGTAGATGGGCGACGCTGACGATTGAAGTCACCATGCACGGGGGCGCTTGGTTCATTGGTAATAGACAAAGAAAGGGAGACCAGGGAGGTCGGATACGGGGTGAAGATCAGTGGCCTCCTGCAGCCGATGGAGCAAAAACATGGGCTGAGAAGAAAAGAAAAATGTAAGTCTTGGGTAATGAGAAGGGGTTAATAGAGGTTTGGAAGCTTTGAAGGTTGGATATAAATAGAAACTCACAATCAAGTGTTGCTGAGCTCAGATCTATTGTACGAGACAAGGAAAAGGTCATACAGGCACAAGGGTGTATATATATGATCAAAAATAACTCAAAATATAATGAAATAGGGCAAAACAAATAAAATAAAATAAAAAATAGATCTCAGGCTGTGCGGTATGCGAAAAATAATTACAAACAACCAAACTCAAGTATTGATGAGAGGATCCAGAAACCATTGTGAAACCCATGAGAAAATCAAAAAATTAAGGGGTAATGTTCCTTACAACACCTGTAGCCCTGCTCCTGAGTTAACCCATTACACAGTACTTACAAACCAAAAAACACCTTAATTATCTATAATGCTTTTTCTTCAAGTCCTGTTTTTCTGCAATCCTTTTCTAGCTTTGTCGGTGAAATCCGCCTCCAGTACACTATTATTAGCTTGTCGCACTTCCTTGTCCCTTACTCCTTCCGCTCTTCTCATCCTTTGTCTCGATGTCGCAATATGGAGCGGAGCGAACGGCTGCGGAACGGCATCGGGTCAAATTCTAACCTTCTATACCCTACCCCGCGGCGTCTGTACCTGTGGTAGAGGCGGTGTCGTTGTGACTGAGAAATACGGACTGCCATTCTTGCTCTGGAACCCGACGCGTTCCATCATTTCGGAAAATGTAGTTTGTGGTCTGCCGTTTCCAACAGACTGGTATAACTCCCCGAGTTGAGCCGGGCGTAGGTGTGCGGGGCTGAAAACTTTTATACTCTCTGTGCTGGGCTCGCGTCCTGCTCCACCACCACTGCGGCGGCCACCGACACCATTCGGCCCTGCATCCCGGTTGGACATAGTAGTCGACATCGGCATTGTCGCAATATCATCTGCGGTAGGCCTGGGTCCAAAGAAACTCTTTACCCGCGCGCTAGTTCGGCGGAATTTCGATTTCGTACTGTTATCATCCTCCTTTACAAGACTGGCTTGGCGGCGCAGGAAATCTGTCCGGACGGAATCCTGTGCTGCGGAGGGAATGGGATCGGAGATGGAGACTACGCCCTTTTCGCAGGACTTTTCGCGGAAATGGCTGAATTTCGACATGGGTGAGGGGACGAAACGTCTCTCTTGGTGGCGTTTATAGAGGTAGAAGACTGCCAGGGCCAAGATTATGCCAGCTACAAGGCCGGGAATGAGGCCGACAATGATTGCAATAGGGGGGAATTTGGATTCTTTGGGTGGCGGGTCTGTGTGCTTGATATTGTGGGTGGCTGTGGATGTTGTGGTAGGTTGTTGACCCAACGTTGAAATTGGGATAATATCCGGGCCTTGTCTGCCAGTGGAAGTAGGCGGAGAAGTAGGGCCTGTCTCTGTCTGGACGCCAGTTTGCGACGGTAATAGTGACGTTGGAAGCTGAGGTGTAGAGGAACTGCGGCCTTTATCATCTGGAAATGGTGGAAAAGCTGCATCCGGGAACGAAACTTGACAATATAAAACACCATTTTTGGATTCCTTACATCCAGTGCCAGGAGGGCAACACTTATCCCCACATCTCTGGAGCGCTATGTCTGGTCGCTTTGATTTATATATGGACATAGGCTCGTGCTCGGGGTCGTACTTCCCAGGATCGCATGAACCTAGCGTCCACTGTAAACAGTTCGCGCCAGCTGGGCAACATACCATGGAATCACCGTAATTCAAAGTAATGCATTTTGTCGCCGGAGGGCAGCAGAAATTAGGCGGAGCTTTAGGGTCTGCGCAAGTTGTGAAGTTTTCCAGGGGGCATGAACCGCTGCCGCGCCGTACAATGTCCAATGCGGCTGAAGGTGTGAATGGTATTGCAAGTGCCAGCGCTAGCAAAGATAAAGAAGTTGAGACCAAGATAATTCCGTGCTGTAGAACCGACATCCTGAGGTAACGGGCTGGGTTGTTGTCCTGTCAAAGGAGCATCAGTGTCTACGCCAGCCGCTCAGCAAAGAGAATCAGCTGAAGATTTAGTGAACAATGGAGAATGCGCGGAGGGAGTAGGATGGGGAGAGAAAATGATAGCCAGGATATCTTGGATTTCAAGAGCTCAGCAACAGCCTAAAGCTTCAATCGAAACATCACAACGTCTTGTATAAAAAAGAAACAATTAAGAACAAGAAAAGTATATCGCAAGAAAGAGAAAATATGGAGAAAAGAGGCTTATGAAACAAAGAACCAGGCAGGCTATATGACGGACAGAGTCATGTGGATCCCACGACACGGAGATCTGAAGAAAATGAGAATCCGCTGATACGCGACGCCCAAGGACCCCTCTATACAAAGCTTCCGGCGAACAGGGCCAACAACATAGGGCATTTCGACCAGGGGGAGAGGTTAGCCAGCTAACCTCTACACTGAACCACCCAACCGCCAACCCAAGCTGAAGATTGAAACCATAGAGACCCGACCAGGCCCCTCCAGGGCACAGGAACACCCTTTCTGCAGTCCCGTACTGGTTCTGCAGCTGCAGAAATGTCGGGTGTGAAACCAACGATGCAGCCCTGGTTGGCTCTGGTTGGATGTGGTTGGATGTGGTTGGATATTGGTAGTCGCAAGCCGAATCGGGCAATTTTGGCGCCGTGTCAGATAGTCGGCGGCTCAGGGCATTCATGGGCTGTGATTGGCTGATATGCTTAAAAATCCACTAGGCTCGAAAGACACTAGCCTGGCTTGGCATCGAAGAAATTCTTTGGCCAAATTCGAGAGAATCCCGTGACTTGGCGAAGAAGAAACTCCGCAGCACGAGATATCTATCCAGACATTGCACCGGCTACAATTAAAGACTTATCTATACTACTAGCAGACTCTTTTCCCCCGGCAATGGTTTGAGTCTGTCCACTTTCCGTTCATGATCCTGCAACGTTCGCTCCGGCCGCAGTCCGGCCTGCGCGCCGTCTCTTCCTCCCTGGTATGGCGATGTCCATCGCTTTTGCTCAACCGCTCCTCAAATCTGTTGCTGATAATGGTATATAGTCCTTCCTCCGAACAACTCCCCAGACTCGATCAACCCACTATGTCCCTCAATTAGGACACGATGCATCCTTCAAGCAACATGGGGTACCGGATCTTTTGTCGCCACAGGGATTCGATCTGTCATGGGTTCAATATCAGAGCTTCCTCATCAACAAATTAAATCTTTTAACAGCAGGTAATATCTTGACGGCCAATGGCATGGATAAAAAAAATAAAAAATAAAAAATAAAAATAAAACCTTTAACTGGGGAAGTCTTTGAATCTGAGATATGTTATACCTAGGCACACCCGATGAATCTGCTACTCCCGGCACTCTTCTGGTCAGATATGCCCGCGACGCCAGCATGGCATCGGTTTTCAACTATGCCTCAATGGCCCACAACAACCACTTCTTCTTCAATTGCCTTGTCAGTAGACCTCTACTTCCTTTCAACGTTTCGTCCTTCCCCCATAACCGGCCAATTCTCCATTTATTTACACATATGTGCAGTCGCCCGAGCAAGTCCCCATCCCCGAACACCTCTCCAAATCCATAGAAGACTCCTGCTCCTCCGTCGAGTCCCTGAAAGCCGAATTCCTCGCAACCGCCAACGCCATGTTCGGCCCCGGGTTCGTTTGGCTCGTCAAATCAAAGGACACCGGCCAGCTCAAGATCCTATCAACCTACATCGCCGGCTCCCCTTACCCTGCTGCCCACTTCCGCCGCCAACCAGTCGATATGGCAACACAGACCACCGGCATTACGGGCGGCGAGAACCTAGAACAGATCAGAAAACTCACCCCGACGAACCGAGTAGGCTCTATGGGTGCGTATTCTAGCCAGAAGTTCATGGCGCCTGGCGCTATTGATATCCACCCGATCCTCTGCGTGAATACCTGGGAACATGTGTGGCTTCCGGACTGGGGTGTTGGAGGGAAACCTCAATTTTTGGAGGCATGGTGGAATAGGATTAACTGGGATGAGGTGGCTCATAATGCCTCTCAAGCTGGCCCGATTTCCACGCGCCCAGGCACCGCGAGATCCTCATACAGGCGTGGCGCGAGGTTCTAGGTTGATAGTTTAATGGGGATTGGAAATTAAAGAACCTGAAGGTGAGAACGGAAATTTTTGTTTTGGGTTCTATTATGCCAGGTTTCTATGTCTGTCTATTCTGTATTATACATATATATCTCTTTCTTTCTTGTTTTATCCCGTATTATACATTTCCATCACTCTATCACCTGTGTGCTATTAGAAATTTGGAATATAGACGATTCTCCATGGCTTCTCTCTTTTCCGTGCCATGCCAAAAGGGATTCTCAGGGACAAGGCATTACCCCAAGCATATCTCTAACACCAGCTTACCCACCTAATTTTCAAATAACTCCATGCTCCATTGATAAATCCCCCAAAACCCATCGCAAGCCCCAGTTCCAATTCCACCATCCACGCGCGATCGCCTCACCCCATCCTCGCCCTCTCCAACTCCCTCACTCTCTTCTCAAACGCCTCGATCATCATCCCCGCCACCTGATCCTCCACCGCCCCCATAACAGCCGCATGCAGCGCACTGCGAAACTGAAACCGCACCTCCAACTCAACCCGCGTCTCCCCCGCGCCCCTCCCACCCCCCCCATTCACCACCACCCCATCCTTCCCCGCTCGCAGCTTCCACAACGTATCCAAAAACTCAAACAGCCCCCCATCCCCAGCTTCAGCAGCACCATCCTCCGCCGCACGCCGCCCACTCCTCGCCCCCACCGTCCACAGTGCCGCGTCACACTCCACGCGCGACACAAACGTCTCCTTCAACGGGCCATACCCCACCGTCAAGAAGGCGCTGGTTGGGTATCCGGTCTTCACGTCGCGGGCCGTCACGGTCGATGCGGTGAGGAAGGGGAGGAACTGGGCGTACGAGTCGATATCGGCGATGGTGCGGAAGAGGGGTTCCGGGGGAAAGGGGAGATTGCGAGTGGCTGTTAGGGTGCGTGGGGGCGGCGGGTTGGGGGAGAGGGGGTTCGTGAAGGAGGAGAGGGAGGGGAGGTGGAAGGGGCGGAGTTTTACGGTTGGAGTTGTAGTGATTGGAGGGAGTTTGTGGGGGCGGAGGAGCGGCCGGAGGAGGAGCGGGTTTGGTGGGCGCATTCTGCGTCCTGGTTTTTACTCGGCCGGTTTGCTCCTGTTGGCGAGGGTTGCCGTTGTGTTTCTTATGATATGGCGATGCGTGAGGGTAGCGAAAGAGGAGATATCTGGGCGATTTTGGAGCTGCGAAGCTGCTGGTTTACTTCCGGGCTATCGCATGGCCTTATTTTATCGGAGGTTATATATGACTGGGGTGGGTGTTGACTTGGAGGGTTTCGTTCTCCAGGCGCAATGAGAATCTGGGTATTTGTATCGCGGGATATATTGCGAGAACAATATAGGTGGATTAGAAATTAGCAAATTAATGGTATAATATAGGTTGGGGCTTGTGGTTATTGCTACAGCTGGCTGAGTTGGAAGTGAATGTCGTGTTGAGAACCTCCGCTGCCAAGTCCGCAACAGCTCCGATGCCAAGACGACGAAGTTTAGTTATTTATTGACTTCCTTTCCGCTCGCTATAACGGAGTAGATGCACTTCATCAAATAAAGAACATGACGCATTTTATTGTCCGATTCGTCCACTATGTGTGCTTCTTCTAAATAATAGCGTATACTATTTGCTTGAGGCTCCAGAATTAGGTTTCAACAGGAATTAGCTTTGTTGGATTCAGCCGGGCAGATGAGCAATAGAGCGCACCGCAGGAGGAAAGAGGCAGCACCTGCGTTATGATGTTTACTCTTCACCTACTGGATATTGGGATATGGATATGCCCTATACCATACCTCACGCAGCTGTGAGACCCTCAGGATGACAGGAGAGTAGGTGTGAATACGACGGGAAAATGCCCCTGAGGAACCTCCGTAGTTGATATTCCTCCTTCTGCCAGACTATATTGGCCGGGAAGGCCACCATCCACTCATGCTCTGAGTTTCAACCCTGTTATCACTACGGGTTTTAGTCTGGTCGTTATCTTGTGTGAGTTTTGACTGTTCAAGATGAGAATACTGAGTTGAGCCGGGTAGCAGGGACAGTACCTCTTCTGGGTAATGTTGTCTTGAACTGCCAGACCATTGCATTCTATATTTGGTTAGTCGAGAGAATATGAAGATTGGGGTTCGACGTTCGTCAAAATTGGTATTCTATATCTGCTCCATCTTTTTATCCATATAGTTAGCACAATAGTTATATTTCATAGGGACAGATAATGGTAATATAAACGAGGCCAGGCCTGACAATGCCATGAGCCCCATACCCCATTATACATCATCAACGTCTCCTCACCCCCCTTTTCCCCTATCACTCGTAGGTGATACTGCAACACAACATAGCCTTCACCCCAAATACTAAAGCCTACGCAGTAATCTCCGCCTTCATCGCTACAGTTCCCGCAGGACTATAAATATTCACGTTCCCTCCATCTCCCCCACCCTCCGCTTCTTCAAGAACAATCCTATATTCCTCCTCCGCATAAAGCGGGCTTGTCGCCCTATACACAATACCCTCAGGAATCATGATCTCACCCACGGCGGCCCCTTGATTCCCCTTCTGCGCTGCCCGTACATCCCGCCAGAGGTCCAGGATGGAAATGAGATTAAGGGGCCCGTGCACAACTAGACCGGGGTGTCCCTCGACTTCTTGTGCCCAGGGTAATGAGTAGTGGATTTTGTGTCCGTTGAATGTCAGGGCTGAGAAGCGGAAGAGTGTTACGGCCGATTGGCAGAGGGTGCGGGTATGGGTGACGGTGTTGTTTTCTTTCGAGGTTGAGAAGGTTGGGGGTGCGGTTGATTTGCGGGTGTTGGAGACGGCGGGAGGGGCGTTGTCGAATGACACTGGTGCCGCTTGGGTTGAGGGGTCGTGCTTGAGTGCTTCTCGGAATACCCAGTTTCTGGATTTGTGATTTAATTATTTTCTCGTTATTAGCAAACTGTATCAGTTCTGTTGTCTCCTTTCGCTTCGTATATTCATACACCAAGCTATCATACAAAAAGGTTTAATGAGCTTAGTTGCCATGGGTATAATGCATATATCCGAAATTAGAATGATAGGATATGGAATGCTAGAAGTAGGAGGGGGCCGACGTAAGATATGTGCAACCTGCAAAACGAATTGAACCATCCCCTGCTTGTAAAGAAACTCACTCACCTTCGATCTACAACCGCAACCCCATTCTCATTCTCAAATACCTTCTCTACCCCAACAACCACCATCTCCTCCCCAGTCTTCCTCACAACCTTAGCCTCCGCACTCAACATCCGCGTCGTCTCCCGCACCTCCTGCCCCACCCTCAGCAAATTCACCCTGCCATCACGCCCCCGTGGCCATCGGACCTCCCCGCCAGCCCACATGCGCCTTGTGAACGGCGCTTCAGGGTTATATGACGCATCAGTGCCATCGGCACCCAGCTCGCCTTCCAGGAACGTGGGTGTGAAGTATACCAGGTGGTGGCCAGGGGGGATGGGGGTGCCAGCTTCTGGGGGTCTCGCGTTGGAGAGTGCTGGGCTTCCCGGGTAGAGAGAGTTGCGGTTGAGGGTGAGGGAAAGGAGTTGGAGTTGGTTCGCGTCGAGGATCTGGGTGCGGGTTTGGGGGCCGAGAGATTGGAAGCGGGAGAGGAAGTTGGAAGCGATGGTAGAAGCAGTCGGGGCGGAGGTGGTTGAGTAGGGGGCGGCGGCGGTGGAGGAGGAGGAGGCGGCGGAGTATTGGAAGGCAGGTTGAGATATTGTTAGCGATCGCAATAGCTGGTTGTATGTGCTCCTATGACAGTGGTGGATACGGGAGAGGAAGGGGCACAGTCGCGACGACGAAGCGGAGGGGTATAATAGCGATGAAGACATGGTTTTTTGAATGGAGGGAAATAGTTGAGGTACAGTCGCGATTACGCCTATTGAGATGAGATAATTTTGAGTATATTGGCACCGAGATTGAATTGGCGTCTGCTATTAAATATTTAGTATGTATGTATCGTCCAGTCCACACGCAGTGCCAACTCAATCGACGGTTTCGTTGAGAGGTACGGTACGGTAGTTAAGCTACAGACAGCTCTTCAGCAAATCATGGGCGCAAACGATTTGTCGAATGGAGAGTGAAGGGTGTTGTTGACACATGAAGGCTCAACTCACAGTAATATCTGGCAGACCCATCATATGCAACCCGCCCATTATTGGCGCGCCCAACGGCCAGTGGAGGGGGACGGACGACGGTAGCTTCCACGGGGGTTGCTTGTTGGGCGCGCGCTGGGGCGGTGATGTCACGATTCATCCAATCTGCGAGACAACCTCGGGACCGTTGTTTCCCCGAGTTTCGGGATTTTCGGGCAACCGGGCCATTGGCATTGCAACGTTACCATGGCTTGATAGGATAGGGAACACAGCAGGCAAGGCAACTTTGACTTTTGTTCTTTTGTTATCAAACGATATATTTTTTCTACGTGTTTATTTTATTATTGATGAACATATATCCCAATGGGTCCTTCCATTGTATTTTTCTACTCCTGAGCTTCCTCCGGGATAGGTCGGGCGCCGCCACACATAGTCTGGAGGTCGTTATTTCGATGGGATGGACGAACGAGTGTCATGGGATAAGCAGCCTGTGGATTTTGGATTTTAAGTATGATGGGTAACCGGCTAGCTAGCTACGGAGTAAGTTACGGAGTACGGAGTACAAGTATCTACTACTAAAAAGTTTGAAACCCTCTCTCTCCCCTTCTACGCTAGGATTAATATAAGGAAGAATCATGCCAAGGCAGATCAATTAGGGCTTTTTTTTTTTTTTTTTTTCAATACTAAATAGTGAGTAGGTTAAACTACATTAATCCTAGTTGTAAAAGGGGAGGGTTGGTTTCAAAACTTTTGATTTAATTAAGTAGACACTTGTAGTAGTTACGTTAACTACTCCGTAGCCTAAACTACCTTAACGACGAATAAGGAATGCCATGTGCCTGATCTGCCGACCTGCAGACTATTATACTATACCTAAACACAACTTCAAACCTGGAATGAATATGATGAGTTAATGGCCGGCGTTCTGGGTTACCAGAATTGATATAAGCTTGAACAAATAACGATTAGGGAAATCCTTCGAAGTTCTTCCACGTGGATAATATGATTTGAGGCAAAATAAGAATATGCAATATCCAAGGCGTTCAATCGGAATTCAGCAATAGAATGGTAAATCCTATAATCTTCTCTCTCATTTTACCGTGAGAGAGCTGCCATCATGACGTAGGGGGTCGATTGGTATCCAAGATTCTCGGCCACACTCTCCGTCTGTATACACTCTCCTCAGTGGTTCCCCACGGCTTACCCATCCTGGTGAAATGCGGTTGGGGGGGGGGGGGGGGAGGAGGTTGTCATAACCCATTTTGTGAAAGCATAATACGGTAGTTATATATAATAAAGAACTTATCACATCCATGCAGGCATTGGTTCACCCTGTTTTGCCCTTTCTCCAATGTAATTTTTTCCGGTAAGGTAATGGTGAAATCGCTCGGAGCCTCCTCTCCTGGATGGGGGTTTATTTAATTAACTATTTACATCAGTCCACCTCTGCAGAGAGCTGGAAAATTAAATTAAAAGTCCTCTCTTGCATCTTTTGATATTTTCGCCTCTTCCCCCTCTTCTTCTTTCTTTGCCATTTTCCTGGACGTTTAATGTTGTTGAGCCGTCGTCGAGGGCATCGTCAACACCAAGTAAAATAAATAGCTCCGCCCAGCGTTCGGCTGCCCGAGGTTCAGGACGCGATACGATCAACAACCCCTCTCGGCCGCCACAACCCAAATCCTAGCCAGGTGCCAAGTTGCATATGAGTTTAGGAGATCTACGTTCATTCTGTGAGCTTGATATTATTTTTCTACTTCACGTTGCTCGTTGTGCGGTTCAGATGTACGACCCGCCCTCTATGCTTCTGGTGGTCCTGAATTTACATTCACGGTCCATGCTTAGGCTCATAACCGGGTGACTTGGTATGTGTTCCTGATTTCCCTTCATTTATCCCATCCCCAAGGGCGATGCGAATGTCTCAATGTGTGAATTAGAGAGTTAACATTACCCCGTATGCCCTCAGAATATCGCCGCGCATTGAGCCTAGGGTCAACGACCTTCCCATTCTGACCTCACAGTTCTCTAAGCGATGCCCGTTTGATTTTCGTCCTTTCATGTGAAGACGACCATTGCTAGGCAAGACCTGCTTGATTATGACGACTGTCTCTGCTTTAGAAGACCGCCCAGATAATACTGCTTTACCGTTTACTTCCATTCGCGCCGCAGACCTAGTGGCTTCAGGCACTCCGTTCGTCGAGTTCCCCTGTTACTCCATTCTCGATCTTCAACGGACTACAGGGATTGGTGGAGGCGGTGGACATACCGGAAGTCAAGATAAAATTGGCCAGATCACTGGTGAATGGGAAGAGCCGTCAGATGGCTTTTCTAAGTGGTTCACGCGGAGGCTACACATCGGCAAGCCGTTCGTGATCCGGGACTTCGAGAAACTACCACAATGGGACAGGAGGTTGCTTTCAATCGAAAGCTTGATAGAGCTGTCCACGAAGAAAAGTAAGGCGCTATGATTCTGACTATATCCGCGTTATATACCCTTGACGATATTTTGGGACGCTGGAGGCCCCGTGTCATGCTATTTGAAGCTATTATCATCTGCTCGAATGAGAAAGCTATAGGCCCAAGATAACAGCATATTTTGCTTACTAAATTCGACCAGACATTCCAATTCGGAATTGTAGTACGGCAAGAGACCTGAATTTTACACTCAAGAAATTTGCGGATGCTTCTCGTCGGTCATATCGAGAGTTCAAAAATCTCTACGCACGAGATTTGCAATGTCCAGAGGCCTGGTTGGAAAAATGTAAGACCTTTCTTCCGTCTGAAGTGCAATGGGGTGGCAGTATGGATTTGTTTCAGTGGTTGCCCTCATGTGCGCGGAGCGAGGTTGTGATGGCTTATGTTGGCTCAGAAGGCTCTTCGTAAGTGGTCCAGATTACCTTTGGGCATCTATGTTTCTAATGGCGATTAGGTCTGGCTTTCACAGGTGCTTTTCATCCACAGTTGCGTTGAATCTTTTGGTGGAAGCAAGCGGTATGTATTATTTCAATACTCAATTCATACATTATTATTAGTAGTGCATTCTCTGTCGTTGGAGACTTTGTAGCTGACAACTAAAAATATAGATCGCCCCGTTCTCTGTTTCGGGACGGATTTTGAATCCCAAAGCAAATACGATGCCTTCGTAGCCGCTCGTGGTGCTTCCCCACATGTAGACTGGCTTAACCTAACCCCTAACGAGCTGCAGAAAGCAAATTTCCCGCTGTATGTCCACGAGCAGAAGGTTGGAGAGCTTGTTGTGTTTCCCCATGCTGCAGCTCACCAAGTTTGGAATCTCGGGGCGATATCCACGAAGATGGTGTGGAACATTCTTCATCCGTTATCACTAGAGGCGGGACTCAACTATGTACAGCCTCCCTTCAACCGGCTCTGCCGTCCAGATGTTGCACGTTCCAATCTGTCACTCGCGTGTGCAATGTTGAGTTTGTTACGAGACAAGCCCAGCCCTATCCCCCCCGACTTGCCCTTGCTCGCCAAACTTTTTTGCCAAATGGTGCGAGACGAAATGTTTGATGATCCACCTGTCACACCAATATCCTTAGTCCGTATACCAGATACCGCCATTGCAACTTGTAATTTCTGTGGCACTGCTATCTGGAATCGACATCTTCGGTGTAATGAATGCCAAGATTTTGACCTCTGCTTGCTGTGTTTCCTCGGAGGCCGAAGTTGTGAGCATCTTTCGAGCTACACATGGGCGGAAATCGTTCCTCCCGAGACTTGTTCCCAAGTTATTCGTCGGGGCGAATCTATTCTTGGATATAAGATCGAGGAAAACACTAATTCCGGGAACAGAAAGACCTTGGCAACTGCGGTAAACGAGTTGATGCGGGCACGCCAAAGCAATGCCATTAAGCTATGCCATCTCTGCAGAATCGATCATCTAGAATGGAAAGGAAGGCGATGCGATACGTGCTCTGCCTTTTTTTGCTTCCGCGGATTGTTCCGTCATTTTGACATGAACTCCACTGACTTTATGCGGCATTCCGGGTTATGGGTTTGTCCAAAATGCTCAGAAAAGTGCAATTGTCGGGTGTGTTTCCGCTTCCATTGTCTCCCTGTCCTTTCCCTTTTACACATTGATATTTTTACTCTCAGCAAATATTTGTGCTAACCTGACACACCTAGTGCTGCCACTTTCCATCGGCGTATGTGAAAGCGGAAAAACCGGCTTCGAAACGTCGAGTAAAACCTGTTGATCATCGTGGGAAAATCATGGGGTTTACGGACAATGTTTTTGATCAAAAAAGGGTCAGTTATTTTGTCTTCTGCCATGTATTTTAACATTGCTGCGTTGCAGCTCTCAAGGCCTGCAGTTTACTGACTCAATTCATAACAGAGAACACCCGCTCTGTCAACATCATCATCCTCGTCCACCCATGTTATACCTGCTTCTAGACCTCAGAAACGCTCACTCTCCGTGACATCTGCTGCAGTACCGGACTTCAAGCATACCTCAAATCCACACGCAGACCTCCCAACTCCGGAATCGGACCGTTCGTTTGGATCCCATAAGAAAGACGGAGACCAAATAATATCCGGCCCAGTGGACTCTGAATACAGTCAACATCGAGGAAAAATCCCTCGATCGTCTAGCGACAGCTCTAACCACTCCTGGCTGGTCCAAAAAAGGATAATATCAACAGGCAGGACCCTCCATGGTATCGATTATATAACGCAAATGCCTTCACCGCAAGCTGACGAACTCTCCCTCCCTCCACTCAAATCACAACGAAATCACCCTGGTGGTCTTGTGCCAGGTTCACCCAAACCCAGCCACCCCCCCCTTAATGATGGGATGAGCGCTCTCACCGGCGTCACTGCCGCTTCACGTATTAAAATGACAATCCCACCTCCGCATGAGTTTCTGCCGTCCCGCGATGCAAAGTATGACAATGGCGGAGCGGTAATATCGACAACCCCCACAACTACTAGCTCGCACGTGCACTCTCTCCCGACACCAACATCATCCGCTCTAGTCCACACCCGCCAACCCGAACCATCTAACAGCCTTTTCGGTAACTTGACCTCACCACATTCGCTAGCGCCAGTGGAACCGCCGAAATCAACCCCGACATCACCCCCACAGGCGCCTATTCCACCGCATATATCGGATCTTGAGGCTCGTCTCCGCCGCCTCCGTCACTATGCTTCAGAATTGCTTGCGCTCTCCTTACACGACTCTCACTGCTTAATACAGCAGGAGATTCGGGAGACAGAAGAAAAGCTCCATCTGGCGAAGAAAGATCGTGGCGAGCGACTGCTTAAGGATTTGGAGCTTGAGTTTCCAAATTTGATTGAATTGAGGGAGGGGATTAAACGGGAGGGCGGGAGGATGGGGTTGTTTTAGACTAGTGAAGGGGGGGGGGGGGTTTATTTGGCTTTCTTTCTGTGGTTTACATATAACCGCAGATAATCTATATATTATGCCTGCACATCTACCATCTGTGTACATGTATCTATCTATACCTTCTCTGTGGAGTACTTAACTAATCTTTGATTTTATGAGGGATAGGAAATCGGCGTTTATGGGGCAGGATTGGATGGATGGCATCATGGCTTTTTCTTTTCTTTCCTTTTCTTTTCTTTTTTTGGATATTGGGGACTCAGTTGAGTTGAATTGGCGTGATGGTTGGGTCAATGATCCTCTTTCCGCGCCTCAGTTTCCGGTACATGTACTCTCCCGGAGTTCAAATAATTTTTATATCTCTCTTTTGAAGCTATTAACGAGTAAGAAGTAAACCAATGAAGGCATGCAAGTGCTTTTTTGGGAATTATGTTGTTATTAAATAAGTTACCTATCACAAGAATGAAAGGTTGAGAGGACCAGCAACAGAGCTATTTTCTTCTTCCCTCCTACGGCGAACGAGTGTCATTTACTTGCATCAATGTTTGTTTTTATTTTGAGCAAGTTTAGACTGCAAGATAATACCGAGTCTCAAGCAGGCGCTTCTGAGCGGCTCTATGATGGCCCCCTTCAACGGGGGAACCATAGTTATACGAGTAATTTTGGCAACCGCGTTATCAAGAAGAGCCAGCCACACAACACATTCCAGATGGACGCCCTGTCGCCATTAAATTCAAGACCGTTGGACTTTTTCTAGCCGTCGGAGGCAGACATGATGGCCTACGCGCATTCCCAGAACCTCTTGGTTCCCTGCTGTCTGGGAATGCCGCCATCTTGACAACCAATTGCATTTGCAATGATTTGTCGACTTTGTGCCAGGCAATTCACTCGACAAGGTCTGGCTGAGATTAGATGAGCAACAACGCAGGTCGATCAAGGAGCAGCTTGCAAATCATTTAAAAAAAACTTTTCAGGATCATGCACTCAGCTGTATATATTTGGATGTTGTCAATTGCTAGCATACCCGCAGCCCGTATGAAGAAGGTATTGAGACAAAAGTTCATGGGGTCATTTTGATTCAGAGGCCGGGTTCGATGAATGGTGCCTTTCCCGCAAATAAAGAACTCATCTGGAAAAAAAAAAAAGCAAGTGGAGGAAGAGACTTGCAGAGAGAGAGAGAACTATGGCTATGGCTATGGAGGAATGACCAGTCAAAGTTTGTGCTCAATGCACGGAGAAGGACAGGCAAGATCACAGGTATGGTATGTATGGTATGTATGGTATTGTGGACTGAGAGCGTAGCAGGTTTTACTTGGAGTATTTATGTCGAGTTATTTACGTCGTAACTACTTGCTGCTGCATGTGGTGTAACTATGTAAATATGACTTATGGAGAAGAGGAGAGAGTGGTGGAAGCCGCCGCTATTGATGGAAGGAAATCTTGACCCCTTGTAAGTTTATTTACTCCAAAGAGTTTGATATAGTTAACTAAATAAATACAAGCGAGGATATTTATTGAAAGCCATGCGCATTTACGATATTTACAGTATTTAAATATTTAAGCTTCCGACTGCAATGAAATCGGATACTTGAATACCCTCCTCCTCTTTAACATGATATATTTATCCTGCAAACCTTAATAAATACATCATCCCAAACTGTGGAACACATACTCCGCAAACTCTTCATCTTGTCGCATTTGGCACCGGGGATAGAGCACATTGGGGGCTATTTTTATTCCCAACAGGACGGCCGATCCGACCGGAACCCTTATGCGCGTCATGATAGGAGACAATGACGACGCAAAAGTCCGGCGGAGATCAGGCGGAGCTACTTGTGAACCGGTTCTAACTCTCGCGCAGTTCTGCAAAGAAGGATTGTTTGTGCCTCTTACAGGATTACATGCATCACGAGAGGAAGTTGAAGATGCTGCGAGAGCGTGCTTCCCAAGGTTTGAGTACAATCATTCTTCTCAACAACTGCCAGATGTTCACTATTGATGTCTGGATGGAGTTAAATACATGGAAGATTCCCATCTCAGATCCAGCAAACTTCAATCAATCTTATCCGGGAGCAGTACAGAACAACTCCTGTCAAAATTCAGCAATTTCTCGACCGAAACAAACAAAGCACTGGAGAGCATCAGCCTGAGTCTTCAGATCCACGATTCTCTTTTGATTAACAGCAACGTCCTCCTGTCAACGAATGCGCCGTGAATTGGGCTGTCCTTAAGTGGAAGCCCGTCTGTGATTTTCCATCGTTTGATGTAGTCAAACTGACTTTGTCCTGCAAGTTAACAATCAAAGCAAGAGCAATATTACAGAAATAGCCTTGGGCAAAACAGTTTCATCTGAATATCCGTAAATTTAAGGCGCCTGGCAAGCATTTTGGCCACAGCATAGCCAATTCGCATCACACTCAAGTATAGGGCCTCGTCGAATTAGTTTATGTCTACAGAATGAACTTCAAAGGGTGCTTTGCCGAGGGTAAGTGTCCTCATATGCACTTGCTAGCATTTTATAGTTATGTTATAGTTACTCGCTAGCTACTTAGGGCGGGCGGAAAATCGTCTTCTGTTGTCTGGTCGCCATCGAATTGAAACACAGTTACCTTCTTGCATATTTATGATCAAGGAGCTCCACTACCTGGCGACTGACTGGTTTTTACTTCTCTCCATCATTGGGAAAAGAAAACACTTTCTATTCCTTAAACATTTTTCAATGCGCCAGAAGAACACGCCTCTGGACGCGCTCCTCGGAATTTTTGGAACTCTGATCTTGATATCGCTTATCGCGCCTGCAGGAGTTGCGTGGGAGCGGGCGCATATAAAAACGAACGAATATCAAGAACCAAAAAGAATTCTGCTATCCCAAACGCAAAGGAAGCCAAATTCCCACATAAGCTTTTCACTGCCTGTCCGCCTGTCTGTCTGTTTGTACGAAAACAGACTTAATGACTGCGGAAATGGAGCCTCCTCTTGCGCTCCGGGGTCTCAATCCCTCCCCACCCGGAGCCCTCACTCTTCCGGCGGAGATTCAGGAGATGATTCTCGCAGAGGTCGCACACAATGCGCGGGATGTACGGTCTGGGCAGGAGTGGAGAGGTTTGGTGGGGAATTGTTTGTGTATTAACTGTATGTACATTACATACATACCAAGTGCCTTGTTTGATTAGAGTACAGGGATATAGTGAATGTAGCTAAATTGGATTCTACACAGGGGCTTGGAACAGATCGCTGGCACACCAGCTCCTGAGGAACTGCGATATCGATATCGAAATGTTTCTCGCATTTGCACCGGGGCCAATTGCCGAGAAGGCAATAGATCGCTGGATTGGTCAAGTCGGTGAGGAAACCAGAGCGAAACCCCGGCAGCGGTAAAAGAACACATGAATTCCGATACTTGTTCCAAGAAACTGGGCCGAGCACCACACTAACTTTGAATTTCAGACATAGAGCTTTATCACCCGCATCACGTTCGCGTTTGGAAACTAAGGAACTCCGCCTCGGCCTCCTCCTCGCAGCATCGCGCGGCCTCGTCGGGTGCCTGCACGCTCTTGCAAGTACCGCCGTTGGCTGGGGCATCGGCATTGCCGAAACCAGCCTCCACAGCACATCCATTCTTCGAGAAGCCGTCCGCAGTGGGAAACTGGGCGTCGTCAATTTCCTCTTGGATCGCGGCGTGGGTCCCAGAGACCGGGACGCGATCATACCGGACTGGGCTCAATTGCCCATCGCAATGGCTGTCCAGCGGCTCCATGTCGATATCGCTGCTGCCATCCTTGCTTTTGATCCCGTGCCTGATCAGGGGTATGTGTTATTTCGAGATGATGAGTGCGGAAGAAGCGCGCGTGTGGATGACATTGATTGCTGGTGCTTACCTGGGCGCGAGAGCGAGTGGCGGCTAGAGCGGTTGCGTTATGAAATCGACCGGTTGGATGTGGTTGTTAAGCAGATTGGGGACTTTGGGTTTGCAGAATGTCAGCATCTGGAGTTGGTGTCGTGGGCTGCGTATCGGTCGAGCATGCCGATGCTGAAGCTACTCGTTGAGCGTTACTCGTTTACGGTTGACGTAGAAAGGGATTTGTATTGGGCTTTCAGAGGTGGTGCGGATGTGGATGTCATCCGTCTGTTGTTGCAGCATGGGAAGCGTGGAGAGGTGGCTGCACCTGTGCTACCGAATGACTTCCTTCTCAGTCGTTACCGTATCAAGAGTAAACCACGAAGTGGTGCTGCTGGGAACTGGGATCCTGAATTTACGCGGAGCTACTATGACATGGTCCCATTGCGACAACGAGTGCCAGTAATTGACGCTGTCACTTATTGCAATGTGGATATGGTAAAGCTCTTGCTTGATACTTTGTCAGATGCTGAAGAGGTCAATCGTACTGTCAACGAATTCGACCCATTTTGGAGGACACCACTTCATTATGCAGTGGAGAAAGGGGATCAGGATATGGTTAGATATCTTTTGGAGTGCGGTGCTGAGGTCTGGCAGAGCTGTTTTGATCTTGTTAGTCGAGAGGGCTCAACTGATACGGTTGGGTTGGTTACCCGGTGGATGAAAGAGCATGATCTCGAGGTTAAGCAGGAATGAGTGAGGGCTTCAGACAGGGATATGTATTTTATCAAATCGTGAAGAAAAATGCGGAGTTTGTAGCCCCTTTATCTAAGGTCAACAAGAGCAGAAGGAGAGAGGAATATAAGTTGTAGATAACAGTCGAAATCCATAGCAAGCTAGAGTTGTCAAAAAAATTTTTTTTTTTTATAAAAAACTGAGATCCAAATGGGTGTTATTATATCATAGTCCGTGAGTCAGTTAACCAATTCAATAAACAACCTGCGACGATTGCCAGCCGACAGGAAAAAACTCCGTGAACCCAGTCGCATACAATAAATAATACCTAGGGAAGGGGGGAAAAACAGGGGGAAAAAAACGCCCACGCTTGTTTGCAAACATCGAAAGAGTAGGGAGAAAAGGGAGTAGAACCCCTTCGCATATTCAAAACATTATATCGTACCTCTCGCTCTATTTCCAAAAGGATACAGCTTGTATCGTCAATAAAAATTAATAATAAAGAAAAATCAAAAATAGAACAATCACTGGCGATTATAATTATACACACGATGCATCTCCTTGGCCCACCATCTACCTACAGCATCCGCTTCACGCGCCCATTTGGACGCCTCTTCGCCATGGGAACGATTAACAGCTTTTGCAAGGTCATTCAGCGTCCACCTTTCCAACGGGTGGAGCTCATTAGGATCTTTGCCTATGTGGGTGAAGCGGAACATGTGACTGCCGGCCAGTGGGATTACAATCCGGTAAGGGACGGCAGCAGACATAACAGCCAGCAGAGAGCCGCCAGCGTTTATCACGCCGAAATTCCAGGCCTGTCGGCCATTGAGTGTGGCCATGTAAGGGCGTAGCAACGACTGAGCTTCGTAATCGTGCATTAGATCTGCAGCTGCAGCGGTGTCAACGGGGTCCAGGGAGTTGGTCGAGACGAGGAGGTCGAGGATGGTGGGGAGGATAGACATTGAAGTCGCGTTTGCGGCGACGTGGATGCGTGGAAGGTGCGGGTGGCGGAAGACGAGAGGCACGCGGAAATTGCTGATGTGGCCATTTTCATAGGTGCCTGTGTGTCCATCGTCTTCTTCGAATGCTTGGCCGCTGTAGTGGTTTGCGCGTTAGCCATATTCAGTGAGTGTATTGAATATTGGAACAACGGGGAAACTTACTGGTCTCCAACAATGACGACAAGGGTCTCGTTTGCAATTCCATGTTCATCTAGTAGCCCAAGGAGTTCTCCCAACCAAAGATCGTCGTAGCGAACAACGTTCAAAAAGGAGTTCATGTGCTCATGTGAACCCTTCGAGCCCATGTAATTTGTGGTGCGAAAATTGTGAGGTATCGCCCAGGGGTGGTGAGTTGTGCTCGTGAAGTGCGAGAGGAAAAGCCGCTTATTGTTTGCGATCGTCTCCGATATCAGGTCGCGGATGAAGGGTTTGACCTCGCTTTCAGCATACCTTCAACTTTGGTCAGTTATTAATTCCCTATTTTCCGACGTACAATGATATCTGAACACAACATACCCAAAGTAATTAAGTTCAGGCGACTTCGGTGGAAAGTACTTGGAAGACTCATTTTCCAAAGTCTCCCTCGAAAAGGACTTCCCAAAGCTCATTTGCCGATTGAGCACATCCTGTCGATCATACTGATCAGTGATCGATTGAACAAATACCGATTCCCATTTTCGTCGATGTACACTGGCACGATGGTCGAGTAATGCTTCCCTCACGTTATTCTTTTGATTGGTTTTCTTTTTTCCCCTGTTAAAAAGTTCCACGACCTGGGGTATGCAAGGCTGATAGATCTTTGCATTGACCTCCTCGAGGAAATCCTCTGGGAGCGGTCCTACACCACAGTGACTGCCCAGGACGCTCTTGAAGGAAAGAGTGCTCCCAGTATTGGCTCCCACGACATTTATACCGCCCATATCTGGACCAGACTTATCCCTCCATACACCCGGTAGGAGGTCGGGTTGCTTGTCCGGAGAGCTAAAAAATGATTCTCCAGTGACTTGCTCCGCGACTCGAGTTAGCTGCGATAATTTCTTGTCGACCAGTTCCCTATTAGTGTCGTCATCTTTGTAAGAACGATGGATCTGCTTGTGGATGTAGGATCCTTGCTGAATGGGAAACATATCCTTGCGCGAGCTCTCCATTGTAATAAGAACAACATGCGATATTAGGATGTCCTTGAGAGCCTCTCTGAGTTCCTCATAAGGTTCCAAATTGAGATTCGAAATCCTCAGCGGATCTGCAACGGGGTTGTAGTAGTGCGTTCCAACTTGAATAGGGCACATGTCTTTTCCGCCTGGTGTAGTCATTGTCTTGTTCTCAGCCGCCTGCTTAGCCATTAATTCCTTGTCCCACCGCTCAAATCCAGCTGGGAGTCGCTCTGGAATCCAGTCCCGTGCTCTCTCAAAGTACTGTTGAATGAAAAAATTATCCTTGCCGGGGGCCCATCCTTTGAAATTATCCTTTGGCATCATCCAATGGTCTCCCACAAGTAATTCAGGCAGTGGAAAAGATTCACCATTCTGTGACAGGTTTCTTGCGCAGCCTTTTGAATTAGATTGTAACATCTGGCTCATCGCGACCGGCAAGGTTGCCGAAATGTGATCGTATGGAACGGCTGGTCGAATGAATTGCAAAACCGTCAAGGAGCAGAGAGTGGTCAAGGCACAGGGGGGCCAGAGTCTAACAACCCTTTGGTGTGAAAATTCTATTTTTTTAACTCGAACAATTGGGAGCAGCATATCCCAACTCCCCGGCGAAATCAACTTCCATATCGATGTCAACCAAAATCCAGTTTTGTTATAGAGAATCGGTGTCATCGGCCATGCGAATAGAAGCATAGCTAGCCCTGAAACAGTGACAGGCATGATTCCACTCAACATTAACCTCATGGCAGCAGGATCGCTGGCCACGCTTCCAGCAGCATCCCACTGCAACTCTCCGCCAGTAACATAATAAAACCCAAACTGTGCAGCTGAAGCACCCAGTGAGATGGTTCTAAAAGGGTCAGCCCAAGTGTTAGCTCCCGCACCACTGCCACAATATCTAGAAGAGGGGTCCATACGTAAGAAAAGCACCTATCGATAAGCCAAGGATTGAGTATAGATTGCGGCTCTGGCCATTAAGAAGAAGGCGCTGTACTATGATAACGAAGCAATCCTGGATAAAAAAAGTCGGGAAATAGACAACGAAACGCAGCAGGGGAATCGAACGAGCATGCTGGAACAGATGGAGAAGTTTTGCAGCGAGCAGCGCAACCACTAGGACAGAGAAGAGGAAGGGCTGAAAGACACGAAACGAAGGGACGCTCATAGCGACGAAGGGAGATCAATCAGTCCACAGGTGGCTGCAGGCCCATCCCGTGGAGCGCAAACGAAGAAGCGCCACTATCCAAAAGAGGACGAAGAAGTAAATAAAACCGAGCGGAAGACAGGCGGAAGCGACAGGCGGAAGCGACAGGTAGGGGAGAAGAAGAAGAAGACGACGAAGAAGAAAATTAATATCAGGTGGGGAGAGACAGAAACTAAGAGATGGTCATTCTATTTGAGGGAAGATTTGCAATACGCAAAGCGTCTGTGTCAGGATGGCAATGAACTAAACGAATGGATCCTCCGTCGAGCTGGAGTTATTTGTGAGAGGAGGAGGAGTAGGACGTTCTTCTTTCTGCCACAGAGAATTATACTTACGCAGCTGTCGAGGTAAAATAATGAACCGAGAGGCGATGGCATGAATAGAAGCACCAAGAATCCAAGACACCCTAGCTAGGTCCACATATCAATATAGCGGCGGCGCTGTGGCATGCATGGATGGAAAACTAGGAAAGTTAAGTTACGGAAACAACTCTGGTTTTTCGATAAAAATTCAATCCCACGGTTTGGCTTAGTTGTTATCCGCGTAATCTCCAGAATTCTCAGGAAGTTAACACAAGTCTCTTCTTCTGTGATGTTTTGGAAAGACTGTGTCTGTGTAAGCATCATCACTTTTCTTATATATGCATCTCGGTCCCTGCTATTTCTGTACATGTAATGTATGTGTATGTACATGTACCTTGTGGGCCATTGGGCGCTGGTTCTGTGACTTTAGCGCTGCCTCTGGCCCGTATTTGGCCCCAACCACGCCAGCGACCGAGTGCATACGAGCGCCTACCAATCGTAGGATAACTACTCCGTAGCTGTCTCTGAATTCGAACGTGGAAAAGCTCGTTAAGTGTAATTTTCGGCCTCTAAACGCGTATCTGGGGAAGAGCTGTTCGTGTGACGGTACCGTACAAGATTTAGCACACATATCAAGGCAAGGCAGGCATTAGGCCGAAATCCATCGCTCCATCAAATATTGTCACACCCACGATTTTAATCCGTAAATCCTGAACGCGCGTTTTAGCTATGATCGTCTCAAATGAAGCTTTCATTGACAAACGGGTTTCTGCTGGACCAGGAAATCGGGGGAGAAACGTTGGGATCTCCCACACTTACATATATAAGTTAACCGGGATACATAATAAGGCCTTCGCGCGCTGGATAGAACCTAAAATAGGGCTTGCTCTCTGCCTACCATGCAGACACGGAATAGGTCCTTTGATCATTATTAACTCAGGCATTCTGTCGTATTCCTTGCTTGGTTTTAAGATTGCAACAAACATACGAGTTTTTATTACCATTATGGCTAGCCCCTCCAGTGTATCACAATCAAGTACATGATTTATGATTTCCGCAGTTCTCCATGGCACTTTCATCATAGGTGGATTCTGGCACTGCCTTTTTGCGGCTTAGTATTTCCGCATACGCAGCGTAAGAAGACAAACAAGTTATAAGGATCTTAGGTCTTCATCCTGTAACACAAGTGTTTGCATCTTTAGCTACGCGTACGTCGAGAAATGCGGCCTAGGCCGAACTTTTTGCCAACTTGAAGAAAACAGCTCGGCATGGTTCCAACCCAATTTCAGCCTGGACCCATGGCGGTTAACTACCCCATTAAAAGTACATGTACATGTACATTGCACTACTCGGTAGACAGATCCAGTACCTCTCATCATATTGAATTTTCATATTTCTTGAGACTCTTAGCTCATTCTAGCTCATTCTAATGCTAATTCCTGTTTTTAACCCTCTAATCTACATCTCTATATTAAGAAACTGGATGTTGAGAAGGTGATGGGGACAGTCAGACTGGATTAGTAATATACTGTACTGTACGTGTGAGGTGCAATAATGTTGGGGGTCCCGCGGTTGGTCGGCCCTTCTACCAGCAGTGCGCTGGTGGTGATTGAGCTCTTTTGCCCCAGTAGCCTACAAATAAGTGGGTGGGGTGTGTATTTAAGTCAGCCAACCTAGAGCGCGCTTCTTACGTAATTATGACCTTCTTTTCGGACATTTTCTTCGCGGAGAGCCGAGAGTAGCGCCACACATATAACGTCTGGACGTCTGCCCCGCTACCAACTATCGAATTTTCTTTTTTCACATTTTTTTCTTTTTTGCGTAGACCAATCATCCCAGTCATCATGACAAGAGGAAATGTTTGCGCGTTTTTTCGCCAGGTGTGAGTCCTAATGATAGCTGAGCATCATATAATGGCTTCACCCAAATTTTCGCAAAAACAACTAGAGTATTCTATCCTTGAGATACTGGTATGCTTTTAACTGATGCGATGACGCTCGAAATTCAGCTTGTCTGATCACACCTACAAGTTTGTCTATTGAAAACGAAAAAAAAAGGTTATGCCTCGAAGAAGTGTGACTGCTATTCAAGAAGTGAGAGATAGCTAACAGTCAGGATGCACAATATTGAGTTTCTGCGATCGAAATCCATTCCAACTGACATGGTAGGATCTAGCCGCAGCTTTTAATTCCTCTTAAAAGCTATCGGCTGTACCACTTTTATGGGAAAGATGGTACACCTATTTATAGCTCACTTCATGGGCAGCATGAATAGAAGCAGATATAAATTCATGCTATGTGCTCTGTACGGAGTACATACATACCTGATGAACCAAAGGCGATGAGTTAAACTTCGCGCTAAAAATAAGCTTAAGTCATTTCAGCCAAAATTGGTGCCTCAGTAAACCCTACTATCCTTGGATGTTGCTGAGTGATGGATTAAACGAGATCAACTCCTTTTTGCTGACTGCAAATCTTCTCCTCTTCAGAAGCGGAAAAATGCAAAGAATTGAATGAACCCTTCAATTTGTGTGCGCCTGTACTCCGTATACCGCACATGGCTTATTGTCGCTCTAGATAACAGCAGACATGTCCAGTAGTTCCCCATCCAGATTCTTCTACCGACACATATTGTTGAACCATTTTGCTCAACCGCAGGCTCAGGTATCACCCTTGTCGGTTATATGCGCATTTGAACCGCGAGTCCATCGTTATCCTCATTTAATTCCCTCAGTCGCACATTGTCCAACCTACATGTATTGTAGTTTGCCGATAGGTTCACTGTTCTAGTTTATCTAGACGACACTAGGGTGAGAGGGGGATGTTGTTGGAAACCTAGAGCAACCCGCTCGACTTCTTTCGGATTTATGATAGAGATCCTTTAGATATCCGCGGATATAGTTGGCTTCAACAAGCTCACACCAATTACGGCAGCCTATGGTGACATTTGGGTCAAATGGGTATTTTATACTAGTGTTACAATGAGCACACATCAATATACTGACCGTATTAACAATGACGATCTCCTCATTAGATGTTGTATGAAATAGTGACTCACATCAGGGGAGGGCTCTACCCAGGTTCTTCACCTGAGAGTCTCTATACCTGGGGGGCTCTATACGCCGGGGGTACTCTATACCCAGGGGTTCTCTATACCCCGGGGTACTATATACTCAGGGATCTCTATACCTGGGGGACTCTATAACCGGGGGTACTCTATCCAGAACTCCTGATGGGTTTATGTAGAGAGATATGTACGTAGTTATGTGGATGGAGCTCATAGTGTGAAAGCCAAGACGGACTATATAATAACATACTAACTGCATTAGGAGTAAGTGTAATTGGTGCGTGTCCATATAATGAATATTATGTGGAGTTAAGCCTTTATACTGAAAAACATTTAAAAAAAGCAGTACTCCGTAGTGACCCTATATATAACTAGCTAAGAACAGCACCTTTGATGGAGGTGGAAGGTTTGTTGATTGTACACTAATCTAGCCGCGCAGCATTCTATAGGTGTGTGGGTCACGTGGCCTCATATAGGGCATCCGGCCAACACCCCCCCTGGCCACAAGCACCCAAGCACCTGCTAGCTGGCGTGGATATTACATAACTACAAATCTTGCCTAGTTATCTCATTGATTCTTCCTCTTCAAAGATCCCTTATATCATGTCAATTGACCCCTAACTTCTAGCTTCAATATCCCTCATTCTTGCTCCTTTCCTCCCTGGAATTTCTTCACAACAACATCCTGCTTATATAGCCTAAAACATCTTTCTCATCTCATAAGTTCTGGCTCTGACTCTAGCTCTGGCTCTTCTGGCTCTGGCATTGGCGTGGCTTCTGACTCTGGTGGGCAGTCTTAGTTGATTATCGAAGGATTGGTTGGATATTCATATAGAGTAGGCCTTGGGTGTTTGGTAGGATGGATTGCTTGATTGTAGTTGAGGATGGAGCTGATTTGATTGTGTATGAAGAAGATTGAGATATGTTATGCCTTTTGCAAAGGGCTTTTTTTCATGCCTCTTATTGAGGGCTTCCGATGCCTCGCATTTTGAGGGCTTTGTTGATCTTTGGACGCGAATTCTAGTCATTTACTAGTCATTCTGTCAAGTCCTTATCTTGTCCACTGTCGTAGGAGACTCACGGAACCAACCCCTTTTTAAAGCATGTAGTTGATGGCGCGGGAGCGGCCAAGGGCCCATAACCTGATGGAGGTGGAAGGTTTGTTGATTGTACACTAATCTAGCCGCGCAGCATTCTATAGGTGTGTGGGTCACGTGGCCTCATATAGGGGCATCCGGCCAACAACCTTTTAACTTTTTGATCGGCCGGGTAGCCACCTACTGACGTGGAAGTGCGTAGGTATCCTAGCGGTTATTGCCGTTTTGTGTTTGACTATTGCCACCTAGACCTAAAAAAAAACATTTGTTTCACTATACGGGAGTAAACTATCTGGGTTATACTCTGCTCCGCTTGGAGACATATGACGTTTGACCGCCTGTGTATCTTGTATCTCCAATACTATCATCGCAGCGCGCCCTTGGGAATATTCTCGGGCTCAATACCAAGTGCTCCGGTGTCAGTTGCGGCTGTCTGCTCTGTGTTTTCATTTCCCTTTCCCCGGTTTTCACAGTTCACTAGCCGAGACATACAAGTCCTGTCAAGAAATGTCTACTTACAATGAGGCGGCGAACTGTTAATTTTTGGAAAGGAGCCTTTAAGCGTTGAAAACAACACCATTGATCTTATTGAGGTGCAAATTGTACGAAGTGTTCTATGAAAGATTAAGCGTGACATATTGATGTTAAGTACCCGTCAGCCCGAAGGGATATCCGCTTTTCTATCTTCTCTCATTGATTAAGGAGGGGAGGAACAGAACCTCCGAGACCTGCTCTTCCATGATTTACATGTACAGTACATACATGTACCATGTTGGAAATAATAGGAATCTACGGAGTATCACCGTATTCGGAGTACATTACCATAAAATACAGCTGGGTATTTTCTCCTGGGAAAATAACCAAGGGATGCGCCTCCAAACTATGTAGTTCTGTTATCCGCTTTGGGGAAACAGCGGCGGGTGAGAACACGGGCACAACTATTATTGTTATACGGAAGTACGGAGTATTTTTTCCCAGTTTTGCCACACGGGGAACTTGGAGTGGGTGTTGTTGGAGACAAAAAACAAGTCTTGGAGTTGGCCAGAAAATAATCCTAAGCTCCATGTGGCGTCAAACGGCATGCTTCTTAGCACGGTAGAACTTCTCTTTATTAAGGTGGTTCATCTGCTAGCTTCGTATGTCTCACTTTTGAGACGTTCTTGTAGGGCTCTCCGTACTCCGTACGGAGTAGTATGAATTCCATGGATGGACACCCGGGGGTTGAATGGGGGCCGGGCACTAACCAACTAGTTACTGACTAGGAGATGACCATTGGTCAGCGCTGACAGGCGGAGATTATTTAATAGAGGGATCCTGCAGCGCCAAGTCGCATGAAATATTTAGTACACACGGCCTTCCTATATAGGCATAGATGCCACGATTCGGCGCTGCTGTGGCAGCTGCAGGTGCAATAGCAAATAAGTTCATATTGAATCAGAGAATGATAATAATGAGTATAGAAATCTCGTACGTATGGAATAAGAATAATGAATGAGAAGCTTGCTTCTTATACTCCGTATTATATGAGGATATTTAGAGACGCGGCACCCCAGAATGAACGTTAGAATGCCACTAAAATATTAGGGCGGCACTAACGAAAACACCGGGGCATACCTGCGTAAAAACACCACTAACTACTGAACACTAATTTATGACGTTAAACCATATAAGGAAGGCCATTACTGCGAAAGGTGCTTGCAGGAGGATCCGTCTATTATTAGATTGCGTGCGGCTCGCACCAGCGATGGGTGATGCTAGATGCTACATTGTTATTTCAATGTTCGGTATGGACCTCACAACCCATCTCAGATGCTGTGTCTAGCCCAAGAAAAAGAGTTTCTTGACAAAATAGAAGCAGTCGAGCCAGCCTCTTGGTTTTGAGATCAAAACCCTACAGCTAGATGATGAGAGCTTGCTCGGATGAAATTCCCCTGTATGCTCCAGGATCTCCTTCCAACTTCTACATTGTCTTCCATAATTTTCCTTTCATAGCTCGTCTCTTCATACCTGGTAAGACCATCCCCCAGGTGTTATTGGTATCGGGTGAAGTTTACTTGACGAAAATTGGGTTGATCAATTTCCATTTGGTCTGATCCTGAAGTGGTCGGATCGCTCTCGAAGCGAGAGAGGTGCCCATATAGTAGTATCCCGCATGTGCCAGTCCCACTCCTTAACACTTATATCTTTGCCGAAGAAACGTGCTTGGGCATATGAGACGATTAGAGAGAGAGAGAGAGAGAGAGACCGAAGCTGGTATCTGGGGGCGATATAGAAATGGGAGCTCCATAGCATAGGGAACAGAGCCCACTCCCCAAAAATTGGATATTTCTCTTCGAAGTACTCCGTATTCCCACGCTTTCCTTCACATCGGTGGCTCTTGTTTGGCCTGAGCACTATTTCAAATGGGGATCTCTATCTCACTGGACCTAACCTAGTTGGGCGGTTTCATCCCTAGAAATGTGCAACAGCCAAACCATGCTCCCCACCCCATCGCGTCAAAGAACGGAGGCAATGCCATGCCCTCATTGCATTCCTTTTCTACACATGATGCCGTCGAGCATAAAATACTTGTTTGAAGTGTGCGGATCATTCAAGTTTATAGAAGTAGGAATCTGTAGGTTGGTTTGAGTATGGTTATCGTGAGTAGTATTATTATATTATCACTGTTATTTACCTCGACTCTTAACTTTTACTCACGAAGATCCCCAACGCTATAGTTTCGTCCCACTTTGACCAGAAATTTAATTGCGAATGCGCCTCATCCTTTTTTTTTTTTTTTCTTTTTTTACCAAGCCTCCCTTTCCTCCTATGCCAAATGGACTATTGTTATTCATTTCCTCCTTCTTTGATGGGACCAACATGAACTCCCCGCCTTTGCGCCATTACGGAATATATACTGATGGCGGTGTTGCAGTACTGTATGTATGTACTGTACGTTACATTAATGTACTGTACATACAAGGTACATTACATACATTCTTACAATGGACCATGGACTAACCACCCGCTCACTCATCCCGTTACACGTGGAATCTGTACAGTTGGACACAGATACACGGGCGAGAAGAAATGAAGATCTATGAGACTGGAGAGTGTCACTTGAGAAAGAAGAACCCCTGGAATAGTCCTGGATTCAATGTATTTGTATCCCAGGTTTAACTTATCTTGCGTAGCAACCTGCTGGGGCTGAGAAACTTATCGTGATCAACTCCTCTTCTTTCTTTTTCTTCTTAATCATTGATAACTAATAGATAATAAGGGTACCACCCACGGAGTTACACCTGGACTACGGAGTACATCACCGCCGGAAATCTGCGAAGGATGCTTGTATTACAGTATTGGCACCGTGCAGGGTTGCCTGGATAGTGGGATCTGCACCATCTACAGCCGGTTGGGGGGGTGTATCCTGACGCTTGTTTTTTCGGGGTGTCATGGATACGAGCAAATTATTGGAGCAGTGGTTGTTATTTAGGTCTTGTTGGCAGCAACAGTATTGAATTTTTCAGATACTTTTATGTTAACCTCATTACCCTCTATTCTTACTATGGTTAGTTATCGAACTCCGAAATAGTATTTATATTTTTCTTTTGTACCTGGATACAAAGTTTCTTTCGTATATGAGATGGGTACTTTATCCCATAGTAATTTACTGTATTAAGACTTACCAAGGTCAAAGGAAAACCAATCCCTATTCTGTATCAGCCCTATATAAAATCCAACAAAAGCGTCCTAATACCAAAGCCCAACCTAGCCCATACAAAACAAAGCCCTAGCTACCCTACACCTCCGTCCCACCAAGCGCCTTTCGCAGCGTCGCAATCTGCTCCAGAACAGCAGACCTGCTCGTGCCCCCAATGGCAGCCTTCATCTCCACAGATCGCTCGTAATCAAACACTTCCAACACATCATCGCCGAACCGGTTGTCAACAGCCTGCAGCTGGGCGAGGGTCAATTTGTCCATGGGGATTCCTTCGTTTTCTGCAAGGGCCACGACACGGCCGGCGATGTGGTGCGTTTCGCGGAAGGGCAGGCCTGATTTGCATGTGAGTTAGTTAGGTTTTCTTGCCGGTAGGTATAGATGGGGATAGGGTGCTGGGTTCGGATAGCTTTTGGGGCTTGGTTGATTGAAAGAGAGTTAAATTAAATTTTACCTTTGCGCACGAGATATTCTGCCAGATCGGTAGCTAGCATATCGGGAGTGAGGGCCTCGTGCATTTTCTCGGGGAAAACGGTTAGGGTGGATAGCACGCGGGTTGCGATAAGCAAGCTATCCTTCAGCGTCTTGACGTGCTCGAGGAGCGGCTCTACGCTCTCCTGTAGGTCCTTGTTATATGTAGACGGAAGGCCCTTAATGGTCATCATTAGACCAGCCATGCCACCAAATATTCTACCGCATTTGCCTCGTAGGAGCTCGAGGGAGTCACCTGCGTTGTTAAACAGCTGTTAGACCCGCCGTCAAACTTTCACAGGAAAACTGGAGGAAAGGGGAGAGAGGACACATACTATTCTTTTTCTGAGGCATCAACGAGCTTCCGGTGGTGTAGGCATCCGACAGGCGGACAAATCCAAACTCAGTCGTGCCGTAAACAATAAGATCCTCGCTCCAACGGGAAATGTGCAACATCAATGAAGAGCCCCATTGCATCGTTTCTAAGATGAAATCCCGGTCTCCAACAGCGGACATGCTGTTGTGGATCAGACCCTCAAAGCCCAGTTCTTTCGCCATACCTTCCCGGTCAATTCCAAACGCATTTCCCGACAAAGCTCCGCAGCCAAGGGGGCTCCGGTTAACGTGTTTTATCACCTCGCGCAGGCGCTCTAGGTCGTTCATGAAAAAGGTACCGTAACTGAGCATCCAGTGGCTCCATCGAACTGGCTGTGATGAAAAGAATCAGTAAATTCCTCTTCCCCCCCACACCCCTTTTCTCTTGAATTCATTTGTTGCGGAAGTAAGTACCTGTCCACGCTGCAGGTGGGTGTATCCGGGCATGACATAGTCGATATCACTCTCTGCTCGTTCCGCAATGACCTTTAATAGGTCGATAAGGTAAGTTTCGATCACCCGTAACTCGTCCCGAAGCCAGAGCCGCAAATCGGTAGCGACCTGGTCATTTCGACTACGCCCTCTATTGGATTGAATGAACAGCATTGTCAGCTCTCTGAGCAAAATTTTCCTCTATGACCAAACCTCCATTTAGTTGAGCCCGCGGCGCGCGTACGCCGTACAACAGTCGAACCAATCTAGGAAGTGGAACGGGCACCAAGGGAAAAGAAAAGCACAAAAACCTGTCTGTAAGCCCTCACTTACGTATGAAGCTTCCCAGCAATCTCCTTGCCAATAATCTCCCCCAATCTGCGCTCGTTCGCCGTATGGATATCTTCATCGACACCGGGGAAAATTTTAAAGATGCCCTGCCGCCATTCCTCCCGCACCTGCCTCAACCCTGTCTCAATGGTCCTGAACTCGTCCTCGGTAAGGATTCCAGTTGCGACATTTGCTCGCGCAAAGGCAATGGAGCCGGCTATGTCCTGTTCGTAAAACGCCTTGTCGAAGTATATGGACTCGTTGTATGCAACCATCAATGGGTCGGTGGCGCCTAGAGGGAGGGCAATTGATATAGGTTAGAGGGATAGCGGCGAACTGTTTGGTTCTCTTTGACTAGTAGGGAAGAAAAGGGGGGGATTGTTTATAGGTGATGTCAGCTTACCTGTAAACCGGCCACCCCAGAGTTTACCAGCAACCGCTCCGGAAGCGGTTTGTTGGTTTGGTGAAGCCATTGAAGCTTGTGGGATTGCAATTGGTGGGGAGGGAGGGAGGTGATGAGGTGCTGAGTTTCAGCGATTTTGTGCAGTCCTTTTTTTGTAAATATTTCCGATTGACTCTTAAATACTCACAAATGCGCGCGCAAAATAAATTTAAGTTGCCAAGTCACGGGTAGTTAAATAGCAACACGCGGATGGGGTCCTTTCTGCCGCCGCTTTTGCTCAGAATCATTCAACCGCTAACTACAGAGTATAGTGTACTACTGTACTCTACTATGCACTCCAATTCTCCATCTCCACCAAACATTCTTTAAGCAAAATGCCTCCTCCATGGGGTTTGTCCGATTTCTTCGCCTCGCCTCGCCTGGCCTCGGATACCTTCTGTACTAATTATCCTCCCCGTATTCGCTGTTCTGAAAATCTGGAAGCCCTGAAGAAGGTAGCCCCCCCTCCTGACGTACAGACAGCTTCCTTCTTGGAGGCGTGAAGGGGCATGCACAGTAATAATGTTAATAACTAGTTACCTCTTCCCCATTCTGGCCGGCGTAACGTTTTTCCTCCTGGATGGAAGCCTACGAAGTCTGTAGGGAGCAATTGGGCCTTGAGGCGATGTGTCAGCGCCGCATATCAACTATGATCAAGTAGGCGGAAAAGGAGTAGGACGGTATCTGTATATTCCGCATTTGAGGTAATCTCTTTGGCCATTTACTCCTACTTCTCACTTCCAATCCCTTCTCATAAGCTTTCTCCGGGTGAGGATTGTGTTGCGTGAAGCGGTCTGAAAGCTAGACTTTTAGTTATCTCTACCAACTATCTTAGATATCCGAGGCAAATGAAGGAATGAATTAAAAGATCTCTGGAGAGCTCTGCTAAGATACCGCAACATACATACATATTCAATTGTATTGCTCCATACAAAGGCCCAACACTCTGCTATTGGGGTATTCATTTATTCGCAATGTTGTCTGTCGTCTTTCAAAATCCAGGGGTATATCCTCCTTCGTTCTCCCCCATCGAGTACACATAAACAGTATGGCAAAATAGAGTTAAGGAAGAGGCGACGAAATAGGGCGCGAAAAGGGTAAAGGGAAAGGAGAATAACAAAAAAAAAAAAAAAAAAAAAAAAAAAAAAAAAAAAAAAAAAAAAAAAAAAAAAAACCAGAACAGAATTACCAAATACGACCGAAATCAAAGGGGGAAAAAACGAAGAAAACTATACACAATCAGAGTTCACAAGGCTGAGCACTTGTCTATTCCTCACACAGCAGCAGTATCATTCAGATATCATCATCGTGGTTAGCGTCTCTTCCCCTCTCTGAAAAAAAAGAATCTACTACAACTTAACTCTCCCCGCCTTCACAGTATCCCACTCCGCTTTCCCGAACGGCACATACTTCCCCTCTCTAAGCCAATACAACCGATCGTCCACCCCCTTTCTATTCAACAAATCCACATCCACCCCTTCCTTCCTTAGCACATGTTTCTGCTGCTTATTATTGCCAGTTGACTGCATCTCTCTCGTCACCCTGAGAAATAGCGGTACGGCATACTTGGGCAGGTTCTCGGACGCAAGACTAGCCAACGAGTTCAGTACGGCAGGTGAAGGTTCCAGAATTGGTATTTCCGATGCGTCATTCTCGCGCTTAGAACCTGGTGCGGGGGTAACGGTCGCCTGCTCACGAAAGACGATGGCAGCGCAACCGGCACGACCGTCGTTGTTCGGCACTGCGACACCGTAGACGTTCGCTTCGAGCACCTCGGGGTGCTTGCCGAGGACTTCAGAGACTTCGTTTGTGGACACGTTCTCGCTGCGCCAGCGGAAGGTGTCGCCGATACGGTCAGAGAAATACCAGCGGCCTTCAGGATCCCAGCGCACGACGTCGCCGGTCCGGAACCACGCGTCCCCCTTCTTCAGCACGTCACGCAATATCTTGCCCTCTGTCGCGCCTTTGTTGTTGAAGTAGCCCTGGAAGGTCGACTTGATGTTGTCAGCGTTTAGAGCGAAGAGTAACTCGCCAGGCTCCCCTCTGGGGACTTTCGTGCAGAAACCCGTCTTAGGATCGCGCTGTGGCTGTTCAGTTTCATAGTCCAGCTCAACGACTGCCACGGTACGGCCGGCTATCAGCTGGGTAAGTAGGCCGTTCTTTCCGATGGCTCCTGCGGTGTAGTCATTGCTGGATCTGTTCCAGCTGCCAGAGTTGCCCTCTGTCGAAGCATAGAATTCACAGATAATCGGCACGTTGAATCGCTCTTTAATGCGATTCCACACGTCCGGCCGCAGGCCGTTGCCGTAGAGCATGCGCACATTGTTCTTAACATCAAGATCCTCGCCGGTGACAGAGTCGATTTCGCGTGGTGTAGCGAGCAAGTATCGGAGGGTTTCGCCAACATATTGAACGACAGTTGCTTCGGTGTTGCGGACCTCTTTCCAGAAATTGCTGGCGGAGAACTTGCGGCCAATTATTATGGTTGTTCCTGAAACCATGCAGGCTAGGTAACCTAGAATGGCAGCTGTGGAGTGGTAAAGCGGCATGCACTGGGAAGTATTAGCCCGGAAATTCTCACTAGAGAGAAATAGAAGAAAAAAACACGAATATAGAGGTACGGGAGGAATCTTGCATAATAGAAACACAATAATAGGGACCAAAGCAGAAATGCCACATACTGTGTAAACGCGATCTGTCCTTTTCAAACCCATCCATTTGCTAACAAATCCGGCGCCCATGATGCATTTGTGCCAGCTAACAATGGCAGGCTTTGGTAATCCCGTCGTGCCGCTGGTATATATGAGAGTGGCTGTCGCAAGTTAGATATCACTGAACAGGGAGAAAGCCCTCGTGGCTCCAAGTATTGGCGCAAGCTAAGCTACTTACCAGTATCGCTTGCGAGTGACCCAGGCCGACTCGAATTCGGAGCGCGCTCAGCTGGCGTCAGTAAGATTTCCCTCTCCAACGCTTTATCATAGAACACCACCTGGACGGCGCCACCTTCGCTGAAGTCTGGCTTGGAAAACACCTCCAGCTGCTCCGGTGGGAAAAATTCCTCTTGCAACTCTCGCTCAACAAATAGGATGCGGGCAGTCGACACCATAACACAGTGCTCCAAAGAACCCTTGGCTAAGTTATAATTGATAAAAGCCGGCGTCGCGCCAATACTCCAAAGTCCCATCCACATAAAGATGAACGCAGCAGAGTTCATAAAATCCATAGCCACCACATCACCCGTTTTGATGCCATAAGTCTTTTTGAACCAGGTGCCGTAGCGCAGGGAAGTTGTGTATAATTCGTGGAAGGTCCAGGTTTGCCCGTCGTAGACGACAGCGGGGTTATTGGTGGTGCGCTTGTCCAGTGCGTTCCTCTCCATGATATTGAACAGATTGCACTGGCCTCGTCGCTCAGCTAGGATACGATTGAGGGCGGAACGGGTGAGGGCGGACACCACATTAAGGTCCTCTGAGATGCCCCATCGTGCGTCCAGATAGGCAACCGACGCAGCGGCCGCTGGCACAGCCAAGGATAATGGAACCGCTGTTTGGACATCGTTAGTTGGCAACCTGAATTATTTATTGAACACTCGCTCTGGAGGAATGGCGGGGAAATTATATGTACCTGCAAGAGCCATTTGAGGCGTAGTAGGAGAGTATAGAACAAACGAAACGGAGAGATTGAGAAGTCGAGGTGGGATATTGGAATACAAAAAGGAAATAGAAATAAGGTTAGAAAAAAGTTACCAGAAGAAGCAAAACAAAAGAAGCAAATAAAGGGAAGGTTTGCTGGTCATTAGTAGTTGGGCTGAGCGGATACGGCAGATGCGTGATTATTTACTTTTCCGCCTCCATTCGTGAATCCGCGCCACCGGTCCAAACTAACTGGCGACAGAACAGCTGGGTATTTTTTTGGGTGGGTTCTATAGGAGAAGCCTACACGCTAGGTTCAACGACGCTATGGGAAAGCAGACACAGCGATTTGGAATAAAGGATTTGATTGTCGCTAACTCGCAAGGAGGAGAGGATCCCAAGATTGGGCGGAGTGGTCGACTCTATGCAGCATCGACATAGTGCAGAAAATGAACCAACGCACGAAAAGGAGCAAAAAGCCAACCTCGGCGTGAAGTTGAGAGCGGGAGCCGGGACGGAGGCTACACAGCAGCTTGTTTGGGATGCAACCTGCCCACGGTTTGTCCATGTCAAGTTGTCAACGCGCAATTGCATATGACACCGAGCAAGCAGTTAGTGTCAGCTAAGAGCTCAGAACTGGTGGAGTTAAACGCTAGTTAGGCGATTGGCAGCTGGCTGGCGACCATGAGGGCTCCTCGACACGAATTGGCAGCATCCCGTGCTATCAAGTTCACTTTACAAAACATTATCTCAAGATGAAGATGAAGACTAGTAGGAAGATGATGAAGAGATGTCGTTGAAACATGCCCGATCGATCGGACACATAGTGGACGACCCTGGAAACGAGCCTCCTCATCACGTGGACCTCCTTTTGCTGTATACGCAGTAGTTGCCTTACTGGAATCCCTGGACTATCCTCCATCTTGGCCCTACATCTGACCCCATGGGGTCCGGCTGCTTATCAAAATTTAATGTACACAGAATTGCTACGGATGTGCAGGACAGTCTCCTTCACGTGCGGCCCGAATGCGGACAATTGGCCAGGGTGAAATGGCTTCTTAATCTGGCTACGATGGTTTTATAGGGATTTGTTGTTCCGTTGTGCTCAAACTAACAACAATTAGTTTAACTAAATAACTAGCCTTTTTAGAAGAAATACCGAGTCGAGCTTATCGCAGCATCCCCCGCACCGAGGCATCACAGAGCAACAATGCGGGCCTTAAGCGGCTCGGAAAGCCGGACCTGGGCTCGCAGCATGTCGACCTTCCAAGTTCCTTGTGGCGGGGAAATTCTCGAATGTGATGGTATTTGCTCAGGGACTACAATAAATAATACATTATTCAATGAATGAAGGCGTCTATGGCGAGAGGCATACGATCGTTTATCGAATCTACCAGATAACTAACCACTCTCATAACAATTCCACACTATATGTCCTTACTTGCTAACAGACACATTCTCGAACCCATCCTGCAAAAACCCCTTCAAGCCTTCAAGCGCCCGTTCCAACGCCTGTGTCTCCATAACAAACCCAATCCTCACATAACCCCTATAATCCTTCACATCCCCATCCCCATCCCCAACCCCATTCCCAAAACATACACTCCCCGGCACAACCAACACCCCTTCCTTCTCCAGCAACTTCTCACAAAACTCCACATCATCCACTGGCTTCCCCATCTTTGAAAACCTCACAAAAGCCACAGTCCCACCCACAGGCTTCACCCACTCACACGCCCACCGATGCTGCTCAATAAACCCCTCTAACAACCCTAGATTATGCCGCGCGAGCCCATTATTGCGCTTGAGCAGGTTATGCAAACACCCCTCGTCCAACGCGTAGTGGGCGATTTCCTGGTCCAGCTGGCTTACTGAGATCATCGTGTAAGGGCGCCAGGACTCGCATGCCCGCACCAAGTCAACGTTGGGCGAAGCGAGCCAGCCGACCCGGACGCCGGAGAGGGAGTAGGCTTTTGACATTGATCCGGAGACGATCACGTTCTCGTAGCCTAGGGACATCATTGATGGTGGGAACTCCGGGTCGGCAGGTGTGATGGAGTGGAAGAGGGGTCTGTAGACTTCGTCGCTGATGACGGTTATAGAATGTTCGCGCGCGACTTCGATGATGGATTCGAGCGTTGAGCGTGGGATTATGGCGCCGGTGGGATTTTGGGGATTGCTTTGGATATCAATTAGTGATATAGTCCCGTAAAAAATAAAACAACAACCAAAACAAACAAACAATTTGACGTACTTAATCACAATAAACTTGGTATTTTCCTCAATCATGCCCTTCAACGCGTCAATATCTAGCCGCCAGTTATCCTCCCCTTTCGTCCTCCACAAGCTAACCTCCGCCCCCAACGCAGCGGGCTGCGTATACAGCTGCTGATACGTAGGATAGTGGCATATAACATGATCACCACGACTGCACAGGCCGTAGAATATCAGGAAATTCGCCAGCGATGCGCCTGGTGTTATGAGTACATTCTCTGCCGAGAGCGTGGTTGAGAGCTTGACCGAGTATAGACCGGCTAGGCGGTTGCGGAGCTTCTCTGTGCCACATGGTGGGCCATAGTCCATGTTTCTGGAAAGGAGGTCTGCGGATATGATACCATTTTCGTCGTTGGTGGAGGCGGATGGATTGTCGGAGAGTAGTTTGAGCTCTCTGAAGGGGATGGGGAGGGCGCAAGAGCTAGTGATGTTGTGTTTAGCCTTGGGGCCGTTGACGTTGAGGTACTGGAGGGAAGTTGGGAGTTAGTTGGCCGGTTTTCTTGGTCGCATATCTATATAGTAGCTCTGGGAGAGGGACATATAGAATCGTTGGCCCCGGGCAGGGGGGGGGGAGGTGGGCGGTTATATATCCAGCGGGACGGCAAAGGGAGAGAACTTACATCCTCAAGGACGAATGGTGTAATTTTTACCATTGTGATAGTTCGCAATTTAATCTCCTGGATAGAAAAGGGGTAAATGTAGTATCGCGAGCCTTTTCTTCTGCTCTATTCCTGCTTCTCGTCCTGAATGTATATTAGGCGGGGTAAATCGGTCTCGTATCTCAATTGCTCAACCAAGCCACAGCCCACATAACCCGTCCGCCCTTCGCCGCCCTACACTCTACGCCCTTCCGTTGAGAAGCTCTAAATTCGTGATGAATGGGCGTATTCTGCAACAGACCTTTCGTTGCTTATTGAGTTGTACAGGATTGGCGTTTGTTGGATAAGCTGCACGGCCACAGCGGTTTCGGAATTGTGACGATGCCAAGATTCGGCCACAAAATGTCCATCTCCGGCGTTACCCAAAGAAAGGGCGCATTTATTGGAGATACAGGGACGAGATCAAGGGTATGCTGTCCAGTTATTTACCAGTATCCTGTTTTACACTGTGACTCCTGGCCAGGATAAAAATCTTACGCATTTGCCGGGCTGGAAGCTTATTGTTGTTGGCAGTTAGTTGTAGAGCCGCATGGCATCATCTCTAATTACTGATCCTAGCCTCAGGATATCGACAATCGCAATAACCGGGCCCGGAGCATTAAGTGATTGGAGCTATCAACATCAAAGAATATATACGGAGTAGATATAACATAGTACAGAGCAGTAGCTGCGAGAGATGTTCCCGGTGAGTGCAACGCTCCTGGCGCAGTGATGACTAAGGTCTGACTAACCAATTGCTGGCCCCGAGGCAACGTCATGTAGACAACGGCCTCATCCCTCATCCACAACAACTCCAACTTCAGATCCACAGCCTTGAGTTGCTGCTGTCTGGCATCTCCGAGCAAGGCCGCTATAAAAATCTCTTGTCATCACGAACCTGTACGTGGATGCTTGGGTTTCGCAGCGAGAAGAAAATAAAGAGCCTATTCTACCTACTAGAGACCAGGCTCCAGCCACCCCTATCACTCCCGGATGAACTAGGTTTCTACTCCGCAACTCCGTCTCCATGCTTCTACACTTGTTACCAATAACTACTTAAGGTTATACTGTCGCTTGGTGTGGCCTTTGCTCCGCCGTCACCTCGTCTCTGTTTATATGCGCCAACCGTCCGCCTTCCCTTGACCTCGTATAACCATCCGCGATGCGATCCCCTTCGCTCGCAACCTCCTTCCTCTACGCCGCCATTATTGCCTCGTCATCATCATCATGGCTCGCCTCCGCCTTTTCCAATTATTCGGATACATCTGTACTCCTTTCCTCAGAAATTGCCTTTCTGGATGATCGTCCAAAAGACTGCCCTCCATGTTTTAACTGCGAGCTCGAAGCCTTCCAGTGCCACCAGTTTGCAACCTGCAATAAATACAACGGGAAATGCAATTGCCCTCCCGGATTTGGAGGGGATGACTGTACTATTCCTCTATGTGGTTCCCTACCGGATGGGAAAGACAGAGCCCCTCGGAAGGAGAAATACTGCAATTGTACAGAGGGCTGGGAGGGCGTAAACTGTAATGTTTGCAAAACGGATGATGTCTGCAATGTTTTGATGCCAGAGGGCGAGGGTGGCGTGTGCTACAAAGACGGCGTTACCCAGAAGGAGAACTATCAGATGTGTGCGGTGACTAATCGCAAAATCGTTGATATGCTTGGGGACCAAAAGCCTGAGGTAACATTTTCTTGTAAAGCGGAGGACCATACATGCAATTTCCAGTGTATGTCTTTCCCTTATCCGTCTCCCTTTGGACATCGTACCGTTCTTCCTTTCGTGAATATCTCACTCACTAACACGCAATATAGTCTGGGTTGACCAAGTCGAATCGTTCTACTGCAACTTGGATACGTGTACATGGGGCATGGAGAGCACATACTCCCAAAATAAAACAACGTATAATTGCGAAAAAATAAACTGTCGATGTATTCCTGAGAGGATGCTGTGCCAGAGCAACGCGCTTGATCTCAGCGACTTTTTGAAGGACGAGATCAAGGGACCAGCTACGTTTACATCCATTTCAACCCGCGGAGGTAGCGACGAGGACGGAAGCAAATTTTCGGAGCCAGTTATGAATGACATGATCAAGAATGTCTTTGGCGATGGGGCTATCTTTTTAGAATGCCGTTCGGGAGAGTGTTTGTACAAAACTGATCTTCCAGGTTATAAAGCGCCTGTCAAAACCATCAATACCCCACTTATTGCGGGCGTCATTGCGGGCTGCTCGCTTTTTATCGTAGCCGTTATCTTGGGCATATGGTACTTGTCTAGGCGCTCGGCCTACCGTGATTATATTGCCCTACCTCTTGACGATTCCGATGATGAAGGCGCAAAACTTATGGCCGACCACAACCCTGCCTCTCTACACTTTGAAAATGTTGCCTATTATCTTAACGGGAAGCAAATTCTTTCGGGTATTCAGGGTTCCGCCCATCCAGGCCAAATCATGGCCATCATGGGAGCCTCTGGTGCTGGGAAAACAACATTCTTGGATATTCTTGCTAGAAAGAACAAACGTGGTACTGTGGAAGGTGTCTTCTACGTGAATGGCGAGAAGGTCGACGACGATGAATATCGTAACGTCATGGGATTCGTTGATCAGGAGGATACCATGTTACCCACTCTCACCGTCCATGAGACAATTTTAACTAGCGCTCTGCTCAGGTTGCCCCGGAATATGAGTAGAGCTGCGAAGGAGCAGAAAGTCTTCGAAGTCGAGAAGCAGCTTGGGATATATCACATCAAGGATCAAATAATCGGATCGGAGGAAGGAAAGGGGCGCGGGATCTCTGGTGGTGAAAAGAGACGCGTTGGTATAGCATGTGAACTTGTGACGAGCCCCAGTATTTTGTTTCTGGATGAACCTACTAGTGGCCTGGTGCGTTCCTGCTGTCTTTCAATGGCTTTTGGTTTGGTATACTTATTACTAACTTTTTGTAGGATGCTTACAACGCATTCAATGTTGTTGAGTGCTTGGTGACCTTGGCTAAGAACTTCAATCGTACCGTCATCTTTACCATCCACCAGCCCCGTTCGAATATCGTGGCATTGTTCGATCAATTGATCTTACTGGCTGAAGGGAAGACCGTATACTCTGGGCCATTCGCAAACTGTCAACCATACTTCGACAATATCGGATATCCCTGCCCCCCTGGCTTTAACATTGCCGATTATCTCGTTGACTTGACCATGCATGCCAGTACCAATCACTCCCGATATGAGGATGAAATCCGTTTAGATGTCAGCCATGACGCTGCCAAAACCACTTCTAGCAGCCTACGAGCGGTCAAATCCATCGCAAGCGTGTCGAACGCATCCATGGACAATAGCGGCTCCGACCGAGCTCAGGAGTCGGGGTTCCGTCCCATGAGCAAACGTCGACAATCACTTAAGCAACGACAGGACAGGCAGCTCTATACAAGAAAGAGGGCGGCTGAAGTGGATACCCCATCTACTTTACGCACTGACGATGAAGAGACCATGGCCAGTAATCTTTCTGGAAGCGGCCAACAACGATCACGCCAACCAAACAATGTTACCCTTCGAGTCCTCGATGATCCAGATCACCCCCCTCCGACTGCAGCGGGATTCAGCTCCGACCTTGATCATCTAGTCTCCAGCTACATCGAATCCAACGTCGCAGCATCTATACGTGACGAGATCAATGCCGCCGTAAACAGCGCGGCAGAGGCAAACGGCGCTGCGAGCGCGGGACAGGAACCGAACTCCAACGGGTCGGTAAACAGATCGATGACTGGATACGCCAAAGTTGGCCTCATGAGGCAATTCATCATCCTTTCCCAGCGCACCTGGCGCAATCTATATCGCAACCCCATGCTCATGCTCACCCACTATGCAATCGCCATCGTGCTCGCGGTGCTATCCGGATACCTTTTCTACGGCCTGACAGACGACATAAAGGGCTTCCAAAATAGGCTTGGTCTGTTCTTCTTCCTCCTCGCCCTCTTCGGCTTCAGCACCTTAACCAGCCTAAATGTATTCTCAACCGAACGATTACTCTTCGTCCGCGAGCGTGCTAATGGCTATTACTCACCCATAACCTATTTCACCGCCAAGGTTGTCTTCGACATCATCCCGCTCCGCCTCATCCCTCCAATCCTTATGGGCGTCATCGTCTACCCTATGGTCGGGTTGATTCCAGCATGGCCCGAATTCCTCAAATTCATGCTCATTCTCGTTCTCTTCAACCTCGCCGCGGCCGGAATTTGCCTAACCATTGGCATCATCTTCAGAGACGGCAGCGTCGCCAATCTGATTGGTAGCTTAGTGATGCTGTTCAGTCTACTGTTCGCCGGCCTCCTTCTCAACCGCGATGCGATTCCGAAATCTGCACTGTGGCTTCAAACTGTAAGTTCTATTTTCCGAATCCCGTCCCTCCCCCTCCCCCCCCCCAAAAAAAATCCTCCTATATTTAGCTCTCAACACTAAAACCACATCCCTCGACACCAGCTCTCCATCTTCCACTACGGTTTCGAAGGCCTCATCGTCAACGAAGTAACATACCTCACCCTGATCGACCACAAATACGGCCTTGACATCGAAGTACCCGGCGCCTCGATACTAAGCGCCTTTGGCTTCAATACCTTAGGCCTGTGGCGCGATGTTATCGGCCTGGGCGTGTTCTCGGGCGTGTTCATCGTTATTGCATATGCTGCTATGCACTTTTTGCTTGTTGAGAAGAGATAGATATATATTATATACTTATATATATATATATATATATGTGTGTGTGTGTGTGTGTGTGTGTGCATGTGTGCATGTGTGTGTGCATGTGTGTATGTGTTTGTGGTTATGCATGTCCATGAGTCGGGCAAAGGGAATGAGGTACCATTTTCTTAAGCTGTTATCTTTCTTATCTTTATTTACATTTTTCTTGCACGTTTCCTAGCCGTGTTTTGTTTTGTTTGTTATGTATTGTGTTGTTTAAGTTTCTATTGCATTTTTTCCCCATCCCCTTTAAACCTGTTTTGGTGCATATATTTATCCACAGGGTTTCATGCACAGGTCTGCTACAGCAAACAGGGAACTCTATATGTCACAGCTAGACTTAAAAGGGTCTTACTCAGCACGGCTGATTTGTTACATTGACTGAACTAGCATGAATTTAAGATTTATATGAATGTCTAAGATATATAGATATATATTTATGTGTGATTCGGGATACCTTCTCTCCTTTTCTCAGACTTCTGTTTCTGGACATCAATCTAGCCTTCTATTCGTTCTCCCTGATCAATCATTTTTTGTGTGTAGATATTTAGGAGCCTGTGTACATAGACGTACATAATTCTCTTTGCTTTCTCTCCCTCTCCTGCTCCCCGGGCCGTTTCTGTCTCAAATCGAAGATTCATTCATTTCTTTTTTTCCCCTTTTTTTCGCGTTAAAACTTATTAGCGTATATATCGCACCTTGACAATCCTCGTGTCAATTACGTGAAATAATGGCCGTCTACTCTCACCATTTCCCTTTCCTCAGATGGGGATCCCCTATTTAAGAAGAACTCTAGGAAAATAGGGAATGAAACTGTGATTATCAAGAAGCTCAAACAATCAGAAAAGCCTGTCCAATCCTGGCCTGGCCTGGCTAGATAAGCATCCCTTTAGAGAGTTGCAAAACTGATCAAAAGTTTTAGTTGATGAGGGATTTCAGAGTTCTCACGTTCTAACACTTCTTCTCTTTTATTTCCAAGAGTGCTGAGGAAATCCTGAATCTTCTTCAGTAATTTAGTCCTCTGTCAGAGCTTCACTCTCAGAAGATTGAAAATCAACAATATTTAGAGCTTGGGTGCTTGCTCTTTTTCTTCATCCAGCCCAGAATCTGAAGCTCTGTTACACTTCATGCCCCTGACATCTCTCTCTTGTTCTGGACTAGGTCCTCCCAGCAGCAGCACAAATTCTTTAACCTTTTCAGTGACCATGAGGAGGGCAGATGGAAGGAATTGGCAGATTTGAAAATTGGCAACTATTTTCTGAACAAAGGATGCACAAAGACAACTGACAACAAAGGGTTACAACAACAAGATCAATGTAGAGAAAAATGCAGCAGAAGGGTATAATAGAAAGATGAAAACAACACGAACAACAAAGGAAGATAACAATCATATATAAAGGATCCCAATACAACACTTGGGAAGGAGCACAAAAGAGGTAAACAAAAGAGGTAAGAATAGGTGAGGCCAAGGAGGAATCCTCAATGAACACTAAACAATCAGTGCGTCAAGAACGAGAAGAGTTTGGTGATATCTTAAGAGAGGTTATCCGGAGGAGGGAGGAGACAGGTATTGGAGGGATTTTCCTGCAGACCCCTCCTCTACTCGAATATTTCTTCTTCCCGAGTTGATAAATATCCTACCCGCTTGTAGGATGAGTGATCATGCAAAGTATTTGCAAGTAAGAACATGAATGAAGTAGAATCCGGATCACGTAACCCCGTAACTGATCAACAAACCGCACTCCTAGTGATGATAATGGTAAGTTAAGTACAAGTTGACAGATGAGTTGAATAAATATCATAGTAAAGATTCACGGGAGGAGCAAAGAAGTAAGCAGAAGGAATAGTTAACCAACTTGGGCTAGGGTCTTCAGCTCTCAATGGTGTCTAGCCACAACTGGGATTCTCTCAGTCTTCTTATCAATGGGGAATTCTTATAGGTTTTTATGAGCTCCTCCGAACCATCGTTGGAGTGTATTCAGCGAGGTATGACAGCGGGTATCTGTCAATCCTAATCATTATTACCTTCGCCGAGAGGCCTTCCTTCGCGAAACCGCGGTCATCTGCGTTTTGTTCGAACGCAGAAACCAAGCAAATATTTGATACCCAAAGTTGGATCGGGGTGTTGAATAATAGCCAGGTGCAGTGCTGGAAATTATATGGTAACTAACCCAAGTACAACCCCTTTTTGAGCAATCCATTAATCACACAATCAGGCTATTAGACCTATCATCATTGCACACGAACCTACTAGACATTCGATCTATTTGATGTTTTTTTTTTTTTTTTTTTTTAATTTTCCTTCGCGTCTCCTTCCAGGTTGTTCACAGCCCGGATTGCCGCTTCATAGTCATTATCACTAGAGTCTCGAATCAGCTCATTGTGAGGACTTCAGGCGTGATTCGGACGATTTTTCTCAGTGACATACGCCCCAGCTCCTAGCCAACGAATCTATTTGCATATTCATGCGTTCACTCTGCCCGTTTGGCTGTGGGTGGTAGGCGGTCTTCATCCAATATAATTGCATTGAAACGCAGGTCTCGATCCGAGATGACAGCAACTGCCATTGACAGACGACGCGGGTATAGAAGGCGTCCGCTTATTGAGCGATAGTCCAAGTTCTGGTCACTTCACCAGTTTCCGATTTTAACTGCCGGCATCAAAATGTTGCTCAAAATGTTGCTCGTTATTTTTCGTCATCTTTTGATCTCTTTGCTGGGAGAATTGCGGCTTGTTGGAAGGGTAGAAGTGTTCGCAATTTCGTGCAGCATGACATCCGGTTTTGAGGGATCGAAAAATTCGCCAACTGTTTTAGACATTTATTCACCTAAGGTGGACATCAATAGTGACTCTCGTAGGCGATAATATATCGTTGGCCATGATGATATTGCATCCGAGGGAAGTTGTAGCCCATATATGCGCCGGAGTCGGAAGGTACAACTATTCTGCAACCCCCCTCGCGCCACCCCAGAGAGCATAGGGATCCAGGATGAGAATGGATCATGTCGGCAAAAATAATTGGCAGTTCCTCGCCAGTTTTTTTTTACCGCCAAATAGCGTAAAGTGTTTGGTGAAATAGGCATCTGGCGAAACAATGAGAGTTCACCTTGCATCAGATTGTTATATCAAAGATGGCATTTTCTCAATTTTCACTCCCAAAGCCTTAGAACAACTCATATCCTGGAGCGAATCCATGAAATACCAACTCTCATGTTTTTGAACACCATCAGCCTCGTGGTGGATGATATACTCAATCCTAGCCGGATTGGGTAGGTCTTCGCTCCAAGCCAGAATATTTGAGATTGGCAGCGAGGGTTTTAATTGTACTATCTCAGAGGGCTTTGGCTTAGTTGTGCAAAACGGGCAAGCAAATCCTCAAGAAATAGGGGAAGTTAGTAAAATATAAAATAATACATGGCAGCAACTTCTGAGTTGATTTTTAACTTCGGTGGTCCAGCAACTGGAGATTAGATTCTTGCAATGACACGTTTCTCAGCGCCCATAGTAAGGATAAATAAATGAGCCTGCGATAGTTAACCTGCTGCCAAACTAGACGATGACCGTGGCCCGAGTGGAAGGCGAGTGATCTTAATATTTTCTCCTTGTTCAAAATTCAGACAGCCAACACTGATGACACTCGACTCGATGATATCCCATTTCTGTTTTCCATACTTCATATTCTGGATGCACCATCGCATCACTTGATGGCTGTTTCGCACAAGCGCGAGAAATCAATCTGAAGGAATCGCGCCTGACGTAGGAGTTGATATTGATGTAGCCATCTGCCAGCTGCGCAAGTATAAGGGTCAAGGAGCATAGTGCGTGTTAGTATATCAGATCTGATTCCCATGGGGGGTAAGATATACGTATATATATACATGCTTCATATCATGCTAGTCCTAGTATTGCCAAACGAAAAACGGCTGGTGGACAAGTTTGCATAAAGTTAAGATGAATAATGTGTTTTTGATAGAGCCTAGTTCTATGCTTATATCTTGATGTTGGGAAGGCGTTGCGGCTGGGTGGTCACATCTGGAACACTCCACCAACCCATCAAATCATTATTTTGGGTTGTAGAAGTACATCACCGTATCAACCACTGGATCGTGATTCAGCTGCCACCAATCAACTTGACGAAGCACCTTTCCCCGACAAGAAATAGTAGTTTGGCTAGGTAATTTCGCAGTATATTCATCCCTAGGCAACAGTGGGATATAGGGGCTCGGCACAGTTTGTTCGCTTTCGGGCGTTGCGTCTGCTTCGACGACATTTAACGACAAGCGTAGGCTCCACTCGAGTTGACGGACTGGGATAATGTCGCATACGGTGGCGCCACCTGCAACTCGATCGAGGCGATCAAGAAGAGGAGATTGGGTCTCGGAGCAGTATTCCATAAAACGAGCACAATAATCCAAAATGTAGGAGGCCTTGGGGTCTACCATTACGTAGAGTCTGCGTAAGTGTACTAGGTCTTCTAGATCGGGGAGGTCCCGTGTCTAGATTAATTAGACAAGGTTCTTGTTAGAATGGAAAAGCTGTAGCCTGGGAGAAGCGTGGGGGATAAATTTTTTTCAAACCATACAAATAACCCGGGGGGCTGGACATAAGCCAGTTCCTCAAGAAGCGGACAGAGAACTCTGAGTTTACGAATGGGTAGATGGGATGGCGAAATGGGCGTTGTCATGGCGAGCATTCGAAGAGAACGAAAATCGCGCCCTAGATGGGCAATGAACTGGTCGATGCTTAGGTATGTCAATCGAGCAGCTATCTCGTCCCAGGAATTCCAGGAACTTTCACGGTTAGCAAGCGATTTACCCTCAAGTGCGAGCGATTCGAGTGATCGATAATCCTTCCACACGAACGACGTCCCCTGATCAACCCTGCGGGTGTGGTATCTGGAGATGCGAAGATGTTTCAGACACGCAACGTCGACTGCTTTCAAGAATGTTTCCTCAATAGAATCTGAAAATCCATAATCGTAATACACATGGCCAAGTAGATCAAGCGACTGTAAGCAAAGCTTATTGGATGTGTGCACAAACGGCTCAAACAGCACCGAAGTCGGGTCACCTTCACCGTCATATACGCATTTTGGCGCACAGTGTGGATAGCCACAATGGTAAGTCAAGTAACCCCACAACATTGCCCAATTGCCGAAGCGGAGCGTCAACGACTTCAGAGTCTGACGGTGGGTGTAAATAGCGTTTCTCAAGCCTAGAATTTCGGCTTCCGTACTGGCCTTGATGGAAAGTGACCGGAGAGGGCATTGAGACAAAAGCTCGATTTTCAGTATATCAAGAGGATAAGCACGGTTTGTAACACGTGGATCGCCATCGTAAGTAAAGGCAGTTATTCCTTTGGTTGCAAATGCTTCCATTAGGTCGTCCGGGGGAACAGGATTTGAGGCCCAGCTTGTTCAATCAGCGCATTGAATCATTATAACGATTTCATTTTGCGGAGGAGGGCATACATAACCTCGTCCAGAGAATGCATTTCGCGAACGCAACCCAACAAAAGCTCCATCGCCAGCGACTCGCCCCGTTCGAAGGAATCAGACTCGTTTGGAAATAAGATGGACAATTTCTTGATAGCCGGACAGAGAGTCTTCCTGTCTCTATACAGGCCACGAAGTTGCGTGAGCCAGACCGGCGAGTATTCTGGTTTCGATCGTGGTCGCAATGTGTTATCCAACTCAATGATAGTGTGCTGGTAAAGCAGGGGGGTGGTTTTTCGGCGTAGAGAGCGGGATACGCAGCACAACGCAGCACGGTCCCGGTAACGCAGAATCTGCTAGATGTTAATATGACATTGCGAACAGGAGCAACGCAAACCAGGCATCATACATGGGAGCCTATAAGCCAGATAATTTCAATAGGAAGGTTCTCCATGGTCGAGCAAGTTGGCTGGCGCGGATGGAACTACTAGTTATGGCCCGTCAAATGGGCTTCAAGAGGGTGGTTTGGGTCCTGACAGCGACGTTAGAGTAACTCGGCTTCTGCGTTTTCAATAGAGGTAGAAGGTTCCTGTATTTATGACGGAGAACTGTGACTGACTCATTATTGGCGGGGCCTGTACGGATGTAATTACAGATTGCTTGAGCGAACTAAATAGGTGGCTGTCAACAAGTCCGAACTATATCGGGTCAGACCCATTTATACAGACATACGGAAGAGCTGCACGAGTTGCGCATACGGCCATACAAACATAGCTCGATCGCTTAATGACATCAAGCTTACCTGAGGCAGCGATGTACTGTACTGTACATGGGATGCTAGAGCTGATTATCTCTCCGGGTCCTGGTAAAACGCGTAACTAGAAGAAGCTCGAGATGTATATGGAGAAGATGTTTTGCATACTGGCTTGGCTGTAAGGGCGGCAAGAATTTCATAAATAATAGGAGCATCACGTCCCTCCCGAGACTGGATTAATACTGAGTAAAACTCCTGACTCTTCTGCCTTATTTATTCTATCTGTCTCATCTTGTGAATAAGGAAACGTCTGTTGAACTTTTCCTTGTTTTCACTCTCAATCCCTTATCTGCACTTCTCTTTCCCAGTAAAAAATGTTAGACATCACCAGAGTCACTATCATCGGAGTAAATTCCCCCTTTGTTTCATCTATGATCCCCTTCATGTATTCATACCCCCACCTATCTACATAGCGCTGAACCATAATCCCAATCCCCAACAACCTCCTTGCCGCACGGGCGGGTGGGTTTGAGCCTACTCTATCGTTTCCCCCAATCTGATAACTTGACACCTACAGGCTGCTGGCCACCTAGGCCAACACATCTTAACTACCCTAACCTCCGAGCGCAAACTCATCACCCAAATCCTCCCCCGCACCAACTCAACATCCACCTTCCCCGAGGGCATCCCAGTCATCAGGGCCAATTTCAGCTCGGTCGAACTCTCTCAAGCACGCTCTACGGGGCCAAGATGCGATCATTAGCGTCGTGGGGATTGGTGGTGTATCCGACCAGATCAATGTCATCGACGCAGCTGTTGCTGTTGGTGTGCGCCGATTCATGCCAGCGAGTTTGGCAATCATCCCGAGTCCGACCATAAGCGGTTGCCGGAGATGACAGCGACGCAGACGCAGAAGATAGCTGTCATGAAACACCTAGCTAAGAAGGTCGTAGAAACAGAAGGCAGATTCTCGTGGACGGCGATTGCGGTGGGAAATTTTTTTTTGATTGGGTACGTTTTTTTGGTCTATTTTGTCTAGGTATTCTTCTCTTGTTCATATATATACCCCCAGCTGTGAGGAGAGAGAAATGGGTTAAACGCCGAGGTGATATCTTAATTGACCTTGATGATAGTCTATTAAACGATTCCCGGCCTTCGGTTTCGACCTACCCAACAAGGCGGCCCGAATCTACGACTGAGGCAACGAACCCATCACAGGTGTGCTCATCGATTCAGTCTGCCAGGCCGTAGTCGGCACCTTTTTCAACCCGACCGAAACGGCAAACAAATTCCTGCGCATCAGGTCCCTGCAGACGACGCAGAACCAAATTCTAGCGGCCTTCGAGCAGATTTCGGACTCCAAATGGGCCGTCGAGAGAATCTCAACCAATGAACTCTATCGAGCTGGAAAGGAGAAGCTGGAAAAAGGGGAAGAAGGGTGGATTTTGGATATTCTTTGTACGCAGATTTTTGCCAATGGAGGGGATCGTTCGATTGTTGCGACGAGGGAAGATTCGGTTAATGCATTGGTTCGAGTTCGGGAGGTGGAGTTGGCGGATGTGATTAGGGATATTCGTCGCAGAGAGTCGAGATATGTAGAATAAGTTGCATGAAAGCCGGAATATCATATAATATCAAGGTTGATTTCAACCCCTTACGCGCACGTAAACAAGTAATCCTCGATGGTCTAGTGGTGATGATTTCCGCTTGTCATTAATAAACAATGTCGAGCGCGGGAGACCAGGGTTCGATTCCCTGTCGGGGAGACATCCAAATATATTTTTACAATAATTAATATTTCTCTTCTCGCCAGTTTCTGTCTTTGATCTTCCGCTGCGCTTTTTCTATTTCTTTTGTGATTTTGAATGCAGTCGGAAATTCTCCACACATGCTCATATGCTCGTTAGTGCTTAGCACGTAGATTTACCGCCTCGTTTGAAACTGGCTCCGCATAAGTCACGCCCACTTGTATTCAAGTAGATGTAATATTTGCCCGATAATCAAACGTAGGTAGTTCCCGTTCTTTAATTATCGGTATAACTCGAAGTCGAACTCGATGATGATGTCTCCACGCCCCGTTCCTCGTCTTCAGTATGCCCGTTCTCATCGTCACCATCACTCGTGTTGTCCGGCAATCTAATAAACCAAACCGCCACGAAAATCATGCCACACAAGAGTGCGATTCCGAAATATGGCAGTCCAACCCACCCATTGCCCATCTTCAATCCTAGCGAAAACAAACCAGCCAGCAACGGTGAGGTGAGCCAACAAAGACGCCCAAAGTTGAAACCACTGACACCACAGAATATAACCGCGCAATATGCTGAGGTTCAACGTAGGTAGCTACCAGGCTCAAATTTAGGGAATTAAACCCGGAACCGAGCGTGAAAATGACCAATCCTGTTATCATAGTGGCGATTGTAGGGGCAAGGCCCAAGAAGAGGGCCCCTATCGTGTACATGGTGATGCTATATCTGGACAAGATGAGATCCTTGGTAGTAGTGGAATAACGCCGGTTAAGGGTGAGGTAGCGGGAGACAGTGGGCAAGAAGACGAGGAGCAGGAATATATTCACGCCCGCGAAGATGGTGAGGGAGAAATTTGCTGTGGATAAAGGGATGCTATAACGGGTCGAGACGTAGAGTAGCATGATTGACAGGTGCTTACTGCCGACGTTGGAGACCACATGTAGCACATATTGTGCCTACAAAGAGAGGCTTCCAGGGGCCGCCCTTTAACATCATCCAGGATGATACGAGGGGTGCCACAAATTGAGTGAGCACGACCGCCAAAGCAATCTGGAAAAATGCACTTGATCTAAAGATAAAAAGACAAGACTGAGAACTAGGGCGAATTGATAGAAACCCATGCGTGATGAATAGCGGGATCATACCTAGATCTAGTCTCAACAATATCCGTAATCATTGTCATCAGCATAGTAATAGCGATGCCAGTCCCACCCCCTAGGAGGAGAGCTGCTGATCCCAGCCATACTGAGCGGAGAGGCATGACTTGGGCGAACCAGCATACCATAATTACCCAAAGTTGGCCTAATAAAAGGCCAGCCACCGCAAGAGCAAGAGTAAATTTCCTTCCATATCTAACATTGTCCGCGAGACGGCCGTACGGGACAGAGAGTAAAATGCCCATGAAAGTCCAAAAGTGAACCCAAGCGGATAACAAATCAGCTACAAACAGACGAACGTAATATTCGGGTCAGGGGGTTTGAGGTGCCTTTGCAGACAGCTCTCATGTCCAAAAAGACAATGAAAACGAAAAATCAAGGAATAGTAATATCACCACGTACTGGGAAGCGCTTCGAAGCTGATTTGTAATCCTTGCACGAAGGCCAGTTCGCTCTGCACAGGTGAGATTTTGCACTTCTCCTCTGGAATCTCTTCCAACAATCGATATCGACCTGGGTCACGTTTTTCATAATAGGTGCGATGGGCTATAGCTTCGCAGATGCGAGCTAGAGGAGCGATGGAGAGGTAAGCTCCAGAATCAATGAAGAATACTATAAATACACATAGAAAGACGAAAACGACGGGTTTGCTCCTGAAAACTCGAGGGCGGGCTGGTGGCGGACGTGAATCCGTCCCCAGGAGTGTGTCTGTCTCATTGAATGTATGATCGGAGTCGGCCGCCATTATTAGGGTAATTTTTGGCAGCACAGAATTATTTGAGATCCCTAGGTAGGGAGATAGGGAACTCTTGGGAGTGATTCGGGGCGAAGAGAGTTGGCGCTGTTGCTGCTGTTAGGGTTGAGTGCACTCAGGAACTTGTCAGCCCTAGGCAGAACAATTAACAAGGCCTCGAAGTAACCGCCCTGACATCATGTATCATGCAACTAAGAAACATTAGATGCCATATTATTGCCATTGAAGGTAGTAGTTAGTTTTAAAAAACAGGATTTGAGGTATATTTTGTGGTGTTCTGGCCATGCTGTTATATTCTTTTCGGCACTTGAAGTTGATCGATACATGCTGAGGTAGACTGACTACGCTCGTATCGTCAGGCCAGGTTCGGTAATATGCTATGCATAAGTAATCAATGTATGTAGATAGTGATGACAATTTGGAGCTGATTGAGTATTGATATCTCGGGGTATTCTATTTAAATCCACTGCTTCCACTCAGACTTATCAGCATCCTGAATAGCAGCAGCCCTGTCACCTGGTAAAGATTGAAGTATCATCCAAATCGTATGGAGGAAAACTATTTTTTCTGATATCTTGTATTTTTCAAGAAAAGTAACATAACGGATACTGTGTTTGATTTCCATCCCGCTGTTGTTTGAAACTTTGAGGGTCGCTAGTTATGGAGCGGCAGAGGTAGGATAAGGTGTGTCCGCTGTTGACGGCCTCTTGCTATTCCAACGTAGTGGTGATTGAGGGACACTTATGCTCCGGGAAAAGAAAACGGGTAGATTGCACAGTATCATAGCCAGAGAGAAGGACCTAAGGCAGTAAGTATATCTGTTCTTAGCAAAGGATAGGGATCGAGATGATATTAATATTTGAGAAATGAGGTCGACGGTTTCCCTCGCTAGTTATTTAACTAGTTACTATTTCAATAAATATTTAAAAGAGCCTCAGCCAAGCCATCCATCCACCAACCACCGACTGCCAACTGCTAGTTAAATAACATATCTGCCAACGTCCGCCCACCGCCAAAGCCTTTCCGCACCACCCAACGCCTGTGTCAGCTCTCTCCAGCTTTTCGCATCCTACGTTCTCTCAGACTGACGACCCCTCGACTCCTATCTACCGCTTTTGCTCCTGTTTTCTCTCGCCGCCTCGACGCCCATATAGCTCTCCATGCCGCATCGCTCCTATTGGCTCGTTTATATAAGCTAGCTAGCCCATCCAGCCCTCGCACATTTTGTCATCCGCCTGCATACACATGCGCGACTGCTGCTACTTTCGTTAGAAGAAGGCATTTCCAGACCAGCTACTCCAGGACACCTTTTATGGTCGGATAGCGGGATATCGTTCATATCGGGAATACACTCGGGTTGTGCGCGAGCTATCCTCCAGTTCTGACGTAAATATTCACGAATACGGAAACCAGCCGTGCAAAGTCAATATAAAACCGCCCACCCTCTCTTGAAAAACATAAACAACATCCATCATGTCTGGCGAAGCGTGGCTCTACTTGTTGGCGGTACTGTTAAATGCCGTCAACCTCTTTCTACAAGTTTTCTTCACGATTATGTATAGCGACTTGGAATGGTGAGTGGGCGCATTTTCCTCATTCGGGGAATTCCCGCAAGAAAACTTACATGAGACTCGCTGGGTGTCCCTCCCTCTTGTATACGGGTGCTTTAAGCGGCGTTTATGCGAATGTGAATAAAGGCACTTTTTTAGCTAACCATGCGGCCCATGCTATAGTGATTACATCAACCCCATTGACCTTTGCAACCGACTCAACGCCTATATCGTCCCAGAAGCCGCCGTTCATGCAGTCCTAACGATCCTCTTCGTTGTTAATGGATACTGGCTGGCCATAATTCTCAACCTCCCCCTTCTGGCATTCAATGCGAAGAAGTATGTGTTATTTGTTTTGAAACTTCCTGGATAAATATGCTTGCGGTTTATAAACAGCGGCGCACTAACTCGTCATGAACAATGCAGGATATTCGATAACCAGCATCTTTTGGATGCTACGGAGATTTTCCGAAAGCTTAATGTGCACAAGAAGGTATCCATGTGCTTCCCTTTCTGCTCCATTTTCCATGATCGGGTAACTAATTTGTCCCGTCCACAGGAATCATTTATCAAACTCGGATTTCACCTTATCATGTTCTTCTTCTACCTCTACAGTATGATCGTCGCCCTAATCAGAGACGATCCACATTGACTACGTGAGAAAACGGCAAACGCGATGCGGGATGGTCGTCCGGCTGGTTTGTAATCCCACAGCTACCAGAAGCTGAACCCCGAGGTCAACGAGTAATTCGAGCCGACCAACTTCGAAATCCAGAATAGAAGGGTGGACATTTGTTCGTAGAATAATAGTCCATCCCACGCCATCCTTAAAACCCCAATATTTGAGTTTCCATGTGCTTTTTTTTCTTCTCTTTTTTCTTCTCTTTTGCGAGCCGCGTTTGTTGATAGAGTTGACTGTGTTCGGAAATGGTTTCATTTTGTTTTATGTCTTTCCTTACATTGGGAGGGTTTATTTTCCCTATATGATACGCCTTAGGAGATGAGAAACGATTCTGTAATAGTGCTTATGTTTTGCTACTTGTCATTTCCAACGTTTATTTCCTGTTTGTCTTTCTCCTTAACGTTGGGTTGACGGGTATGAAAAGAGTGATGTATGAGATAGGCGGGCACGAAGGGTGCGAAATTCGAGGTATATTTGAGAGCGGGTGCTGGGAGTCTACATATGTTTTCTTATCCCTAATATCCTGCCAATCCTTGTGTATACATACTTAAACTTATAATGAAGAGCGTAAGATACACGCTCATTTCCCTTGCATTTTCTGATATAAGGCACCTGCGAGGGCGTTGTTGTTCTGTTGCTTAAATAACTAGCATTCTGCACTATTAAAACGTACTAGGTGACAGATATTACAATATAAGTAAATTATTTTCCGTCATTCCCACTGTCATTCCCACTGTCATTCTACCCCCCCCCCCCCCCCCGGCTTGTTAACTGAGTTTGATATTGACTGCATAGTTGGTCTACTTCGGTAGCCGTAAAATTTGGTTGTCTTCACGGCAAGCAACGAACCAGCTTCCTCATTCCCACGCGGGTTATATCAACTTGTTGCGCACAGAAATAGAACCCATAACTATGACTTCCCTACTGGGTGCTAATTATGAATCTGCCAGCGACGACGATGCGCAAAATGCGCCCGTCAAGGCAACGCCAGCTCCAGCGCCAGCTTCTAGCGTCATCGCGGCGCCTGATGTCTCCATAGAGGTTTGGTCCCTTGCGCCCTCTGATGCGTGCACATAAGCTCATACATTATACAGGATTCTTCACGCTTGCAGCTGATGCTTGCCAAACCGACCGATACTACCTTGACCTACAACGCCACCTATGATGACCTAACACGACCAACCTTGGGACCAGAAAACCCCTTTCGTTCCGTGCATGGGGGTAACGCGCTGAAGAGGAAAAATGTGCTGACGGGACATGCAGAGGAGACTTTGATGAGCGAGGCGACGTTTAACTCTCAACATCGAACGTTCCAGGCCTTTGGATACACTCAGGACCCAACCGTCCCTGGGGGGTTTGTCGGAGATTTGGAGGCCGCTGCGCGTCAGGGGGGTAAAGATGTGGTACAAATGCGTCCCTCCAAGGAGGTTAGCGCTGCGCTGAGGAGGAAGAGGCAGAAAAAAGGAGATTCTAGTATCGTTGAAGGAGAAGGCGCATATGTCGGACCTTGGGCGAGATATGAGGATGACGATCACATGTACGAGGAAGAGTTGGACCTAGCTGGTCGGGAACTGGCCAGCGATGAGGAATATATTGAGGAAGCGATCGTACCGTCGAATATACCGGCTATGGATAAAAAGGCTACAGCGTACAAGGAAGATACGTCTCATACCGAAACGACAGAATTTCATGGTTCGGAACAGTTCGACTACCAAGGAAGGACGTACATGCATGTTCCACAGGATCTGGGCATCGACCTCAAGAAGGACGTGGGCAGCATTAAAAATTACGTACCCAAAAAACTGGTTCATACCTGGAAATCACATACAAAACCCATCACCTCCTTACGCTTCTTCCCAAACTCAGGCCACCTCCTCCTCTCTTCCTCTGCCGACTCGAAAATCAAAATATGGGATGCCTACCACTCCCGAGAACTATTACGGACATATTCCGGCCACTCCAACGCAGTCACCGACACGACCTTCCACCCAACTGGCACCACTTTTCTCTCCGGCTCATACGATCGACAAATCAAGCTCTGGGACACAGAATACGGCAAGTGCATATCACGTTTTTCAACGGGCAAAACGCCGCACGTCATTCGCTTCAACCCAGACCCAGAACACAGCCATGAATTCCTCGCCGGTATGTCCGATAAAAAGATCATCCAATTCGACACACGCACCGGCGCCATCACGCAGGAATACGACCACCATCTCGCCGCCGTCAACACCCTTACCTTCGTCGACAACAACCGCCGTTTCATCTCCACCTCAGACGACAAGTCGCTGCGTGCGTGGGAATATAACATTCCCGTCCCCATCAAGTTTATCGCAGAACCGTACCTATACGCCCTCGTGCGCGCCGCGCCCCATCCCAACGGCAAATACGTCGCCTTCCAGTCAGGCGACAATCAGATCGTCGTGTACGCATCGACGGATAAGTTCCGGCAGAATCGCAAAAAGAGTTTCCGTGGACATAATAATGCTGGGTACGCGATTGATGTTGCTATCAGTCCTGACGGGCAGTTCGTCACATCCGGTGATAGTGGTGGGTATGTGTGTTTCTGGGATTGGAAGACGGGGAAGATGTGGCATAAGATTCAGGCGGGAGGGAAGGAAGGGGCTGCAATTACATGTGTAGAATGGCATCCGCAGGAGACTAGTAAGGTTGCTACGGCTGGATTGGAGGGCGTTATTAAGTATTGGGATTAAGATTGGGTTAGATAATGCTCTTTTTTCTTTTCTTTTCTTTTTTCTTTTTTTTTTTTTTCGACTTATTTTCATTTTTTAAGTTAAGCCTGTGATGGTTATGGGGTGTGGGGGAGTTCTAAATTTTCTTCGGTCTTACATACCATATAATCTGTATAACTATTGTATTATGTCATGCTAGCGCCAATTATTCGGAAATAAGGATGCGAAAAAGAAGACATTCTAATATCATTCTGTGATGATCAATTTTCATGCTGGCAGGACAGCTATAACTATATCTATATGAAGGATTTATACATTTAGCGCACATCACAATTCCTGTTTTCGCTAGATAGATGAAGGGGAGCATAAGGGTACTAGACGTATGTAATGCATATGTAAAAAGCAACACAATGCTCTCAAAAATGTCAGGATCAAATCACAAAAAGGGCAATGTAAATGAAAACACAACAGAGCAGCTTTAATGCACTTTGTCCTTCGTCCATGCCTTGACAATTATACTCCTTCAGATGGGGATTACGGAGAAAGGGAAAAGAAAGTTGAGAAATCCATCTCCATCTAAATCATCCATTTCACTCCGCTCGCTCGTTCGCTCATGCATGCCACAAATCCCATATCCGTTTTTTATTTCATTTCCATGAAAAGCTAGCATCTCCTCGTACCGTTCGCTTCTCGCATTATAAGAAAATTTCCTTTAAACCATACAACGCGGGCTAAAAGCTCGTCATATCAATCCAACTCGCCACAAATCCCAGCCGCCGCCCCCTCTCCCCCTGCATCCTCATCGCAAACTCGTCAAAGTTCAACTTTGCACCAGATCCGCCACGTGCCTTCGCTTCCCGCTCCACCTGATTAAGCCTGCTCCAGCGGGCGAGCGTCTTCGGCGATGGTGGAAGTGGCGGTGAAGGTGGATTGGGTTTTTTGTTAGCGTCGTTCAGGGAGGATGAGGAGGATGGTGATGGTGGGGGAGAGAGAGAAAGGGAGGAATGTGAACGATCATCATCGTCACCATCAGGGACGAGTTGTTGTCGGCGGGGCGATGACGAGGCGGATTGATGGAAACGGAGACGGAGGGGTAAGGATTGGTTACGGGATCGTATAGAGCGTGGGCGCAAAGGGCGTTGTTGCTGTTGTTGTGGTGGCTGTTGTTGCGCAGATACGGAGGCGGGGGCGGAGGAGCTGGAGGTGGAAGCAGATTCGTAGACAGGTGATTGCTCGAATACGGAATGTCCATGTGGAAGGGCTGTGGAGCTGGAAACTTCAGTTATATGGAGGCTGCGGCCCGAGGCTGCTCTGTCTGGTCGGTTTTGAGGAAGGGTTGGATCGGGAGGTGGGGATGTGCTCTCTGCTACTTCGTATTCTTCTTCCTCTATGTACTCGGTGTAGTTTAATCCTTCGGGGGCCGGAGGGAAAGGCTCCAGAATATCCGGGTCATTAGGGCGGTTTTGAGGGAGAGTAGGATCGGCGAGCATTTCCGCCTGGCCGGCGATATCATCTTCACCTGGATGAGAGTGGTCAAGGATATCTCCGCCGCCCAGGGAGGGATAATCTGTGCCATCCAGTAGTTGCTCCCGATGTTCCTTCCTCGAGCGTTCTGTTGATTTTACTTCGTCTTCCGCTTCTGCTTGGTCAGGTCCTCCAGTTTGCTTGTCGATATCAGCACCCTGTCGAAGATAATGGTTTTTAGGAAGGGATGCCGTAAAGTTATTGATCTCCTTCGCCCATCGTTTTCTCTCAGCCTTCGTCCGACGTGCTTCCATAAGTAGATTTTCCTTCGGTTTGAATATGAGGTCTAGAAGCTCATTTAGACCTTGCTGAGTAACTTGATATAGTACTTCTTTTCCAACATCCTTTTCCGCTTCAGGGACCTCGAATCCGCCCCAGCGTTCAGCTACTGGGATGCTGCGAGATGACGTGGACTGGTTTGACCTAGTCTCGTAGTCGTCCGTGATGTCATCCTGGAAGCGAACCTTAGACGATGATCTCGACCGTGGAGTGGGTGAGTGCGACTCCTCTTGGAGTCGATGAGGTATATCTTCGACGTCGTTGAAATCATCCGCTTCATGGTATCCAGCAGGAGCAGTTGCGCCCTCCTCCTCGTCGGTATAGAACGCCCGCCTTGCCCATCTTTCGTCAATTCCCTCTCTCCTTATTCGTTGCATCCTCTCTCGATCTGCTTCATCAAGTCTCTGCATTGCACAAGTAGCGATCCTAGCCCTATCAACCGGATCGGTGATTTCCTCCAAGGGTACATAGGTGCCTAAAGCACTAACTACGTCCTCTGACCGGACCAGGTCACTAGGCCATTCGCTGTAGCTGCCCGGGTACGAATCCGAATCATGCGATCCGTTATCTTCTTCATCGCCATACTCTTCTTCGTTGGTATCTCCGTGGGGGTGTCGATTGCGTCTACGAGGCCGCGAAAATGGAGGGTCAGGGAGTCGCAGCCTAGATGTGAAGAGGGGGCGTGTCCGACCATACGTTTCCCTAACTGCAGCGTCTGCAATAACTGCATTCCTATCGCCTGTGTCATCACCATCATCTCGTAAAATGCCCTCATTATCGATAATTTCCATATCACCTCGCAGATTTGTTCGTTTTCCTTCACCAATCCTGGAAGGTTCTCCAGGTGGGATATTGCCCGGGAACGCAGAAGATATAGGTTGGCTCCCGAGTATGATATCTCTTGTTCCACCCTCCAAGAAGTCATCTTCCATGCCGGCTACCATGTCCCTTGTCAATTCTCTACTGAGCGTATAGTATGCCCGGAATATTCGAAGGAAATCTTTTCTTTCCACGTAGCCATCTCTATCGATATCATACCCTTCGAATATTCTCCTAAGCCTCTCGTGCACACTCTTATTACTGAAACTTGCCAGTCCTTTCAAAAACTCTTCAAACCCGATCAGATTATCTCCGTTAGTATCGTAGAACGAAAACATCCGGTCGTATATGAGACTCGGTGGGGGAGGCCGAATTGACGTATTTGGCACAAAGCATCGATCAAACGTCTTGCGATCGATCGCCATATTAAGTTTGTTTGGATCATTGATCCACTCAACGTTTGCCAGGCAGCGAAACTGGTCCCAGAGCGCATCCAACTCTGTATTTTCAAAATTCGTCTCTTTCATAAGTCTTTTTGCGAGATTTCGTGGTAGACTGCGTGGCAGCATAGACGGCTTCCCTGGATACCAAACCGGCTGGGGTTGTCGCGGATTACCTAGGAAAGGCGCAGGAATACGGACTTTATAAAATAGATGGGTTTTGATATGAACCTGCATTGCCTCGCATGTTTCGCAGAGGTCGTAGTCGATACAGTTGGCACATCGATATCTTATTCCCTGAATTGGCATTGCCCCACAGCTATTGCACGTTACTCCGCGATGAATATAGCCATCCCGCCGCGCCTGATCCTCAGCGATATGGTAGAGTAAGTTGAGCAAATTCTGTCCCTCACGGGTGGGTGTACCATCGTCATTACCATCTCGCCACGAAAAGAGGCTCTGGTCATCCACTGTTGTTTCCGCCTGCTCATGAGCTTGTGCAGTTTGGGACGGCTCTGAAGGGTTGAGGAGGCTAGTTCCAGGGCCTGTCAGTCGTATCGACTCGCCGTTCTGTCTCCGACGCCGTAGCTCCTCGCCAAACTGATCGGACTCATTAAATCTCGTGAGCGCAGCCGTGACGTTCGTCTCAGAAAGACCACGGCTTAGCAACTCAGTTGACAGATATTGCCACTCGCCCGTTTCAAAGAGAATCGTATGCGAAGACTGGAATTCAACAGCGAGGAAGTTATCAAGTAGGGCATCTTCAATGACGGACCGTATATACCGTGCGTGTCCCCGAAGAGTTTCAAGTTCTTCCTGAATCTGATCGACAGACGGTAGCTGCGACGGGATGAGACGACACTCAACAGCACGGCCACCGTCTACCTGCATCCTAAAAGTCCCATAAGCTTGTCCTGTTCTTTCCAGCAGGTCCAGTGCTTCTATAGGCCCTGAGAAGTCATGGGGGGCGCGCGATTCGCCACTGGGAAGGGAGATACCACCGCGCCGCCGCGTGCTTCTCCTCCGGACGGCATTGCGGCGGTGTAAAGGCGGAGGAGATGGAGAAGCGACATATCGGCTGTGAGCATAGAAAATGGCGTATGCAGCCGCTATACCTGTCAAGAGATATAGCGCTGGACGAAACCGTGCGAGAGATGTTGGGTGGGAAGATGCGTCAGACGACATCTTGGGGTAAGGGAGGTATTTCGGAATGCGGGTTGTCAGTAGTTAAACGAGCATCACCGCGGTCTGTCCATGGACATCAATCCAGAAATGCATTAGCCAGGGCGCTGAACTAGCTAAAAGACATGCTGCATGCACGTCACGATTTTATAGCCAGGGCCAAGTTTGGAAGGTTATAGATAGATCTGGAGTTATCTTGTTATATAGGTGATTTTATCACTGAAAATCAGCTCCGAGGCTTCAAGACAAATAAGCGCGCGGTAATTTTAGTTTGACTTTTTTTTCTCCCTCAGCTGTGGCGAGGACTTCAATTGTTTTGCGCCTTTGGCTCTACGATAATATTTCTGAGCATCTGCGGCATGCAAAAGGTGTATTCATACCACTCTTGCAATCACTCCATGGCTATTCACAGGCGCTACTGCAATAATGGACACTTAGTTCATTCTACAAAGGGTAAGGAGACATACAAATTGTGCCAAGATATCAACTTACTTTAACAAATATCTGCCCAATGCCCTTCTGATTGAACCCACTTTAGGAAATATAAATCACAGAATTGGCGGACTGTTATACAGAGACATGAACTAAATAACAGGAGGGTATAGGGATATAAACAAGAGTTTTCTCTCTCAATCTCTAGTAATGATGTATACGTCACATCTTGAAAGTAGACTTCTCCTATGCATCACGAGTCGTTAAACAAGCCCTGTCCCCTAGCTTTAGATCTTTTGAAACCCGAAACTTGTAGGGTAGACAAAACGAAAAGGAAATATTTCCTGTTTCTATGAGAAGACAAACGGGAACGGGGGAATCAAGTTAAATTCCTTCAAACAATAACATAGCGTCCAAAATGAGGCAAGACCGCGGGATAAAATAGCGCTGGACATTCATCTAGGAACTCGAAACAAACTGGTTTGGTATGATAAATTTTGGAGGGATATTCTCCCATGTCCGCTCACCACTGCCTTACGTCAACGGCTAAGAGCCTTTTCCCGGATGAAAAGGGCACTGAGCGTCGTAAAAAAGACAACAATGATCGAAAGGCCGAATGCATGGTTCGTGGCCATTCCATAGCAATTTCGCACGATTTCTCTGGTCTGCGGATCCAGAGTATTGATATAGTCCAAACTTTGGCGTACGCCGTTAACAATCTTATCGACATCCTTATTGTTGTCGAGAGCAGACCGCAGACCCGTTCGCAGAGACTGTTGGACCACTGTAGATGCAAATGAAAGCCCAATTACGGAGCCTAGTGATCGGAAAAGATAAGAGCATGCGGTTGCTACTGCTTGATCCTGTGGAGATGCGCACGCGACTGGATATATGTTAGAATATAAACGTGGCGGGAGTATTTCATTGAACTGGACGGAATTATGAAGGACGAAAACACTTACTCAATGCAATCAGCGTAGTGGTGATTCCAATTCCACTTCCAAATGCAGCTATAGTTATGCCAATAAGAATTCCGACAATGTTTCGAACCAAACCACCAGACCAGAGGAATATTGCGGCAACTCCGACAGTTAGAAGGACATAGGATACGAAGGTGATCCAGAAATATTTACCGGTCCTTTTCATTACGATGCCGCCAAACAATGAACCGGAGACACCAGCTATGATGGAGGGAAGAAGCCTGATACCTGCTCCAGTGGCAGAGACACCGTCTGTAGCCTGGAAATATAGTGGGAAGTAGAAAAGAACACCCATATATCCGGCAAAACTGAAAAAGTTGCATCCGTAGCAGGCAGATAAGCTCCGATCAAAAATAATATGGCTCGGTGCGAAAGGTTCAGACGCTACCCAAACTTCAACGCAGAGGAAAACGGCAAAGAGAACGATTGCCAGTGATAACGACACGATGGTTATTGGTATAGACCATGAGACATTACTGCCCCTATCTGCTCCAAGGAGGAAGGAGAACACTGCGCCAACCAGTACTAATGCTCCGAGAAAATCTATCCGGCGGAGCTTTTGCCGCCAATGAGATTTATCTTGCACAGGGAGGTGTAATGTGAATGAAACAGTTATAAAAGCCAACAGACATAATGGTCCCTGCAGGAGAAACGACCTATAGTAAAAATAATTAGTTCTTGTTTTCTTCCTTTAGGCACAGATAGCAGCAGACACTAACCAGCGCCAGCCAATGTAATCAGCCAAAATGCCGCCTGTTTCATTGAAAGTCAGCATCATTACACCCATTAAATTTACCAAACAGGGGTCGAAGGAAAAAAAGATATACCTAGAGGTGCTCCAACCGCACTCCCACTAGCCCATATGATATTGATGATACCTTGCCAGACTCCTCGATCACGAAGGGGAACAAGGTCGCTCATAATAATGCTCACAACAGTTGACATTCCCCCGCCACCAAGACCTTGGAACACCTAGCTAGATCCGTTAATTTTTGTCATTGCAATACTTAATACAGTAGTAAAACGACATACCCTCGCAGCAATCAACTCTCCAATGTTCCTCGCAAGTCCACAACCCACGCACCCAATCCCGAAAACAGAATACGCAAATAGAAGACATGCTTTACGGCCGAATATGTCACTAAGACGGCCATAGAGCGGCTGGAAGGAGGTCAGGGTCAGGAAATATGAGGTTGCAATCCAGCTCGTCAGATTCAACGCCTGCAGGTCACTTCCAATCTTTCCATAGCTGGACACAATGATCGTTTGATCCGCTGCGCCAAGGAACACCTACATATGGGTAATCGCAAACTGATGTGTTAGCCATGAACTTCAAAAAAAAAAAATGGCGCAGTAGGGGGAACTTGAGAGTCGCGTTATAAATTTACCCCAATGGAAATCGCTGGCACGATATATTTCAGTTGGTTCTGTGCGTCAGGGAGGCCTCTGAACTGGGCTTCGCGAGCAGCATCGGTCCCATTCTGATCTACTGTTTCCTCATCTTGTGCTTCGGTAATGGACTTTCTGGTTGGCGTTTTGGAGGCTTCCCTATCGCCGAGCAAAGGGGACGTTTCTGATGGCCCAGAGCATCCGCTACTGGAAGCCAAAGTGTGATTCCTCATATTATCATAATCCGGTTAGATGCATTCGGATTTTGAATAGCTATAACTTACGGATTGAATTTCTTCACACCGGAGGATCTCAGCTCTGACTCGACTCGGTGGATGTGTTCCCTCCCCTCTTGGAAGTCAAAACGCGATACGGGCGAGGAGAATCACGTGAATCAGGGATTATTACAACGAATATTTATAGGGACCTGTGAAAACGACGCCGAAAATGACAGCCTTTGGCGCCAGAAACGGCCGCCTTTCCACCCGTAACTTTGCACAGCGAGCCGCCGCTTGACCCCCCACTGCCTGCTACGGCCCCCCTATTCTGCACCCAACCAGCGCACTGTTCTGTCTTGTTGACGCTTGACTTCAAGTGTATACAGAAAACTTGACCTCGCTAAGTGCGCCACTTGACCTTGTTACATAATCATGACCCTGACCTCGCACAATACAGTAATAATCAGTTGGTAATTGGCTTTCAACCTTTCAATCCACTCATTCATTCAGCTCATCAATCAATCAAAGCATGTATACAGTATAGCTGATTCATAATTAATTAAATGAACAGATAAATTCATATAGAATATAAAGAGATGTTTTACAGAATTTTAAAATATATTAAGATAAAAATATTTAATAATTAATTTTAAATTAATTTTAAATTTGTAAGAGGCCTACGCTGAATAGATTAGTATGATGTTTATAGATCTTATATAACAAAGTGAAAAATGTTAAAGAAGGAAAGAAAAGAGAAAGTGTGAGAATTAGTAATTAAAGTAAATATTTGTAAGAAATTCTGCTTCTTGCGAATTCTTTACTTCTATTTCTATCTCTTATATAATTAATAGAGTTAGCAGCTCTTGACTACAACACAACTATATAGACTGAAGTTTATGAATACTATTTATAACTCAGCTTAAATACTATTATATATTTAATCTCTACATTTTATCTTTCTACTGTAAGTACTTGTAGTAGTTAATAGTATATATTATATTAAGTTATAAATATCTGAATAATTATCTATAAGCTCTTATTCTTATATTTCAAGCTCAGTCAGTCAGTAATTATCTATTATAACTAAAAGAACTAGAAACTTATATACTTTAATTTCTATAAACTCTACTACAGACACTCAGAAGTAGTTATCTAAATTATAAATAACTCTTATAAAAGAAGTCTCAGAGAACTTATTAATTACTTATAAAATATTATTTTTTATATTTATAACAGAGAAACTCTCTGAACTTATAAATAAATCAATCTTAGTAAAGAATATTCTTAAGTATCTTCTATAAAATTAAGCTATTTTTCTATAAGAAATACTTACTATCTGTAAATACTCTTAAACTAAATCTCTAAATATAATCTTTAGAGATATCTATGAACTGAAAAGAAACTTTTTTAAATTATAATTACTTAAGATTACTTACTGAATTATAATTTATAAAAGCTTTTATAAGTTTATATTTAAAATTAACTTATAAGTCTGACTATATAATATAAAAGATAAAGAAGCTGTTATCTATATAATAATAGATCTCTACTATACTAAAGTCAAGAACTAACTGAATTATTTAGAGAATAATTATAAGAGATTCTACTAATCTATTTTTAAAATTTATCTAAAGAATAAGTTAAGAGACTCTGTGAACTGAATAGAGAATATTTAAGCTATAATTATTAATATTAGAAAAAGAGATAAGAATTCTGATAAAAATTACTTATAGTACTTTATAAAATTATAATATAAATTAAAATTTATAAAAACAGAACTCTGAAATAAGATCTGAATAATAATATTTATAAAAAAACTGAATAAAAATATATAGAATAAGTTTATTAAGTAAGACTTTAAGTTCTTAACTCTGAAGAAACTAATAACTTTTATTTACTACTTATAGATCACTGTGAGAGTTATAAATTTATAAAAAGTAAATTATTAACTAGTTCTGTAAGAATTAGAATAACAGAGAATAGATTTATTAGAAAAATATAATAAAATATAGAGAGATTTATATCTGACTATTAAGTAAAAAGAGAGAGTTTTATAAGCTTCTATAAATAAAGTATATAATAAAAAGATTAAGAAAAAGAGTCTTTACTTTATTTATTTTAAATTAGAATATCTTTATATAAACTATCTGAATAAATTAAAATAGAAATTTAAGAAGTTATAAACAGAGTTAGTAATAGTCTTCTTAAAAGCTTTGAAGCTGATATCTGAATCTGTTACTTTCTTAATGAAAATATCTGTTTATAGAGAGAGACTATACTGTAGTACTATTATTCTATAAGTATAAAAAGTATTAATAAACTTAGAATCTCAGATCACTGTAATATCTCTAAAGCTTACAGAGTGAATAAACTGAATAATGAAAACTAAGAATCTGCTCTTATAATAAACAGAATATAAGAACTCAGATCTGAGAACTAAGAGATTTATAAAAGTTATCTTTAAATTACAAGATCTCTTCAAAATCTGAAGAAGATTTATAAAAACTATAATTATTATAAATATCACAGATAATATATACTTAAGACTTATATAACTTTAAAGACATAATCTGTATATAACTGTTTATAAGTCAGGTTTATACTTCTAATCAGTGTTAATAAACTTACTTACAGAGATAGAATCAGTTAATACTATAGAGTTAATTAAAGAAGATAAGCTTATCTATATAATAACTTTATAAATATCTGAGAACTTTATAATTATGAAAACTGAGTTTCAGATATTAGAGAAATACTGAGATCTTATAGAGATATTTAACTTAGTAAAGATAGTTAAGCTTTCTTCTTACTATAAAAAGAATCTAGTAATAAATTTAATAGAAGAGTAGAAACTCTTCTGAGAATTAATCTATAAGTTCTCTTATTATAAAACAGAAATCTTATAGATTTATATAAAGAAGAATCTGAAGAATAAGTTTATCTAATCTTTATAAATCTCTATAAGAGTCTCTGTAATATTTATAAAGAAGAAAAATAAAGATTTTAGATTATATATAAATTACTATAATCTGAACTCTAAAATAATAAAGAGTTACTATTCTCTATTTCTGATTAAAAATGTGATTAACTGTCTTACAGAAGCTGTTATATTTATATAACTGAATATAATCAATATATATATATAACTGTGAATACAGTTTAAAAATAAATAAAAGACTGTCTTTAAAACTACACTGAGATTATTTAAATATCTAATAATATCTTTTCATTTAACTAATATCTTCATGATATTTCAGTCTTTTATTAATAAAATACTTTATATATATCTGAATATCTCTATAATAATATATCTGAATAATGTAGTAATGTACTCTATTATCATGCTCTCAGCCGCGTCAAGGCCCTGTTGCAGTTCCACACAGCTCATCACTTTCATGCGGATGATTTCATCTCATCTGAACCGGTTTTCAACTACTCTATAACATCATTCAGATATATCATAGAAAGATCTGATTGATGAATTTGAGAACTCTGCTTCTATATAAGATCAGCAGATTACTTTTTCTTAATAGTGAGATGTCACTGAGATATCACTCTGACTATTCTCACTTGAGAAATGAGAGAAGGTATTCACTCATTGTCTATTATTATTATTATTATTCTTCAATTATAGATGTATGCAGTCAGAGACTATGATATCTACCTAAGAACTTTTAGTTCTCAGGGTTTTTCCTATATCTGTAAAGTTAACTATTATACATTTATCAATTTCAGATATGCAAAATCAGAAAATTTCAGCTCAGAATATAAAAACTGTTTACAAATTGCAGTGTTTTAACATCTTCTGATACTTTGAAATCATTTGACAATATCATGACAAAGGAAAAGAGAACACAGTCTTAAAGATAGATACATTAAATAGATAGATAGAAAGAAATTAAGAGAAAAAGATAAAGGAAAGAACAACTGTAATAAAACAAATTATTAAAAGATAGTATATAGCTGTTTTAACAGACTATATCTGGTTGATTTTCTCCTCTTCATATTCAGATAATTCTGAATTTAGTCATTTTCTTGTAGCTGCTTGAGTTTCTGATAGAAAGTCTATTAAGTATTTAATTCCTGTCTCAGTTGAGAATAAGAATCTCATATTTAATTGATTTAGATTATACTTCTCTTTCAATCTGGCTCTGAGACTATTGTATAATGTACAGTGTATTACAATATACTCAGAATTCTCATTTGTATTATAGAATGAGCATTCTATTGAGTCAAATCTATCATTAAATCTTTGTATATAAGATTTGAAATAGCCATGTCCTAGTTTCAGCTGTATTATAGATGAGAATATTTTCTTTTTACATTTAATTAAACAAGATTTTCACTTGAGTTTTATTTCAAATCTTGAATAATGTATACTCTTCTTTTGTTTCTGCCAGCTTTCATTTCACTTGTCTAAACAAGATTCTTTTATTTTTCTCTTTATAAAAGATCAGAACATAATTTTTTGAACAGATCTGCTTAATTCTGCACTCTTTTTTACAGCTGAATCAGTCAATTCATTGTCATGAATATTCATATGAGCAGGAACTTAGTGTAGATGAATTATCAGTTTTGATATTCTTCTCTTTTGAATTTTCAAAACAGAGTTTAAGATCAGTTCAAGATTCATTTGATCATTATAAATCTGACTATTTCTAAGTCTTTTTAAAGCAGCTTGACTATTAGAGAATATTCATATCTCTTTCAAATAATTTTCTCTTTTATGAGATTTTATTTCAATGAGTTTGAAAGCTTTCACTATTGTAAATAGTTCAGCATCAAAGACTTCAGATTCACAGTCTAGATTTCAGAAATCTGAGATAAAATTAATATTATCTTCAGTATAAGCAATGTCTGCATCTAATCTATTCAAATTCTCATTTTTTAAGTCATCTGAATAAATCAGAATAGAGTCTTTTATATTGATTATAGAGATTCTCTTTAAATACTGTTCATATTCTTTCTCTTTTAATAGTTCACTTATTTATAAGTCTATAAGAGATTTAAGCTTT